GTTGACTAGTTACCTGGAGTATGGCTATGGCTAGGTGCATCACTATTATAAGTAAGTACTATACATAGAATAGTATAAGCCGTCACTGCCACTGCCACTGCCACTGCCACTGCTGTGCATTTACCGCATACTTAGTTTATACTAACTACATACATACTAACCGATACTGTAGCCTACATAGTAAATAATAGTATTGGCGCAGCACGGCACAGTATACCCTCATAACCAAAACCCAACACAATCAACTCACAAGAACCCCTCCCCTCTCCCCTCCTAAGATTTAGGCACTCACTCACTCACCCACTCAATCCATCACCACAGCAGCAGAGCACAACAGAGTACCGAGTGTCCACCTCTCCCACACAAAGAAGGCAGACCTCCACCCAACAAATGAGCATCTGACACGCAGGCCCGAAACTCAACTCCAACTCAAAAATTTCCGAAGTACTTGCGCTCGCCGCTCGGGAGATGCCCGGTTGCCCGTAAGTACTACTTACTTTGTGGGTTTGTTTGGGTGGGTATGTTAGGCTGGGGTTGCTGGAGGGACCGTCAGATGTATCAATCATCGATGGGGGGATTCTGACAGATGACAGTAGGTTTACGGAGAATTTTACGCAGTAGGCTAGATACCAATCTTGTTGCTACGTATCGAGCGGATTCTGTGGAAAGTGGGAACGGATCTAGTGCGATGGGTCCGGTGGTGGGGGCTTGCTGGCTGGCGGTGGATGTTGTGGCCCGAAGGGTCAGGTTGCGATAGATACTGTGTGCAGTGTGCACCATACTGTGTGTCCGTAGTGGGGAGGAAGATATTGCATTATGTTCATTATATTTCGCTAATATGATTACCTCTATATTGTTATTGGTATTTATCGTCCGGGTCTGGCATTGAGGCTGGATCGTCTCTTTGATGCACGTATCCGTCTGGTCACGTCATACAGTCATATACTCGTCCTCCGCGCGTTTGGTTTGCATCGCCTCGTGCCAGCGGAATCCCTGCTTCCGAGAGACAGAGGGCAGTGTCGGAGACATGAATGCCTTATGCTGAGAGGAGGCCCAGCTTCCAGGCGGGAGAAATGTAACCTCGCCCACGGACCCGTTGGCGGCTGCCTGCAAGCCGAAATCAAGGGATGAGACAGCAGGAAGTCCATCCGCAGCAGGGTTCTCTGCCCAGATCTTCTCCAGCAGCTGCAAGCAGGAGAGGTTGTTGAAAAACCCAGAATCTCTGGATAGATCTTTGCACCGTTGGCGGATAATGGCGCGATGATCGGCACGCACGCACTCAGACCCGGTGATGAATAGTGGCCACAGGAGATACGCGTCAGACTGGACAGTCATAATGTGACTCATTATGTGTTGCACAATGTTTTGGATACGAGGGTGATCGGACGGTAGGTCTGGATAGGCGAGTCGTTCACTGTACAAGATCGCCGCATGACGGAATGACTCAGAAATGTGTATGACGTCCTTCAGATTGTGAGTTGCGACGACCGGCTGGTCTGTCGGTGATGAAGGGGGCGAGATGTAGGCGTGGCTGGATGTAAAGAGAGGCGACCCCGATTGCGATCGGTGGGGGACAAATCGCCAGGACTCAAGCTTCTGTCGGAGAGAATACCATTCCGCCCAGAACGCCGGCGACAGCTGTGCTCCGTTGCGACCACCAGGCGGCGGCGGCGGCAATGAAAATGCAAAAGCACCGGACGAGGTGGCTGGAATGTTCGATGGGAAGAACGCCATCGAGGGCGGGAGAGTAGTGGATGGCATATGGATGTCTGGTGGCGTAGATGTGCGGACTTCTTGATTTTGGCTCAGAAGGTTCAAACGACCTAGCTGCGCTACGATTCTGAAAAGTCCGGCATCACATCCCGCCAGATTTTCCAGTCCCCATTCGCCATCCGAGGCGGCGGTGATATCCAGGCAAGCACCGCGAAGCTGTACCTCGCGGTCATTGGTGGTGGCGGTCATCGTGTCAATCCATGTGAACATCCGAACAAACCATTTCAGCTCATCCGACATGCAAGGTGAGTTGCACAGTCGGATGGCTAACAATTTTGTCACCCCCGCAAACTGCGTCTTGAATTGAGCGACCCCAGTATCACACCCATGGAATAGACAGAGGATGAGTAAGGTCGCCAGGACAGAGTCAGAAAGCCTCTGATGCGGGTCAGCCAATTCCCGATTCAAAGCAGAGACCGCCATGCCTCGATGATACTGCTCTTCCTGGGCATATTCTTCAGGCATACTGATACCAGCCCGGTCCTGTAATGCTCCATCGGTCAAGGCTTGGTGGGCCAAGGACGACATGCGCCCCGGCAAAGTTCGCTCCGTCGCTCTCATTCCTCGTTCGCGTCGCTGTCGCAGATTACAGCTGGCCAATGTAGCGATGGCCTCTTGGAGCGATGTGCTTTCCTGCGCCAGTCGAAGAACATACGTTCGAAAAGGATTGGTTGGACTATCGAATGCCACAATCATCGGAGCAATGACTTCGGCATAATAACTAATTAGGTATCGGAGTCGAGGTGTACGTCCCACGGAACGTGCCAGCAGCTGCTGAGACAATGATGGCGGCTGGCAAGCACTCATACGTGATGGAACCTCGTCATAACAGGTTTCTTCATCATGCTCATCTGAAGCATTATCTTTCTGGTTCGGAGCCTGGGCTGGCCACGGGCACTGTATTGGTACTGGTACTTGTTCTGGTCCCATCCAGGTCCTTGACGGATCAGGATTTGAGATCAATGGGGCTTGGCACTGTCTCGGAGAATCGGTCTTTGTCGCACGTGAGGAATAAGAATTATAGAAATTTGGCGAAGCATGGGAATCCACCGTATAGTACTCCGGTGAGCACGCCCGGCGTTGTGAAGCAGTTGAAACCGAGACAGATCCATGCTCGGCAAGCCCAGTGCCTGAAGAACGCTGCTTATCATGTCGTCGCTTTTCTGCGGCTGTGTCAAGAGCCGGTTGGGATTTCGACGCTGTCCGAGGTCCTGTCATACGGGAAAACTTCGGAGGTGCGACCGCAGGCTGTGCCCCGGTCACGGGGAGGGACAACCCTCGAAGCTTTCCTCGACTGGCAACTCCTACGCCCCATGTCAACGCTGTCTTGTACCCCGCGCAATTGCGGGCGCTGTCCAGGCACTGGGAACAATATGGGCGACGCCGGTCGCAGGGAGTACCCTGTCGGGCGCAAGTAAAGCAATCATCAGCCGCTTGGCTTACGACCGTCCTCCTACGCCTTTTCCGGGGAGCTGGGGCGGAGACCGGCGGAGTTTTGCGGATTCGAGGCTTCGAAGTAGATTCCATAGCCGGATCCGACGCAGAGGTTGGCCAACTGCTAGGGTGCAGATACTAACTCGCCCAGGCAAGCAATGTGGAGATAACCCGGAGTGCGGGGTCCCATAAGTGGTGCAAGGAGTTGGTTGAGACGGCGGCAGTAAGCAGGCTAGCTAGTGTGTTAGAATAGGCCAGGCGAAAGCAGGGCCAACACGATGTTGGGGGGTGGAAGATAATGTATCTAGTCGTCGGGATGAACAGGTCAGGAAAAAGCAAGAAAAGAAGAGCTAACGTCGGAGAGGGAGGGGGGCCACGCTTACGGTCGTTTATAATCGAATCACATCGGGAATCGATCTAGTTCGCGCAGGAGAAAGAAAGCGGATTTGGAGATGATGATAAGCGACGATCGTTGCGGCATCACCCGCCGTTAGGAGAGCAGCGCCGGAGATTAAGCCAGTATAAACTCGTTAGCGCCGAGTAGTCGAGGCTCAGCAGCCAACCGGTGCGTGGCGAGTGTCTTTCGAACCCGCATTTTGAAGCGATCTTACTTGATGGCGGCCGAGTGTCGGCGAAATTGAGCCACCGTTTCAGATGGGACCCAGAGAAGATGGCACAGTTCATAGCCGGTGCAGGATTAACTGGGTGCACAGATGAAGTTGGTTGTTGAAGATGGCAGCACCTCAAAAATGAAGGAGGAAGAAGAAGGACTTGGCTGCCCCCAAATCTAGGGCCGGAACAGGACTAGCGGGAGGTGTGCATTGTTCAAGTTCAAATGTAACAAAACTCTCCCAGCAACTCAACTTCCTACTACCAACTACCAACCCTACTTAACGATCAAGTCTCCTCGAGGCGAGGCTTTCCTCATTCTTCATTCATTCCTCTCCCTTCTCCTCCAAGCCTCCCCTCCAGTCGATCCAAGATTCCAGATTCCCCTTAACTTCTTAAGGTTTCGGTAGACCAAAGCTAATGGGATCCACTGGTGAACTTTCCCTTCCACTTTCCACTCTGTCGGTTCGGTGGAACTGGCCCTTCCGCGGAGAGGAAGGACCACATGCAGTCTTCAGTCTTCCACCTCCCCTTTTCCATTGCTACGGGTCGGGGCTTGGTGCCTTGGAACCCCTAATGGATCACTCGGGATGACTCCGACCACGAGGATGGAATAGGAAACTCCCTCGCACTTGGTATATTAGGATTGCCACCGGATGAAGATCGTGGGAAACCAACCGGAGCCACGGCATACTCAATTATGCACCGCGTTATTAATAGCCCGCGGGCAACGTAAGTGCGCGTTCTGCCACCGCCTGCTGGAAAAAGCATCCACGGTGCCTCCATCGCCTCCCCAACACTGCCTGCTGAGCCACGTTGGACAAGCCTTCGTGGCCGCTGGAAACTTTCATGGCCAGAACTTTGCGATCTTCTAGCGTTTCCAGACCCTGCCAATACAACAGTGCTTGATTGTGTCTTATCCCGACTACCGCGTCTCCTCCACCGCCATTCGTATCCCCCGTGAACCAGAATTCGCCTCCCGCTGAAACTGGACTCGACCGAGCTTGCCAGCCATGTTGATGGATTGCTAAAGCGATCTTCTGACTTTACTTGAATTGCCCACCTTACCGGCCAACCGCCGAAGTGCACTCCCTCCATACACAGCGAGCTGGTAGATTTGCCTCGAACCTTCAAAGCTATACCTCCATACCCCTAGCTCTGCCTCCGGGCAGCGAACATAAGTCATGCCGGTTCTTCGACCAGGTAAATTGAAGACGATAATCTCGGCCACGGGTGCGCTGCTACTCATTTGCACCGTGTATATCTATTGGGCCCCGCCTCCAGCCTCAGTAGTCCCTAGCACCGCCTTCGAGGTCCCTCTCGCCGAACGTCAAAATGCTTTTTGGAAGGTCTTGAACCCGATATTGCAAGGACATGCCCCAAATACTCCTACGCCAAAGCGCCTGGCGGACGTAAGCGCAGTTCACTTCAATGCTACGACGACCGATTCGCGACCTGATCTGACCATAATCGAGGATGGCGATTTACAAGCGATGGAAGAGGCTCATGCGGGATATATTGAGGAGTGTCGTAAGTCGGAACGGCTGCGGCCAGTACATACTCCGGGCACGCGTGGCATAGTGTCCACAGCGGGGGCTTCCTATTTTCCAGTTTTCTTGTCTTCTCTACGAATGCTTCGACGACTGGGGTCAACGCTGCCGGTGGAGGTGTATATGAAGGATAAAAGTGAATATGAAAAACAAATTTGCGATGAGATCCTACCGGATCTGGGTGCGCGCTGTCTTGTTCTCTCGGATATCGTTGGCAAGGGAGCCATTGAGCATTACCAGCTCAAAATCTTCGCAGTTCTATTCTCCTCGTTTGAAGAGGTTATCTGGATGGACGCAGACTGCTTTCCGCTCCACAGGCCTGAAGTTTTGCTCGAGTCGGAACCATTCAGCTCCAAGGGGTTGGTCACCTGGCCGGACTTTTGGATCTCCTCGGCGTCTCCGCTGTACTTCAAAATCTCGCGGCAGGAAATGCCAGCGCTGTCGGAGCGCGCGTCATCGGAAGCGGGCGTCTTTCTGGTATCAAAGAAGACACATCAGTTGACCTTGCTCCTCGCTGCTTACTACAACTACTACGGTCCGTCACATTATTTCCGGCTATTATCGCAAGGCGCACCGGGCGAAGGCGATAAGGAGACCTTCCTTCATGCTGCCACCGCCGTCGGAGAGCCTTTCTACGCTGTAAGCGAGCGGGTTCAGGCAGTTGGTCATACGAAGCCGGGCGGTATTGCGGGCTCTGCGATGGTGCAGACTGACCCAGCCGAGGACTATGCGTTGACCAGTGCGAATAAATGGCGCGTGAAAGATGAGTCTGTGGCGAAAGCCCCCCATGCTTTCTTCATCCACGCCAACTACCCCAAGTTTAATCCTGGTGAAAAAGTATTTGGCATGAAGTGGGAGACCACGCCGACGCTCCGCCCCGATGGCACGGACGGACGGGCATGGCTGGCGGCAGAGTCTACTGTCCAGCGATTTGGATACGACGTCGAGAAAGCGTATTGGGAGGAGATCAAAAACATCAGTTGCGATCCCGCCATCAGCTTCCGAACATGGGAGAGGAAGGATGAAATCTGTGACCGGGTAGAGAGCTACTGGGCGAATGTGTTCGCCGAGCCGCATGATGACGACCCCAAGTTCACTGACGAAAGCTGAATTGGCCGCATTGTACTGCGATGCTGGCCTTGAGCCATCACTGGGTAACTAGTTACGCCATGCTGTTTATGATCGACACGGTTGCTTATCAGCAGTATTGTATATAATTTTCTGTTCTTTTTCTGGTTACATATTCATACCATTAGGTGTATAATATTGGTTGATGCCATACTTACTATTTGGCATCCCAACTGTCTGTTTGTTGATACCCTGGCGCTCCGCAACGAAGTATCGAAGTATATTCCAGTCTTTGTAACAACATTCAACACACATGTTATTACATACTACATCCTCTAACAAATCTACGTCGAAAAGAATAGAAATAAGATCATTGTAAATTGAATAATAGTGATATGCTATCGCCCCAGGCGTCAGCCATTCATGCAGTCATTCGAACAGGATATATATAGCTTTTCCATCCAAATCCCATCATTACATCATTTATTTCTTGATACCCTTTTCACGCAAGCGCTGCTCATCCTCAGCCTGCAATTCGGCATCGATCTGAGCACCCTTGGAAGGCTGGTTGCCGTGCACCTTGGCCTGCAGACAAACTAGTTAGCCATCATGCTCAATCTAATCAACAACTGTGTAAGAAAGGAAATAAACATACCGGCTTAGTAGGATCCTGCTTGCTGAGCTCAGCCTCAGGGTTCTGGACAAAGTTGTGGTGGTGGTCGCTCTCGGGCTTGCGTTCTTGCGAGGCAAGCTTGTTGCCGATGGAGCGCTGGTCCTCTGTTGGTTGCCATTAGCATTTGTATCCCGAGTGATTGGAGAGTAAGAGGGATAAAGAAGGAAGGGCCATGCATACTCGAATCAAGGTTCTTGTGGCTGTTCTTCTGACCCTCTGCGTAGCGGTTCTGCTCGTTGATCTCAGACTGGGGCACGTTGCGCTGGTCACCGGCTTCGTAGAGGGTGCGGCTGCCGACGCTGGATTGGCCTGCTCCGGAGGAAGACATTGTGTATGTTTGTGAAGTAGGAGATAAGAGGATTGAGTTGTTTTGTGTGTGTGAGAGAGAGATGGATTCGATGAGTGTTTGTTGATTGCTGTTGTTGTTGTTGTAGAGTTACATTGCTTGGGGATGAAGAACAGCGTTTATATAGAGTCAGGGTTGGGGGAGAATCTGCGTGATAGTTGTGATGTCATATGGCAGTCGCTGAGATCATAGTACCCATGGACTGTGTGGGTCACAGCCAAAGCTGGGCATGCTTTGTCCCTTGGCTGGAACAGCCCTCATCATATTCTTCCTCGATGATGTAGTTGGGTCCGTTCTGGTGTTGCATTTCGGTGAAGTCTTGGGGTGTAGCAGTCAGATGGGGAATCGGTGTACCTGACTGAATAATGGGGTGGTGGTGAACTCAGCTATGCATCCTTACATAACCGATATCGGCCGATTAGTTCCATTTCCGGCTAACATGGGGGATAAACAGATACAGACGCGACTCACCTTCACGATTAAGGATTAATGCATCTACAACGGGACATAATGGCCCGCAACCCTTCGCGTCTACTGTATGCGCCTCGTAGTCTGCAATTGACTACTAGTAGACGGCAATTCGGCACCAGTGTCTCCTCCATACTACCCCTCCTCTCCCCGCCCCGATACACGCCGGTCCGATCATCATTAATATCAACACCATCTACTTCTTCCCCTCTCGCACATCACATTCCCACTACAGCTACTCCCATCCGAGGTATCACCACCAACACCACCCCCAAAATGGCCACAACCACCACCACTCTCGACCCCCAATACGCCCAACTCTTCCAAACCCTAGAATCCCAATTCCAGACCACCACCCTCCCCCACGACAAATGGTACATCCTCGCCATCTCCACCCTCGTCGCAAACCCGGACCCCGAACGCGCCGACCAGCTCTACCTCTACCTAACCTCCAAACCCGAATACTCGACCCCATCATCCCGCCAAGCTCTCATCCGGCGCATCCGCGAAGCCCTCATCAAAAGCGTGATAATAGTCGGGGTGTGCAAACCCATCGAAGCCATCCTCGCCATCAGCAAGCTCGAAGCTCCCGAAGACAAAGACTACACGTTCACCCGGGAGGGCTGGCAATGCGACGAGGCGAATCACGGGCGCGGCGTGGCATGGTTGGAGAAGCTGTATGCGCGGAATACATCGGGCACGTTGGATCTGTTTGCGGCGCATAAGGATTTCGCCTGGTTGTCGAAGGAGATTACCTACGGGTTGTTTTTGAGTGATCGGGGAGTGTTGGATGATTTGGATACCCAGTTGGTGGTGTTGCCCGCCATCATGAGTCAGAATTTGAGGATTGAGACGCATTGGCATATAAGGGGTACCAGACGCTTGGGGGTCAGTTTGGAGGATGTGAGGGTTTTGTGTGAGGGCGTTAAGCATGTTGCTGGGTTTTATGGGAGGGTGTTGGATAAGGTGCCTGGTGTGGAGGAGGTGGAGGGGGATGTTTGAGGGGGGGTGAGAGGGTTGGTTGTATATACTTTGTACTTAGGTGAGGATAGACTTAGAGGGGGGTATATATTACTACTGTGGTAGTTGGAGTATAGTGGTCGGGATTAGAAAAGAGGTCATACTACATGTATAGAAAGGGAATGACGTGCTAAACTACTAGCGGAAAGGCTCTCTCTTATGTTGCAATATTCATACGTACGTGATTTACTCCCGTAGGAATATGAAATGATATGCATCTGAATACTAAAACGACAGCAATCTTGTTTATTTCTCCTTCATATATATCATATTTTTTTTTTGCAAGCTATGTTGATGACATTTCTTTACCACGGTCAAAAGAAAACATCCGAGAGATCAAGGGTGTTTCATGAAGACAGTCACAATTCCAATATGATCATTCAGGATTATCATGAACTATAGAGCCATATGACAGAATGACTGCCGCTTTCTAGGCCACTTCAATCCAGACTTTTTCTCCATGACTTTCCTAAGGAAATCTAGAACATTGAGAAGATTGTTCGTAATTATCAGGGTTTTTTTGATCCTTCAAACCAAGCCCAAGGATGGCTCACTCCGAAAATCACGGTAGTCTTTACCGCGTCTTATCATTTGATGGAAGCGGTTAAATAGCATCGCCTTATAATTGCCAATGCGAATATTAATTGCGCTCTGTAACTTCTGAAGACCGCTCAAGCAAAGTTTCAAATGACCTTGTCTGTCTTCTAGCGTTTTGTAAGTGGGGTATTTATCGAACGCGGAGCTGACATCCTTTTGTTAGATCAAGAAAGAGGCCCAATCAAATCTGTTTACAACACTTTTCCAACCCTCTCCTCGATACTGCGCCAGTTGTTAGCGGCTACTCTTGCCGTATCATAGAAGGACTTTGTTCGTATTTGCATTTGTGCCCATTCAGGGATATCATTTTCTTGACAATATTCCAGGAATTCTGCCTTGCTGGCCATTGTCGAAACAGCGGTTGCGCTTGCCCCATTATTGACATAATTAAACCAGTCTACTGATTTGAAAAACCCGATGTACAGTACTAACCGCTCACCTTTGTTCGCGGATTCGTACTCGCTCGAGAATTTTTCGACCCTTACTATCAAGGGATCAATAATGGTGGCAGCTGCAACCTCTGTCGACAGCTGGCCATCGTGCACTAATTCCTCACTTATCTGGGTTAAAGAAAGCATAGAAGTGTCTTCTTCTGTCTTGTGAGAGCTCTTTCTCTTTTTCTTCCCGTTGTTTCCGGTTTCTGTCGACGGCGCTCGTTTCGATGCTTTGGGTGCCATTGTGAAAAGCTATTGAATATTATGCCTTACGAGGATTGTGAATAGAGAAGATGTCTTGTCGTAGAGCGAGTGCGAGAAGGGTAATTATGGAGGGGGGGTACTGAAAATGTATGATTAGGTCCCACCATATCATCTGAATGGCTTCGCTAAATGGATACTGTAGATATGTGCGGTATCTATATCCATAACCTTGTTTTTTTTTATAATCAAACCCAGCGCCATCTGCATTTTCAAAGTCTTCTTAACAACTCGCGGAGACAATGACAATGTTTGTCCAATTCGAATATGTCATTTATGCTACCCCTCGGTACGGGATGTCCAACATCGCTGTTTCACTTGCAGGTGCTGGATTTTCTCAAGCAACCTTCCAATCTGTAGTCCACGTTTGTAACTGTGCGGGAGTTTTCATGGTATGTGAACTTGATCCATTGGTATATTATATATTGTATATTAACCCGGATATTTTTGCCATGGTGGCTCATAAGTAACTGCCTATTTAATGGTAGTAGCTGCGATACTTATTCGATATACTCTATATCATAGAAGCATTGAGTAATAATAGGGCACACTAGGGAATATTCTTCCAACAGTGAAGTGTCTACACAACTCTCTTCAGAGTATGAATATGAAATGAATTCAATGATAATTGCATTGCACTACTACTATAGCGCTATCGATAAGCTATCGATAATCAAAAGCGGTTAGCGGAAGATCAACTTTTGTCGGCCGCGCCGCCCGACGAACCTCCGCGAACGGAAATCCCACTTTAACTCCTCCCAGCACAACCCCCTCAAACCCACACCACACATATACCCCAATATACACAATGGTCAAGCGCAAGGAACTCAAAGACAATGATGTCGAGATGTCGGGGACGGATCCCCGCGTCGACGGCGACGACTCCGACGAGGTACATCCATACAAACCAATACCCCCTCCAACGGGCATATACACACCCAGCCAAGCAAAAGCAACAACTCGATATAAATATTGACAAAAGTACTAAAATCAGGACATGGACATGGTCAACGTCGACTTCGAATGGTTCGACCCTCAACCAGCCGTCGATTTCCACGGTCTGAAGAACCTCCTCCGTCAGCTCTTCGACACCGACGCCCAGATCTTCGACATGTCCGCTTTGGCCGATTTGATCCTCTCGCAACCTCTGCTCGGTTCGACTGTTAAAGTGGATGGGAATGAGTCGGATCCGTATGCGTTCTTGACGGTGTTGAATCTTCAGGAACATAAGGTGCGTCTTCTCCGCCCCGCCTCGACATAAAGAACAAGGAGGGGAGTCTAACATAAGCATTCAGGATAAACCCGTCATCAAAGACCTCACAGCCTACCTCCAGCGCAAAGCCAACGCCACACCGACACTTGCGCCCCTGGCCCAACTCCTCTCCCAAATGCCCATCCCGCCCATTGGCCTGATCCTGACGGAACGTCTCATCAACATGCCTGCGGAGGTCGTACCGCCCATGTACACGATGTTGCAGGAGGAGATCGATTGGGCGATCAAGGATAAAGAGCCGTACAGCTTCACGCATTACTTGGTTGTGTCGAAGACGTATGAGGAGGTGGAGTCGAAGCTAGATGCGGAGGAGTCGCGGCCGCAGAAGAAGAAGAAGAAGGCTGCGGGTGGTGAGAAGGCCGAGCGGTTTTTCTTCCATCCTGAGGATGAGGTTCTGGAAAGACACGCTGTGTGTGTTGGGCCTGTGGAGTATACGCATAAGGCTGAGGAGGGGTTGTCGGATTCGAAGCGCGCGTTCCAGGATCTGGGTATCGTGACGAAGGGGAGCCTCATTCTGTTGGAGGCGAGTAAGTTGGATGGGGCGGTTAAGGATATGGCGGAGTATTTTAAGCCATAGATATAATTTGCTTGTGATTACGATGATTATATGTTATAGACACCCGAAAAGTTGGTTTGCTCTTTGGTCATTTGTCCGTTTCTATTATTCCATCTGGGTTAATTCTATAGAAGTTTCGTCACGGCGTTTCGTGTAATGTTCCGTGTATACAATGGCAGAATGGGAGCTTCTAGGTGGTGTTACATTACTCCCATTGCGTGCCCTTGAGTCGCTGCATGAGGTAGTCTACCTCGACGACCTTGGTGAGCGGGATGACATATTCCTACGCACGTCAGCATATTCCTGATCATAAACCAAGGGATGAGTTAACTCACCTTGTACATGGCCACCACAGCATCAACATTGATCTTAGGTCCGTTCTCAGGTTGGAAACCCGGATCGGTACCATACGTCTTCGCCTTGAGCGCCAACCGCTCCAACACCTTCAGCTCTACCTCAGGTTTGGTAATAGCCTCGTCAATGCCCTTCCGATCATTCGCCTTAATCAGCTTAACAAAGCGCTCGGTCTCCTGCTGGAACTTAGCCTCCGCGACGAACTTTCCGAAGTGGATTCTCCGCGACAGCGCCTGCAAGCAATGCACATCGCATGTCGCCGCGGATCCGTAGTTCTCCTGCGTTTCGCCGCGATCTTCACGTCCGAACTGCGCGCACACAGCGGGAAGGATATCCTCGATGTAGCGCTGTTTCAGGATGCTGTTGACGTTGACATCGTTGTCATGCAGGATCTTGGGGTACTGGATCGGGGCGAGAATGGGCTCTTCCAGCGCGTCGGGGAAGAAAGGGTATTCATCGGGCGACTGGTACCGACGGACACGGGACTCCAGACGTTCTCGTTCGCGAAGGAAGTAGTCGAGAAGACTGAGCTCGGTGCCAGGGATTTTTACCCCGCCGGGTAGGTAGACGGGCTTGTTGAGAGGGAATTGCGCCCGTTCAATGAGGTGGAAGGTGATTGTGTCTTCAAGACGGCTAATTGTATCGAAGCATGATTAGCGACTGACATGTTTTCTCAGTTTTGGTATCTGTGTTGGTGGACAACGATGTTGAAACTCTGGCAGTAATGGAGGGGATGCGGGGTTGAAGTTTGCGCGCAGGGATGTGAATCATTGTATGCGAGTAGGTCCCCGATCTTCGGTCGATCTAGAGTAGGCTAACTGACTAACGAAATCCCTCCGAAGGAACTTACATTAGCTGGAAGCGGATGTTGGCAAGGTCCAATGCCTTGGAGGCATCGGACAGATCAATGGCTGTATCCATGGCGAGGCTGGTTGGAGATTGAGACAGGGCTGTAGGGTGCGTAGCGGGCAAAAGTGCAGCAAGCGTAGGAGTAGATGGAGGGACTGGGAAAGCGAGATGATTACGCTCCGCTTTCGGGGGAATCATAGAGCAACTTAAGTAGGCTGGAGAATCAGCGCTAACGATTTGCTGATCGGCACAGACTGGGTGATGTTTCAAGGAAGACCAATTGCTGAGTCTAGAAACATGCAAGGAAATCTCACGACATCCGGACTGTCATGGAATGCTGGGCTCAGCCATCATCTGCAACCCATAGTAAATGTTGGATGGTGATTCATGATTCTGGCTGGTTGCCCGAAGGTAACATTACGGCTTCGTACAGAACCCGCGGCGAGATCCGTGGCTGGTGATGCTGTCATGTGCAGGAGGGAGAGCCTCATCAGGTGGAAAGCTGGAGGGGTTGGGGGGCAAAGAACAGGGACATTGGATACTTAAGCCACTCATATCCAATGGAGCAGTCTCTTTCCAGGGGAATAATTATGCTTTCTCCGACATTGAAGGCAGATCAGCCAGAACTGAGGCAAGAGTGACCGTGGTACTTAGGGTAGGCCGGGCGCAGCAAGAGGCAAGCTGTAAAATACAGCCGAAACACGGTAATTCATCGCGTGCAACTCCATCCGCCTTTCTTTTTCCAATCCCAGCCTGAAGCCGACCAACTGCCGACTGGGCACAACAGCTCCTCTTTCTCCGCCGCCATCCTTGTCCTTGATCTGTGAATTCCCGGATGGGAGTTTGTGCTTAGCTCACTCTTCGCTCCTCCGCCGGTGTCATGGACAAACACCGCCGCCGTGATGAGTCTCCCTCCGGTCTATCAGATATTGTCGAGCCGGACGGTCTCTTAGGGACCGGCATCACGGTATGCTCTTGCGGCCTTGACACCTGCCCTTGGGCGGTCTTTCCTGCCTAAAATCCCTTCTTGCTGACCTTATTCCTCTCCAGTCGCGTCATATCGAGGCCTTCGGGCGCAAAGTCACATCGACTGCTGGCCATTTGATGGGACCGGCTCCCGACTCCTCCAGCGGCGGCCACTACCACACTGCGATGGCCGATATCCAGCGCGAATTACGCCATCCCAACACCCAGCGCAAAGTCTTTTCTCTCACCCAGACCACCCCTACCGATCTGGTCCGCTCCAAGCTCTCCACCACCGAAATTCAGTCGCGGGCCATCTCCTCCCTTCCTGACGAACTCCTCGCCAATATCCCCGACGACTCCAGCTCGTATTCTCTCTTCCAGGGCTTCCAGGCGTCGCAGGATGACATTGAGTATCGCCGCGTCCATCGCCGGCGCTCTTCCAAGAGCAAGAAGCTGTTGAAGGATGGGGAGACGCGCGGCGCTTTGCCGTCCGCTCCGTCGGATTTGAAGAAGGAACGGGACTTGCTGAGCCGCCGGATGGAACTGATGGGCGTTCGCAAGAATATGTGCAGCTCGGAGATACACGACATAGATAACAAGATCGCGAACCTACACAACATGCGGAAGATTGTGCTAGACCGATTGGCAGGCCTTGAGATGGAGGAGGCGGATCTAGAACATGAGCGTGGGTGACCTGGAATTTTGGATACTTGGCAGAAACGTCCTAACCTGGAACCAGTGAACGAGATTGAGAACAAATTGGAGGATATCCAAGAAGAGCAAGAGGCCGAGGTGCCGCCTCCCGCAACTCCCAAGTCTTCCGAGGCCAACGATGATTCGATTGTTTCCGAAGACCCAGCCATGGGTGCTTCCTTTATGTCCGAATCCATCTACCAGAAGATCCCTTCGCCGAAGAGCGTGAAGCAGCGATCTATAAGTATGTCGCACCATTTTCCGTTCAGCGTCCAGTACTAATGGTCCAAGGAAAACGATCGATGCCAGTTTTGCACGAACACTTTGCTCCCGGTTCTGAAATCAAAGAGATGCCGGCACACTCGGACATGGTTACTGCTATTGACTTCGACTACCCGTTTGGCACCATGATCAGTGCTGCCCTGGATGATACGGTGCGGGTATGGGATCTCAACGTCGGCCGCTGTGTGGGCTTCCTGGAGGGACACAACGCATCTGTCCGCTGCCTACAGATTGAGGACAACATTGTCGCCACTGGGTCTATGGACGCATCTGTGAAGCTCTGGGATCTGAGCCGGGCCCGGACCACAACTCGCGACAACCGCGTCACCCGGCGCGAGGACGATGAGGAATCTGCGCATGCTGATGACGCCTCTATGGCATCTCACTCGACCACCCTGGAGGACTGCTATGTATACTCGCTTGATGCGCACGTCGATGAAGTAACCGCCCTGCACTTCAAGGGAGACACCCTGATTTCCGGATCTGCCGACAAGACGTTGCGACAGTGGGATCTGGTCAAAGGGCGCTGCGTGCAGACGCTGGATGTCTTGTGGGCAGCGGCCCAGGCATCTACTCTAGGAAGTGAGACGACATGGCGCCCGTCAGGACGCCTGCCAGACGCTTCTGCGGACTTTGTCGGCGCGGTTCAGTGTTTCGATGCGGCGCTGGCCTGCGGTACGGCGGACGGTATGGTGCGCCTGTGGGATCTTCGCAGCGGCCAAGTCCACCGGAGCTTGGTGGGCCATACCGGTCCTATTACATGCCTACAGTTTGACGATGTACACTTGGTGACTGGTAGTCAGGACCGCAGCATCAGAGTAAGTTTTGTTCATATACAGACGTAACGGCACCGCTAACATTTACCAGATTTGGGATCTCCGAACTGGATCTATCTTCGATGCCTACGCGTACGACAAGCCCATCACCAGCATGATGTTCGACACCAAGCGCATTGTCGCGGCAGCCGGAGAGAACGTTGTCAAGGTATACGACAAGGCGGATGGTCACCACTGGGACTGTGGTGCCGGGGTTGGCGTTGACGACAGTGGGCCGCAGCCGGCCACAGTCGAGCGGGTTCGGCTCAAGGATGGATTCCTTGTTGAGGGCCGCAAGGACGGTATCGTCGCGGCGTGGACTTGTTAAACGAAGCTTATACGACCTGCAAGACTCGCCACGTACATGCTAACTATCATCATCATGTTTTTGTATTTGTGACTGCTTGACTGCCTCAGCGACTGTATATTATTCTTACTTTGGCAATATAGAAGGATGGGCGTCCTGGGAGGGCAGCCGTGTAAATGAAGCATTCGAGGACCTGTACTTTTCTTTGTCACGATGAAACATGCATAAAAATAGCGAAGAAATAAAGGCATGGCTGGACTGTAACCAAACGTGGACTGAAACAAAGAATCGATAGTGCAATAATGCAACAATCCTGTCATGTAAGCTCTATACACACTGCGTTGGGAGAGGGAATAACATCGTAAACCAACGGGCGATCTATAAAGGAGGCCGCCGAGCCGCCCTGCCAAATTGGGCAGACTTGTATTGAGGCGGGTAACAGGAGATACAAATATTACCCGCAGTGAGTGGAGGTTCGGGCCATCCATCAATCATCATTCAGTCTAACAAGCAAGCCAGCCTCATCCCCTCGTCTAGCATTGTTCTGCAGCTTCGGCATTCTCTCTCTTCTTCAGATTTCATTCAGGAATTTCTGCAGCGACGCGCATTTTACATGCGCGACCTAGTTCATCTCAAATCTCAAGTGTCTGAATCCCTCCACCGCCCCTGCGACGCCGTGGATCGGCATTCCACCCGCGTCTTTTCGCGCCGTGTCGCTTTCGCGCATGAAGGTCGACAATTACCCCGGATTGCCATCGACAATCTATACCCTCTGCTCACCTTAGCTCATCTGGGTACCTCAAGGTCTTTGACCTCTCTCAATGGTCATCTGAAAACAAAGACTTGACAAGGTAGCTTTCTTTCACTTGTTCTTCATTTCAGCTCCAGCTCTAACAAACCTCGTGTAGGCTACATCTAAGTTGGTCATCCTGGTCGCAGTCATAGTGTAGCACAAAGCTGATTGCAGCCTGACTGTTCAAGATTACTCCTGATCACTCTCTCCAAGCTGAATCCTCCTATCTCATCACCGTGTTTCGGCATCTCTGGCCTCCTATTTATGCCTGAGGCTGCAAGTGACTTAATCGTTTCCATCTTTCACAGTGAGTAGAGAGCTTCGAGTCCCACTGTTCTAGGACTTTCTCTTCCCTCACCCCTCAGTGGGAACGTCTGCACTTTATGCGCTCTAGCTAACGCAACAATAAAGCCGATTCTCAGCATTGAAGTTCCAATGCCTACTAGACGCGGCGCCACCAGGCGCGCGGGGTCTACTCCACGCTCCGATATAGGGAGTGCCTCAACCTATTTTCAGTCCAAGCTGGGTCCGGAAGCCAGGACACAGGCTCTGCCAAATCTTCCAACCAAGCAGTCATTCGCTTATGGATCTGCTGAGACGCCAATCCTCCCGCGGGAGCTCAAGATCCAGCCTCATATGGATCTGACTGAGATGGCCGACGCAATCGACAAGGGAATCGAGGATGCTAAGGATCGGCAGTTGAAAGAAAAAGAAACCACCCAGGATAAATCTCGTCGACAAAAGTCGCCTTCTATCAGCCGTTCCCCGGTTCGGCGAAGTCGCCGGGAGCCGACTCCGGATGAGTTGCAGCTTCTCGACAACCTGCGCGAGGCAACTAAGTCTCCCACGCCTATACGGGGAAACTACAGCAACAACGACCAATCCACCGCCACCCCCACACCTCCTATCCCGCACACTCTTTCTACCGCCTCAAGTCCTACGCAGCCTCTACCTGTACCCAGATATCCCCACGTCCCAGCCGACAATCTGTATCCGTCTCCTATGGGGCGGTTTGGCCCGCAATTGCACGATGGGCCCCCGTTAGGAAGCTCCCCACTACCGGACAACTCATCGTTATACTCGTTCACCGTTGAACGAGCAATCAACTCCGATGAACTGACACGGACGCTTTCCGATGGAAAGAATATCAAGGCACCTCCTCGTCGATTTTCAGGGCTGGCTTTCAACGAGCCTATCCACGAAGAAGAGGAACCGGACTCGAGGCTTCTGAAAACGAAATCGAGGTCGCCCTCCCTGCAACCTAGTCTTGAGGAATTCACGATCGAGCCTTCCCCAGAGCCGGAGCCACAGTCGGAACCCGAGTCTGTGCATGAGCCGGAACCAGAGCCTACGCCTACGCCTGAGCCAGAGCCTATGCCAGAGCTGGAGCATATGCCGGAGCCCACACCGGAGGAAGAGGTTATCAGAGAGAAGTCTCCTGCAGCACACTTTACCGCGCCAACAAAGACACTTATTCCTGATACATATGTACGGAGTCCATCACGAGAACCATCGGTCGATGGCAACCAACAAAATTTCACTCAGAGAGGGCAGTCCTGGTCCTGGGTAGGAAGCCTATCAGCACAGTTGCCTAGCGTTGGCACGGTCGCTCGCATCCTCGCTGGAATAGCTTTGGCAGCAGCAACAATTTACCTGGTTGCCTTTGCCGGAATTCCCTCCCTTTCTCGACCCACACAGTATATCCCGGTGGATGAGAGCAATATGCTAGCAGTCAGCAGCCTTACGGATCAAATGTCTCGAATTGGTGCGCAGGTGTCTTCATTGGCGAAGGATATGCGCACCGTCAAATGGGACGTGAACGCGGTGCAGTCGGAGGTCCGCTCGTCACCTACCCCAATCATGCCACCAAGTAGAGGCACCGATTTTGGTCCTCCCACAGAACAAAAGACAAACTTCCTGAGCATTGGACTAGGAGTGCTTGTTATTCCGGGTCTCACAAGCCCAACTGTCGGACACAAGCTCAATCCTTTACAGTGGGCCTATGTCAAACTATGGAGAGGTAGTTATTATCGTCCCGCATCACCGCCGCTCGCGGCTCTAGCTCCCTGGGAAGACTATGGAGACTGCTGGTGCAGCACACCCCGGGACGGCATGTCGCAGATCGGCATTGACCTAGGGCAAAATATCGTGCCGGAGGAAGTGGCCGTCGAACACATGCCGAAGACGGCTACATTGAAGCCTGAAAATGCCCCCCGGGAGATGGAGCTCTGGGCTCAATACGTACTCGTTCAGAAGGGAGCCAGTCGACATGCAAGGACGCATGCGTCAATCCACAAGCCGATCATGAACGCCCTCCGGTCCGCATGGCCCACCGAGGATCCGACTGCGTACTCCGATGATCCACTCCTAGGACCGTCATATTACCGAGTCGGGAAATTCACCTACGATATCCACGGCTCGCATCACGTGCAGCTATTCCAACTAGACGCGGTGATCGACTCCCCAGAACTCCGGGTAGATAGGGTCGTCTTCCGGGCCACGTCGAACTGGGGCGGCAATCACACGTGTATCTATCGACTGAAGCTATTCGGTCATGTATAGCATGTTTCTCTTTTCCCTCCTGCGTTGTTGATATCATCGGCGGCGGCGTATTGCGATTAAAAATGTTTTTTATTTGGGCGGCGTTTGGTAGGAACGGAAAGATACCAGGCAATGGCAATCGTGATAGACGGTCTGTTATGTTATTAAATTCGTGGAGCAGACGTTTTGGACGACTCGTGACTTTGCTTGGTACTTGCATGCAATCGTTCGTAATTAGCGATTATTGAATATATGCATACTCGTGCATGCTGAATGACTTTCTTTAGTACTGAACTTTAAGGTGAAAGGTGCATTCCTTTCTACTCCGCATCCTATCTACGCTGCGTGATAATATTCCTTGAAGGTTGATGCCCAGGCCTCTACGTGCCAAACCTTCGATCCATAGCGTCACTTCCTACTCAGCAGCACAGCATGTAAAGAAAATACTACCACCGGATCATAGACCTCCTTAAAAAAGGTATAACATATAGATAATTTAATAAATAAAACTAAGAATCAAACTCCGGATTCACCCACCCGGGCACACCCCTCGCTCTCCACGCCGCCCCAAACACATGCAGCGAAATGAACACACCACTTCCACCAGCCACAACGATCAGGGCTTGGGTGGTGAATGTCCAGGTCCAGCCGATTGCGGCTTGCCATTGGGCGATGAAGAACTGTTCATTCATTTAGTCATATATCAATAAATCACTCATGGTGGCTGGGGTATTTAGTTGATGGGAAGGGAAAGAAGGAACGTACTGGATTAGCAAACGCACTGAGGTTCAGGAATACAGCGTAGAAAATCACCACGCTGGTGGATTGGAGTGGGTAGGCGTCGATTATGTAGCTGCTTGTTACGGTGTTGCCGATTTGGATTCCGGCGGAGACTGTTCATTCATTTAGTGAATGGGGTTAGAGGGGGTTTGGAGGAGGTATGTGATGGATAATGGGCGAGATAGGAGTGGGAGTGGTGGGAGGGGGATACTCACATAGGAAGAACGCGACTTGTCCTACCATCCAATGGTAGGCTTTGTCTATGCTGATGCCCCAGAGGATTAAACCGACTGTCGTATAGATAGATATATTAGTAATGTACACTACGAGCTATGGGAAGTACTTACCAGCAGTTAAGACAATGGCTGGATATGCCAGCCATAGGCGCATCTCTGGGACCCGTATCCCACCATTCCGCTTCGCTAATCTCCCCACGATGGCATCGCTTAATCGTCCCGAGCAGCTTACCTCTGCTACTAAGGTCCCAATCAAAAGGCCCAGGAATAGTAAGCCCTGGATGAGAGGCGAATCTGATGCATATGCAGACGGGACCATGGTAATCACGGACAGAATCCACCAGTACCATGTGAATGAGTATCCGAGGACCGTCACGGGGATGACTGGGAAGCGGAAGGTAAGAAGGAATCTGGTGAAAGAGGCATATATGGGCGGGTGAGAAAGGCCTGGGACGGGGCGGAGGTTCAGGAATGGCAGTGATTTGGTGCGTTTTATCTCCGCTTCTTCTATACCTGCATTCGTTTCTGCTGGCTTCTCGGTGGCTGCCATGCGTTGAAGCATCAACGCGCGTGGGTAGAGGGTTTCAGGCATGATAGTAAGCTCGAGGAGTAGAAGCGCGGCGAAGAGAATGGCGTTGAACCAGTTGATCCATTGTGCGCTGACGAGGTTGAGAATCCCGCCGACTTGGTTCATGTCAGTAAATGGAGATTAAAATCTTGAGGTGAAGATGGGGTCACGTACAGGTTGGACCTAGAAGTAAACCTGAATCTAGGGCAAGTACCCATAGTCCGAGTTTCTGGCCGCGTTCGTAGTCGTAGAAGAGATCAGTGACTACATTGTTAGCTGCAGCTGCTCTGTTCGCTCCAATGCATGTTGAAGAGAAATAGCATACCAACTGCCATTCCCACCGTTGATGAAGGGCTGACTCCGAATCCTTGAAAGAACCGAGCAGCCATGTATCCCCCATATGTATCTGCTACAGCAGCGCCAACTGTCGCTACGAGTGCGATGACAGTTCCTACAATGAAGACAATGCGACGGCCGTAGATGTCGCCAATGGAGGACCAGAATAGTGGTCCAAGCGACAAGCCCAGCGCCGGGATTGCGACGGTCCAGTTGACTTGCGAGTAGCTGATGTCATACTGTGATTGTATTTCGGCGAAGGAGGGGACAGTGGTGGTCGTGATGTAGGTGAAAAGGAAGTACCTGTTCAAGGTCAGTGTCTGGGGTTTTCTGGACTGAATCAGGTACGTACTTGAACATGACAATCCCTAGAATCACATGCTTTTGCCAACGGGGCCAGTTGAGCGGATCAAAAGGATCAGAAGTAGGGGTAGGATGGACGTGCGTGCCATGTTGCTCAACAGGGAGGCTGTTGATGTCGCTGGCAGATTGCTTCTCGGAGATTTGGACAAGGTCTGCCTGGGTAGATTTAAGATTCATTGTGTGTAGCTATGATCGATCATGGGTAACATTGGTGTAGCCCTGAGGCAATGAAGCCAATGCATGGTCCCTTTGACTAAGGTGCATATATACGTAGTCCATGATGAGAGGGGGGTTGACAGGTGAAACCGAGCGACGCCAGTGCTGTACGGAACGATGCTTATCAGTAACAGCCTCAGGCGAACATCGAATCACCAGCCTGAAGGATATCTCTGCTGCTTATCATCACCGGGATGTACTGGGATGGAAGAGCGGATCGAATCAAACCCTGGTCTTAATGGCCGCATTATAGCCTTCTCGGACTGGATCTGGGTAAATTGGAAGCGAATCACATTAACCGGTTGCGGCAACAAAGTATGTGCTGCCTTGCTATTCTGTTTACAAGATGTTTATACGTTCTCCTGAAATTTTTGATAATGTGTGCTATCTAGTGCCCTAAGTTGGCAATTTTGAGATTATTTCAATGCCCTACTTATGCCTGTTATCAATCATGGTCATCACACATCTATAGTAGACTATCACTTTCTCCAGACAATCCAGACGATTGAAGGTGTAGAACTCCCCCTAGTAACCCGTGGTCTTATTTATTTCCTTCTTCCTACTTTGGCGATCAAAATTCCCCTCTATACTACAGTTACGAACATCAGGCTGTGCCAGCCAGATCCCATCTTTGGAACGGTATATTGGCGGGGCACAAGTAGATCCGATTACAAGACAGTATCGTGTGCGACGTGTACTTGATAGCCTCTTGTTAGCAATCAAGATAAGAACCCCATATTGCGTAAGGAATAGACATCTCGATCCGTAGATTTGGGCATCGAAAGGTCAGACAGTCTGCAGACTGATGTCAGTCTCAACAACTCGGTTCGATATCGGATCATACAGTAGAAGCAGATATCCAATGTTGGATATCCCCCACGCTCGTCCCAAAAAGGTGAATATCTTGAGAAGAAGCAGCCCCGCCTCTGAATCAGTCTGCGCTGACATGCAGCTCGACTAAGGTCTCCTGGTGGGTCAGTGATCCGGATCTGGATAAGCTCGTGGTGGATCATGCTGGTGGTCTGCACGATTGCCACTTGAGTAACAGACCGCTTCTATCGATCGAGGCAAGGGGCTATACTGTGCTGTACAGTGTGTTCAGCCATGCTGTTAAACAAGCTCCAGCGTTTTTATTGTCATTGTAACCCATGTTGGTCTCTCGGGTTGACACCAGTTCCTTTCTCTTTCTTCTCCAAAGCTTGAGCCCAGTGTGTCTACTATCATTGCAAGATGTACGACTCCCTTCCTAGCTACCGAGAGACTACTTCCGCGCACTCTCACGGGGAAGAACATACGCCACTACTTCCCAAGCAAGTCGACACCAACCATGACTCCAAGAAGCCAAAGTTATCGATTCCCTGTCCGGTCGAATTTGTCCGGCTGTTGAAAGACTCCATCCCGGTCATTCTGGCATACACGCTGCAAAACAGCCTGCAAACCACCTCTGTGTTGATTGTGGGACGGATCTCTCCTGAGGATCTCGCCACCACAGCTTTTTCACTCATGTTTGCCATGGTCACAGCCTGGATGATCGCCTTGGGTGGGACCACCGCACTAGACACACTAGCCTCGTCAACCTTCACAGGAAGCTCGAACAAGCATGATCTCGGGATCCTGTTGCAGCGGGCCTTTTTCGTCCTCGGATTGTTCTATGTCCCCGTCGCCATGCTTTGGGCATTCTCGGAGCCGGTGTTTCTCTTGCTTGGCCAGGATCCCCAGCTCTCGAGAGATAGTGCGCGTTTCTTAACTTGCTTGATCCCTGGCGGTCTGGGATATATCTACTTTGAGGCCATGAAAAAGTATTTGCAAGCCCAGGGTAAGTCCTTCCCCGACGTGCTGCTCAGATATCATTTGCCCAGTAATCCCTGTTAACCAGAAGATGCAGGTATTATGCGACCTGGGACGTATGTCTTGCTGATAACGGTACCATTCAATGCATTTCTCAATTACCTGTTCTGCTACGCCTTTCACATGGGGTTGCTCGGTGCCCCATTTGCAACAGGCATTTCCTACTGGCTGTCCTTTGTGTTGCTCGTATTATATGCCCGGTTCATCGCTGGCTCCGAATGCTGGGGCGGCTGGTCGCGCAAATCATTCGAGAACCTCGGAACTTTTGCCCGATTGGCCTTTCTGGGCGTGGTGCACGTAGGCACCGAGTGGTGGGCCTTCGAAATCGTAGCTCTTGCAGCCGGAAGGCTGGGAACAATTCCGCTGGCGGCACAGAGCGTCATCATGACCGCAGACCAAGTACTCAACACAATTCCATTTGGTGTAGGAGTTGCTACGTCTGCGCGAGTGGGGAGCCTGCTAGGGTCCCGGGATGCAGCTGGTGCATCGAGAGCGGCCAATACCGCGGCCTGGTTGAGCATGGTGCTGGGGGGTGCCGTGTTGGCCGTGCTTATGGGGACTCGGTACGACTTCGCAAAGATGTTCAACTCCGATGAAGGCGTTGTACAGCTCACTGCGGAGGTTCTACCGTGGGTGGCGTTGTTCCAGATCGCCGATGGACTGAACGGTAGCTGTGGAGGATGCCTTAGGGGCATGGGAAGACAGCATGTCGGTGCGCTAGTCAACCTGGTCAGCTATTATTGCGGTGCATTGCCTCTCGGTATTTGGTTGGCCTTCCATGGCTGGGGATTGAAAGGACTCTGGGTGGGACAATGCATCGCACTGTATCTTGTGGGGGCACTGGAGTGGGCAATCGTGGCCTTCAGTAACTGGGAATGCGAGGTCGATAAGGCGTTTCAGCGAATGGATATCGAAGACCGGTTAGAGGTCGGACACACCACCAATGGTGCCACGATAGTCGTGTAGTGCAGATAGGTGTAGGTTAGGTCAAATATGAAGCCTTCCAAAGCCCACGCAGGGTCTCTATCTAATATCTCTAAGAGGAAGGTGGACAGAGTTTGCTTGGTTAACCTTAGAGTTGTCAGCCCTTTGTTCAATTCTCAAGCGAGAACGATGTCGGACGCTTATCGTGTTGGGTTTGAGGTCTGTCGATTCAGTGTTTCGAAGTCAGCCGTCCCCACGTCACAGAATGAAGATCAGCGTTGCTGATAAGAAATGCCGGCCGCTATCTCCGTGGAACATCAGCACGATAAGCCTTGGTAGGGTAGATTAGACTAATGCATGAGACTAGTCTCTGGCTTCTGTGGAATCTTGCTCTCTTGAAGCATCCACTGTATTCTCCTCCGGCCTTCCTGTTTCGATCGCTCATGCGTTTCAATTTTATACTACTAGCCAAGCATTTGACGTTGGCCCCTGGAACAGATCTCGCCTCCGCGTAATATCCACACCAGGGACCTCACAAGAGATAATGCACATCTGATGATGTCGTACCCCACTCAACTTCTCAGGTTCTCGAATTATTCCCCAATTTTGGAAAGTCGTGGGAGAAGGAAGCAATAGAGTGTGAGATTCCGTACAGTTAGTGGACCTAGTCAGATATTCAGTTCCCGAGTATAGACGTCGAATAGTCACATCATCAAAAGCGGCCATACCATAGGTTTTGTCATTCTATCCACCTACACTGCGCGTTAGCATGCATGCTGTAAATTTCGGTGTAACCAAGGATCGTTGAAAGTAAAAGGACAGGCGGGGAATTGGAAGGAGAGATGGTTGGGGAAGTCAAGTAGCTAAGCCGCAGGTGGGAGCATATAATCATCCCCTCCCTGCAGAGCCTGCCTGGAACATTATCGCTTTCAAGGGAATTTATTTTGTGCCTTTTCCACCGGATATTTTAACATGTATCTTTCAATTGTGGGCTTACTTGCTTTCTTGGGCATCGCAACTGCCCATGGCGGCCATGACCAAACTCCTCTGGCTGGTCCGCACCAGAGGTTGTGGTATAACACGCTCCCTGGTGATGGTGGCACACAGGTCAGTGAATCTAACCCTAGTCTGTACTTATCCATTGGCTGACAATTCAGGCCGACTCTGTCTTCTCTGGTATCTCTACTTTCGGCCGTTTGCCGTACTTTCCTTGTCTCTCCAGCGAAGCCGAGAGGTATGATATTGCATTCATAGGTTAGTCACCATCTCAACAGTACGATATTCCAGTAGCAATCCCTGATAATCTATAGGTGCTCCTTTCGACACTGGTACCTCATACAGACCCGGAGCTAGGTTCGGACCTAGTGGCATCCGACAAGGATCTCGCCGTCTTAATCTCTAGTATGCTATACTCTTCCATGACTATACCCGACGGCGATGACGCTCATCATTACTCCTCCTTAGTGGCGGATATAATGTGCCTCTGCAAGCGAACCCTTTTGTCAGCGACATGAGAATCCTGGATTGCGGAGACATCCCTGTTACGTCGTATGGCACCCACACTACGGGAGAATTGGCAAGGTTCTGATGCAAATAGTTATGATAACGCCTGGGCCATTCAACAAATTGAAGAGGGCCACAATAGTGTCCTAATGCGCAAACCGTTCACCGATGCTGAGAAGTATGGGCTCTCCAAGGCCGGAAAGACCCTTCCACGCATCATTACCTTAGGAGGAGACCATACTATCACCCTGCCCTTGCTGCGCAGTATAAACAGGGCCTATGGACCTGTCACTGTTATACACTTTGACAGTCATCTGTATGTTTGTCTTCTGTAGTCGGAAGAGCCAATGCTCACTGCCTTCAGGGATTCTTGGAAGCCAAAGGTCTTCGGCGGCTCACCTAGTCAGGTTGCCGCAATTAACCACGGAACCTACTTCTACCACGCCGCGATGGAAGGCCTGCTGAAGAACGATACCAACATTCACGCCGGTATTCGTACTACACTTTCTGGTCCATCTGATTATGAAAACGACGGATACTGCGGGTTCGAAATCGTTGAGGCAAGAGAGATTGATACGATCGGTATGTCTATACATTATCTTCAGTGAACTTCACTAATGTACGGTATCGCAGGAACGGATGGCATCATCAAGAAGATAAGGGAGAGGGTGGGTACTGAGAACCCTGTCTACCTCTCCATTGATATTGATACCCTTGATCCTGCCTGTAGGTCATCTCCAGCAATTTATTTCCATAGCTTTTCTGACAATGGTATCTAGACGCACCGGCAACCGGAACGCCCGAAACGGGCGGCTGGTCGACGCGTGAGCTCCGCACTATCATTCGGGGATTGGATGGATTGAACTTCATCGGTGCAGATATTGTTGAGGTTGCTCCTGCTTATGATACGAATGCCGAGCTTTCTACCATGTATGAAGCCTTGCACAAAGTGTTGCTTGATTTAGTAACTGACGCATATGATAACAGGGCTGCCGCTGACGTCCTCTATGAAATTCTTACCATCATGGTGAAGAAGGGTCCATTGTCCGTTGGCCGTTCTGATGAGCTCTAGTCGATGGACGCCGCGTTGGGAGATTGCCTGATTGAGCCCCTGCATTCATTATATCCATGACCACAGGATTGGAGACTTGATGGCTTTGCTTTGCAGTTTTTGTATGGAGTGGAGGATGTATCAGAGGAAGTACATGTCCAGATGTAGAATTCGAGTGAAATTACAACAATTGTTCATACATGTTATATCTCCTGGAAGCCTTCATAGTAATACTGTCACAGGTATAGCCACATATTAAATGATCAATAAATACCGCAATGCGAAACAGGATAGGGGTATCAAGCCAGTAGGCCAAGCATAATTACGCGTGAATGTTTAGGTTAAAACACGTGCATGTGTCGAATTGACCGCGTTCATCTGCAACATATTCGGAAACATGGGCAGATATTGAAACGCACAAGCTATTGGACAATTCCATCAACTTAAAAAAGCAAGAAGGGATTGACCTTATGGTAATCACCGGAAAAAGAACCCAGACGAATCATGAAATGGATCAGTCTGACTAGCAGCCAGAACGTGATGTAATTTATCAAGCAGATAGAGTCTGATGGCTGATCCATCGAATGGGCTGCTGAGGTCAATATATAACACATAGAAGGATCTGCGCATCAGAGCCGTTGGTTCGGCCACCTCTACAGAATCTGAGCTCGTCCGGTGGCCAGGTATATCATTAACATGCCGGGAAACAACCCTCAGGCACTACTACGAAACAGATGTTAATCATTTCCACATATAGCAGACGTCGCCTGCATCGAAATCACGCTTAGAAAAACAACGTTCGGCGCTAATCGCACTGACGTATGTGAGACAAGCATACTTCCAGATTTGATATCATGACAGAAGCGAGGGGAAAGCTTAAGGGCGCCGCCTGCTTGAATAGGCAATAAACATCAGCCCTGTGCAGTTATGATCCACGGTTCTTCAAACCTCAGGATGTCTAGGTGCACATCCTTGAAATTGCTGACATCTACCGGATTAAGCACACCTCGATCTGTCAATCCATGATTGTTATCTTTACAGTTCTATAGACTACACTTTCCGTTCTTTACATCACAGTGTCGCTTATGGAGATCCCTTGCCTGAGTCCTGCAGTTGCAGACGATATCGTCCCAGATCTAGCCCAGATATTCAATGATAACCCATTCAAGTCATTGAGAGAACAGAAGATCAGCGTCCCTGTTCTCTGCGGTCCGCATGAGCAAGGTCCCACCGACACCCACATCAACATCTTTGGGCAGGAGTTCCGAACGCATTCCAGCTTAATCAAAAAACACACTGGGATCTGGAAGGAACGGCAGCGCGGTGAGTATGCTGAGCGCCGCGGACACTACTTCGAGGCGAGGACTGAGAAAGATGGTGGTTGGGGGATCTACCGGAAGGGAGCGGTATGCAGAGTCGCTCTGTACATGGAGTCCAATATTCGCTGACGAGGTGGCATTTACTCCTGCAGAAATACTACCGTGATTATCCCGAAATGCCAGATGAACGCATTCCGAGCGCCATTGAGTCTTTCCATTGCTTCCTGCAAGCGCTGTACCTCAAGCCTGTACCATACGTTGGCATCAAAGGATGGCGGAGGATGGTGCTACTGGGAATACGCTTCCAGGCAGTGCCTCGAGTGCGAGAATATATTGAGAAGATTATACTTCCCTGGACGCTTACGTCTAAGCCCCTCCTTGGTCTCACTGAGGATATCCTCGCCTATACTAAGATGGCACAAGACATCCAGTGTACCCAGCTCTACCGCGAATGCCTCATCCATCTCGTCGGAATGGCGCAATACTGGGGACGGAACGAGTTTCATAACGCTGAAAACATACTCACTCCCAGTGCATACGCTTCATTGATTCGTCACGTCGGAACACAACGACAACTGATCGAGAAAGCGGATGTCGCTCTCCACACGTTCATTCGGACTCTAGCAACGCAGAAGCCGCGACGGATACCGAACTTCCTGCTCCGGCAGTTTACAGACACGGTGGATAACATCACCGGTCTGAATGGGCGCAATATGAACTCGCTGGGTTATTATCAGCATATACGTTTAGTTCTCAACGATATGCAGCTGAGGTTACCGCGGGGTTCTACGTACAACATGTGTCATAGACTATGGCAGTTCATTGGATGTCTGTGTGTGAATGGTCTTCTGTATACCCAAGATCAAGTTAAGGGCTACCCTGTCTGCATATCGCCTACGGATATTGAGCTACCATGGGTGCTTGCCAACGCACCAGAGGCCCAAGCGGAGGAGCAAGTTCCAGACGCCATGATTGAAATGGAAGGCTAACAGGAAAACACGAATACCGTTGGAGGTTGTCACTGAGAAACAGGAATGAGAATGTCATAGCGCATACCTCGTATCAAGATTATTGGATAGTGCAATTCTAGTAGCAAAATGCCAAAGCGTACTTACAGTGTCTTATCTAAGTATCCACAGTGTTGTCATCCACCGTTCGATCTCGATCTCGATCTAGCGATCCCCTTGCATAAGGCAACGCCACTTATGAAACGATGAGACTGATCTAGATAAGATGCGATCAGTCCCATCGTTTCACAAGTAATCATCCGCCAGGGATCGATTATTGCCTAGGCTCCTACTGACTACTAGCTAGTTAGTCAGTTGCCTTCCCTGAAAATAATATGCCTCGTTGCATCACTCATCACTCATCACTCGTATATTCTCCGATAGATCTATCCACCCATTCCAACGGTCCTTCATCACTTCATCCATCCGACACCTAGATACTATGCACGTAAGCACGAACCTAATGCCCCCTCGGAATCGATCTATCTCCTCACTACCAAGTAGACTACTCGATACATCCTATCTATCTATATTCCATCTATCCATCTATCTATCTTCCATCTATCCATCTATCTATCCAGAATATGTCCTATCATCTGTCCGAGCGTTACCAAACATAAAACTCAACGCACCGCACCCCCTTACTTGCATTAACCTTATTATTACTCAAGTAGGCAGCAAGGTACACCACCCACACACCCTCTTATGCAGATGCATCCTTGCTTTACTTCCTTTCATCCGTTGACAATAAAAGAAACGCAGGTACAATGTACGGAAATGCAGTAGTTCATAAAGAAGCTACTCACACTACTTCCTATGTTATTATGCGAAGCATACAGATATTAGTAATACGAACACTCGATACGAGGCCTGCCACACTGAATGCGACGTGACAATGTTGATCAGTAGGAATTGAGTTTCCTTAGGTTCTTAGGTTCTTGGGTTCTAGTCTAGCTGTGTACTGTCAAGATAAGCAAGTAAGTAGGATTAGAAATAACTAGTTGAATATGAACAGGGGACCCACTAAGTGTGGATGTGGATGTGGGTGTTGGTGTGTGTGTGACAAGTTCACAAAATCGTGCATGGTGATTATGCAGGATTCGGTTTTGAGTTTGGGAGTTTAATATGGATAGGCAGGTACGTATCCGTAGTAGTTATTAGTTATATGCTATGATTTGGGTACGGTTGGACATCAACTTTGAATCCCTTTAATTCACCCTCTCCTTTTCCATCATGTCTCAATGTAAGAATATCATCTAATAGTGTATAAGAGTATTGGAATGGTGCCGTGGATTGAACCATACAAAAAGCAATAGAATGCTTTGGGTCGGTGGAGTTGAAGAGTGTGGTAGTCCGACGATCGTTACTTTGCTGGAGATATAACCGGGTGCGTGCCGATTCTCGGGTGAGGATCGGCCGTTGGAAATTTCAGGGGGGAGGCCAATTAGAAGGTAGTAGGTGTCATTGGGATAGGCGGGTTGGGAGCGCTGTTTGGGTTATTATTTGGCTGGTTGGTTATTTAGGTTATTACTTGGTAGCATCTTCATGGGTGGTTTTGTGGGATAATTTTGGGTGTTTACTCAACTTGTGAAATAGATGGTTGGGTGGGGATACCAGTTGATATGGATCCCGGTTTTATATATACCGAAGGAGCAGTTGCCCGTGCTCATGAGCTCAGTCGAGCATATGAGTGATTTATAGGGAAGGAATTTTTTGAACACATAGTTCTCTGCCCATTGGGGCCAGTAATCGACGGAATAACGAGCCTACGGCTAATCCTTATCCAGATATTTCGGAGAGCGTACGAGCCACCAGAATAATGCAGTATCTACTCAGAAGAATAACTTTCGGTCGAATATCCCTTCCCCTATCCCATTGGCAATAACAGAGTCGTTGAATCCTATTTTGTGGGTTATAGTGTTATTGATTGATAGATCGGTCAATCGGCTTGGCTCGAGATATAGGAGCATCCACTTCTCTGTTATGAACAGGGCGGTCGGATTATGCTGCTTTTATGCCGATGTGGGTAATGCAGTTTCATAGCTGGCTGTACGATATATGCACAACGAATTTGAAGGTTAGTATGTGGATCCTTATGTATAAATTGAACGATTGGAGGTATTGGTGGTATGAGGATTGGTTCAACTCAGTGGTACTTAGTTGAGTGCAGTATGGATTAGTTAGGACGTTGTCTAAGAAACATATTTTGTCGGGCTTGTGCGGATTCGCATGCAATGAGAATAGTTTGCGATAAGGTATTTAAGCCTGTCATTTTAGTTCAAGAATGCTAACTCCTGCCAATGTCTAGTGAATAGTTTGAAGAACTCGGAGAGTGGCATAATTAAGGATTGGATGCCTCCATGGATGAGAATTCCAGTTCCTGAGCTGTATGGATATAGTGTATCACAAGATGAGAGTCCAGTAAAGGCGATAAGTCATCAGTATTGATTGTTCGACAAGATTACAGCCTCTCGTGCCTGATCTGGGTTAGTACACTTATCCTGGCAGATGGTTGTACAAAGTAGCCTTAGACACCCAAACACCACTCAGCTTCATCTCAAATAGTCTCAATGCATCCCCGGCCCGGATTAGCATGAACTATACCCTACCGAGTAGCAGACAAAAGCGACCATCGCCATAGGCTAGGTAGACTGCGAAAATGGAGCGATCTCGCAGTCTGATTTCTAATGTCCCTATGGAGTATATTTATAAACTTAGTTTCTTTTTCATCTGCACATGTTCGTCCAATGACCGACAGATATGAAGTATGCCGGGTGTGAGCTTAGTAGGTAGGCTGTTGGTTGATAGATCATCCAGGGAACTCCAAGGCGTCCATGATCCATGATCCATGCTTGGGGTCAGCTCCCACGTTCCGGTCGGGGATACTGAAAGTGTCTAATATTGGGGAACCGGATTAATTTCGTAGAGTGATGCTGATAGGCGGTCGGGGGAACTTACGTATCCCGACCGAGATGAAGGATGCCAGGCGCTATCATTTTATCACTCATCGAGCAATAGCCGGCTAGCTAAAGAGAGATGCCAATCTCTTCCTCTTCCACTGCGATCGCACGACCGTTAGTGATGGAGCATAGCCTTTAATCAATTGCCAGTGGAGGCTAACTGGCCAAGTGGCCGGCCCAGTGTCCACTCGACAGCAATTAACCCACTCTCCAAATGGGTATGGATTGTCGCACACGCCCTCCATGGCACCATGTCGACCCGCACTCAAGCAACAGACTGTAACACCCGCGAGTCAAGCTTCTCCAATTCGAGCAGACCGACTCTAACTAAAGGGTACGCACTGGACGCCCATGTCCCTGTCCAACCGTGCAGGCTTGGAAGGTTAGACTGGTCGGTCGTCATTTCGCTTGCTTTGACTAACCTTACCGGCTTGGGAGGGAGATGCGCATGCGATGCGCCGTCCCGATGCAGATGGTTCCTGAGTTTGGCGGTCACTTTGACGGTCTCCAGTAGTTTAATCACTAAATTAAAATGACTGACACTGGTGTCGGAGGTAGACGTGGAATGGGGAAGGGAGAGACATCCCCTCGTCCACCTCAAAATGTCTCTTCCCGCTTGGATGGCATGTGATGTCAAGGAGATGGTGAGTTAAAGTTAAGTTTTCATCCTGGTCGCCTGGTGTGGCACTTTGCTCTATGGGGTGCTTTTCCCTGTCGTTTCTTTTTTTCGGGGGTTTCTGCTATTTCGGTTTGGTTTCCCCTGCTTTGTTTTTCCCTGCCCTGTGGATGACAATTTTCGCGATCGAGGCTGCATGACTATCTACTAGTTACTAGATTTGATGCTGTTGTCCAACCAATGTAAAGAAGCAAGTGCTGGATGGCAAAAAGTGATGCTGGTGCTGGTGCTGGTGTCCTCAGCTGCGAAGGTCCAGCAGCATTGCAATCTGAAACGTCTAAAAGTGACAAGAATGGAGTTCATTACCCCCATGTGGTTGGGAAAGGTGGCACTCCGGACTCCGTTTCGGTTCCTGAATTGCAATCCATCCGCCGCGAACCGTGGAACAACTTCTGTCGGCAATACGGGAACCGTCCGTGAGTCGTAATGCTTTTTTCAGGCGAACGGATGGGGATGATGTGGAATATCAGTATGCTTTCTTTTGTAGACCCGCAAGCCACCACCGATCGCATCAAGTGTATAACCTGGATAGACCATAGAATACGATCAAGGGACCCAGAGCGACGGGTAGAATAGTCATCACGTAGGGATCATAAGGTGTGTTCTGGACCCCAACAGCTGGGCTGGTGGGTGGGTTTTTGGAGAGTGGGTTTCTGCCCCTGGCGTCGTAACCGCCATACCGGAAGTCGTACGGGACTTGGTTCCTGAGAGGGTCATCCCCAACTGACTGACAATCTGTTGCTTTCTTCAGCTTTGGCTGTGGGTGTCATGCAGTCTGGCCCTTGATTGCTGGATCGTCTGTGGGAGATGGCCAGGAACCACGGTCTCAGCTGCGGTACTATTTTTACTACCTGGGCTGCTTTTTATGACTTGTTTCAACTTTCAAGCATATTGGAAAGGCAGATTTTAGGAATTAATAGAGAAAAAGAGAGAAGACAGAGTACCGACAAGGATTTTGGAGGTAACAACAACTCCGCGTGCCATCAAATTGGACCCCTCTCCTCCTTCCCCCTCTCTCTCTCCCTCTGTCTACTTAGTCTCTTCATTATTAGCATTAATTATTCACCGCAGCGCCGTTGCTGGCCGGCTCCTTTTCCACTTCGCACCGTCCACTTGTTTCCACTTCAGTTCAGCTCAACATAGTAAAGCGGCCGACTTGGGCCAACGCCCCAGCCCAGCCCCATCCCGGTTCGCTTCAACCTTGATGCCACCAATTAACTTTGCTTGCCGCTCAGGAGTTCTTCCATCTCCTCTCCTCTCTGCGACAGCTTCTCCCGCTTGGGTGTGTTTTTTTCTTTCTCGGATTTCTAGTCGGGGTGTGTTGAGATAGATACCTTTCTATCTGGCTGGTACTGCCTAGACCCGAGGAACTCTTCCTGTCCATTCCCTGTCACTCCCTTTCTGCCATTCTTGCCCTTAAGCCCCTCTGCGGTGACCGCCAGTGGTGCAGCTTCGCTCTCTCTCTCTCTTCTCTTTCTCAGTTGGCGTTTCTGTCAGTGTCCAACTGTTTGCTCCCTCTCTCCCTTTGTTCGCACTGTGGTCGGGATACTCCTGTAATTGTCCCCTTTCCCCTTACCTTGGATTCACTTGTTCCGGTCCATCTCCCCGCCTTTCCGGTCACCCTTCTAACCAGCTTTCACTGCTTCGATAGGAACCTTCCCGCTTTTTTATTGTACCTGCAGGTTAGAGACCGCTTGACGTCGCAGAGTGCCGCAGGCCGCCATCTCACGCGACGGAACCGCCCACATAAATCATAATCCTAATAAAAGGACATCAAGAGTGAACCTTCGCACTTCTGGCGCACCGATTCGCGACTGATGACTCCCGCCTCTATTTCATGACCAATCACCACATTTCTGTCCACCATTCGCCGATCTATCTCTGCCCAACCCGTTCCTCCCCCCCTCTTCCTGGCCTGCAACCGTATAAAGGGCCATGACGGGCTCTCAGCCTGAATCGCCAGCGGATGCGCCCCAGCGTCCTTTTAGCGGCATCATGCGGACCCCCCGGAGCACCAGTCGCTTGAGTATGAGCAGTAGACATGGTGGAGGAAGTCGAGCATCGGATGAGGATGGGAAAACTGCGGTCAAAGTCGGTGCGTTATTTCGTTCAGTGCGTGCGCCCGTTGGGACTGAGCCGGTTCAGATGCGGTATTGCGGATACCGCTCGCCTCGGCGCCTCCAACGCCCCACGTGCGCGGCTTCATGATTATAGCTCTGCATACTGATTACGTTTCTAGCTGTTCGAGTGCGACCGCCCCTGAAGCCAACCGATCCCGGATATGAATTGGTTCCCCAGCGCTTCCAGCGTCCCATGGTCCATGTCACAAATCCCACCAGTGTTGCCATCGATGTTCCTCAGGGCCGAAAGTTGTTTGTTTTTGACCGGGTGTTTGCTGAGACGGTCGATCAGGATGGTGTCTGGGACTATCTCAGCGATAGTGTCGGCTCGTTTCTACAGGGTTACAACGTTTCGATCCTGGCCTATGGCCAGTCCGGCGCGGGAAAGTCCTACACCATGGGAACTTCGGGCCCCAGTGAACAAAGTGACCCGAAAGCGATGGGTTCGTTCTGCTCCCCGAGAAGCGCGCGATGTGCGGCGCATTCGGCTGACGAAAATAGGAATCATTCCCCGGGCTGCTCAGCTTCTCTTCGAAAAGCTAGAGGGCCCTACCAAACCCAATCGCAACAGCGGCACAGGCCTCCGTACTCCGTCCCGCTATTCTGTCGGCTCCGCCTCCAGCTTTGGGAAGGCTAGCGTCGAGAAGAACTGGCAGCTGAAGGCCACCTACGTTGAAGTATGGGACCCCACATCGGATACTGCTTCGCGAGTAGAAAATACTAACGGTTGCAGATCTACAATGAACAATTGCGAGATCTCCTTGTGCCCGAATCAACACATCAGGGCGAGCGGGGCACAGTCACCATCCGCGAGGATGCAAAAGGACGTATCATTCTCACCGGTCTACATCAGGTGAATATCAATTCATACGAAGATTTGATGGGTGCTCTTAGCTTCGGTTCTTCCATCCGACAGACCGACTCTACCGCCATCAACGCCAAGTCTTCCCGATCGCACGCGGTGTTCAGTCTGAACCTTGTTCAGCGAAAGGCATCCAACGGTGTCATGTCCCCGACACCCAAGGAAAAGCGCATGTCGATGCCAGTGGAAATGATGTCTGGCTCCGATGCCTCCGTTATGGTGGATAGCAAGCTTCATTTCGTGGATTTAGCAGGAAGTGAGAGGCTGAAGAACACTGGAGCCTCTGGTGAACGGGCAAAGGAGGGTATCTCGATTAACGCGGGTCTTGCTGCTTTGGGCAAGGTCATTTCGCAGCTCTCCTCTCGCCAGGCTGGCGCTCACGTCTCCTATCGTGACTCGAAGCTCACACGTCTGCTTCAGGACTCCCTGGGTGGTAACGCTTATACATACATGATCGCGTGTGTCAACCCCGCGGAGTTCCATCTCAGCGAAACCGTGAACACGGTTCAGTATGCTCAAAGAGCCAGAGCGATCCAGAGCAAGCCACGCATCCAGCAGATTGCCGACGAAAGCGATAAGCACGCAGTTATCGAACGACTGAAGGCGGAGGTTGCTTTCTTGCGCCAGCAGCTCCGTAATGCGGAAGAGAACGGCCGTCGAAGCGCTGCCCCACAGGATCGAGCGGAGCGACAGAACGAGAGGGAGGTCGAACTCCAGAACCAGCTTCTCGATACGCAAGAGAGTTACAACGCTCTCAGCCAGCGGCATGCGAAATTAATCTCGGAGATCGCTAGGGACTCCGAACATGCTGGCGCGACAGACCCCAATGATGTCGTCAGCTTGGTCGGGAAAACTTCTGTTGAGCGTCTGAAGCGATCACAGTCCTTTGCAGAGTCGATCGAGCAGGTCGTTCTGGAGTACGAGAAGACTATTCAGAGCCTCGAGTCGTCTCTTTCTAACACTAGGTCCTCTCTCTCAGTAACGGAGAGCACGCTTCTCGAACGCGAGACGAAGTGCGCATACGTTGAGACCGTCAACTCCCAATTGCAGGCACGGATTCAGAAGCTGCTTGATCGTGAGAACAGCACAGAGACTTATCTGCATGAGTTGGAAGCGCGGCTTGATGGGCAGTCCACTGGTGAAGAGAAGCAAGCGGCTATCGTGGCTGAACTTCGGAAGGAGCTCAGTCGGGCCCGCGAAAGTGAAGCCAACTGCGAAGACTATATTTCCACGCTTGAGGAGCGCTTGGCCGAAGCCGACCAAGACATGGAGCTCATGCAAAGGGAAATGGAACGCCTGGAGCATGTTATTGAGCGCCAGCGCAGCCTGGGCAAACTGGATAACCTTTTGTATGAACTTGATCATGTCCAGCAGAACGGCAACCAGAAGGATCTGTCCGAGGACGAGCTTGAGACTCATACTCCAGTTCCCGTCAAGGGCGCCTACAAACCTCGCACTCGAGCAACATCCCTTTCCCTTGATGTCCTGACCGAGGCAGTGGAGACCGCCATACCCGAATCAGACGAAGGCTTGACAGAGCCCACCCCAGAAGCCGTACGCGAAGCTTCCATGGAAACTGAGGCGACTGCTGAGACAGACGAGACCAACTTGAAGGTCCTAGAATCGGCTACTGACCGCCTGGAGGCCCAGGAGAACGGTGCCCGTGCGAGTCGAGCCTCTACTCCCACCCAAACCAAGGTGGTTGCGGACAAGCTGGAGACAGTCACCCAGGAGTTGTTTGACTTGCGTATGCAGCACGAGTCTACTGTGAGTGAGTACGAGACGCTGGAGGCGAAGTATGCGGAAGCAATGAAAGCCCTGGCGGAGTTCCAACGGGACGCCGCCGACGAAGCTCGCCATCCCGACGAACAGGTTCAAGAACTTCTCTCCACTAATGTTGAATCCCGTCCGGTGTCTTTTTTAGAGGAAGGCAAGGCCCCCGGCTCGAACGATGGAAAACAACCGTCGTCCTCGCCATCACTCTCTTCGGAGTTATCCTTGGCCGGGGAGCCTGCTTCTTCGCACGAGCAATCTACCTTGAGTAATGGTGAAGTACCACAGGAAAATCACGTCGACACTCGAGAGATAGATGAAGCGAAGGCCCAAGAAGTGGAGCAGATGCGTCGCTTGCTCGTGGAGCATCAGGAGGGTGTTTCGATTATGACGCAGAAGTATGCCCAGTTGCAGTCGGAGCATGAAGGAACCCTCAGCCTCATTGAATCGCTAAAGGCCGAACTGCAGCGAAAGAATTCTTCACCGCCGACCACGCCAGGCTTCAAGTCCCCTGTAATTCGGAGAAAGACAAGCCAGAGTCTGATTGGTACTGTCGATCGGGCTCACCGCTCCCTTGCCGCCTTGCGTAATATTGCAGTTGAGGAATTTGAGGCCCGCCCTGATACGATGCAGAACTTCGAAGTCCACCTCGACTCGGCTATGCACGAACTACACAATCGCATGGAACGTATCCAGGCGCTGGAGGCCGAAAACCAGAGCGTCAAGAAGGAAATGGAGACCAAATCGACCATCATCTCCGGGCTCACTCGTGAAAGGTCGAGCTTGCAGGGAGGCGGTGGGTCCTCGGTCGACATGGGCCTCGTCAATCAACTGCGCGATCAAGTGGTGCAGCAAGAGAATCTCATCAACGAGATGAAAGAATCACACGACACCAGAGAGAAGCAGCTTCTCGCCGAGATCGAAGAGTTGAAGAGCCTCCTGAAGACGCAGGAAGAAGCCGCTAAAGCCCAGGATGTGTGCGCTGAAGAGCAAGATAGGAAGATCTCTTCTCTCGAAGGCGAGGTCACGGAATTGAAGAGCAAACACCAGAACGCCGTTGAGTCGTTGCAATCGTCCGAACAGGAATTGAGCGCGACACTGGCAGAGCTCGACAAGGCTTTGGCGTCCATCGACGCGATGCGTTCCGAACAGGCGGCCGCCGGTGAAGCGTCTGCCTCGAAGGATGCTGCCGCTAGAGAATTGGAGTCCGAGAGGGAGCAACAAGAAGAACTCGTTGCAAAGTTGAAGCATGTCATTGACGAACACAAGGCCACCACTGATGCCCACCTTGATAAGATCGCCTCCCTCGAAAAGTCTCACAGCGAAGCCCAGCTGCAGCTGTCAGAACTCCGGACAGCAAAGGACAACGATAGCAGCGAGGTCCAAGTACATCAGTCTCGTGTGTCAGAGCTGGAGAAGGAGATTGACTCCCACAAGTCACTTGCTGACTCGTACAAGAGGGAATTGGAGTCCCTACAAGAGTCCCACAAGCAGGAGGTGACGGAACTTGAAGCTCGGGCTACAGCAGCCGCGCAGGTTGACTATGAGTCGCGATTCGCCACTATGAGCGCCGAGCATGAGGAGACAATGAAGACTTTGAAGTCTGAGATCCTAGAGTCGCGGGAAGAGTTGACGAAATTGCTCAATATGGTTTCGAAACTCCTCAACGCTGATGTTACCGCAGAGACCATGGCGGAGCAAATTCAGGAGATCATGGCTCAGAAGCAGCACTTCTCCGACAAGTACGCCGAGATGCTGGATACCAACGAGGATCTGCGTAAGCAACTTGAGACCAAGGGATCTGATGATGGCCGGCTGGAGGAGCTCATGCAGAGCAACTCCACGAAGGAAGCGAAGGTTAACGAGCTGGCTCTTCTGGTTGCCACTCTCGAGGATACTCTGCGCCAGAAGGAAGAGCAGGTCAAGAAGAAGGAGGCGATCATTGCCGAAGTCAAGGCCGAAAAGGAGAAGAGTGTCCGCTTGGTGGAGGAGCTGGAGGAACAGATCACCAATAGCTTCGACCAGCACCACAACCGTCTCTCTGTCATTCAACAGGAGCGTGACCAGGCTTTGGAAGATGCCAAGGTGAAGATTGCAGCCTATGAGAAAGATATTGAGACATACCGCGTACGGATCGAGCAGCTTGAGGTAAGTGTTTGGATATCAAGAATTACATATGGCAATGACTAACATTCATCTAGCTCCAAATCAAGAACCAAGACAGCTCTCATGACCGCAGCAGCTCGATCACGTCCAATCTCCGCAAGAGCTCATCTGCAACCTCTCTCCCTTCGCCGCCTCCCGCCATTCCCCTGCCTCCTCTACCGAACATTGCCTCGGCCACAAACGGCACTGGCAGTATCTCTCCCCCCAGCTCCCGTCATACTAGCAAGGAGCTGGTGAACCCACAGATTGTCGATGATCAGGAGGCTCGCATTCGCACCATCGAGAAGCACCTGAACGCCGAGAAGCAGCTCACCGCCACCTTGGAAGAAGCTCTGGGCGACCTTGAAGCGCAAAGCAACAAGGTCAAGTCGGATTGCGACGCTTGGAAGAAGAAGGCTCGGGAGCTGGAAGAAGAACTGACCACGCTCCGCAAGGAGCGCGCCTCCCAGCGCCTCTCACTGCAGGCCGTCGAGGAGGAACGCAACGCTCGCCGGGAGGCCGAAGCCGCCCGGGCGCAGCTCGAGGAGCGGATGAATGCGCTCAACAAGAAGAAAAAGAAGAGCACTCTCAACTGCTTCTAGATTTGATCGATCTACATTAGCGGATATCATTTGCTTTGCTTTGCCTTGCCTTGTCCTGCCCGCCTTTGTTTTTCACGTCCCTTTTGGCGCCACGATGTTCAGTCTTCTCTGTATTATGAACTAACTCAACGTCGATTCCCCCTTTCTTCGCCTCGTTGATACCTCCCCTTATTTCTCTTCTGTGTAATTTCCTTTCACGGCTTTTCTTCTTCCTCGTGCACCTGACTGACCCCCTTCACTTCTGCTCCGCCTATTTTGATGAATCCTGACTTTATGACTTATAAGTATGGCCCGTGATTGTACATTTTCCGACTACCCTGACCATACATTGATACATGTGTTCTTTGAGAATGTTTTATTCCCAGTCCAGCATGAGCAGCCGAATTTCTGCTTTGCTCTTTCTTCTTCTAGTTAGAATTGTCGTCGGTAGGAAGCTGTTAGTTGCCGGGACGTAGATTGATTTGCCTGATGTCAGTTGCTTCGATGTTCCTCGATTTAGAACAATCTAGAGATTCTCATGACAATAATTAAAGTGACAAATATACTCTAGAAGAAATATTCTAGTACCCTGTCTCATTATTATAGCGATCTAAATATACGCCCCCCCCGGTTCCCGAACGGCGATAAGAGAGATAGATAGATCATCACATGACGCAATCTCCCAATCGGCCGCGTGTCTCTTTCCACCTCCGCAACTAAATAAATCAACTACAAAAACCACCAGCTACGAAACCACCTCAAATCCCAATCCGCAATGCCAATGTCCACATAAAAGCAAAACCCTCCGACTCAATTACCCTCTCATCACAAAACCCCAACGAAAATCAAAAGAAGAAGGGAAACAACAATGCCCCCCGCCAAAATCACCATCATCCACCCCGACCTCGGCATCGGCGGCGCAGAACGTCTAATCATTGACGTGGCCCTCGCACTACAATCGCGCGGCCACCCTGTTACAATTTACACCTCGCACCGGGATAAATCGCATTGTTTCGAGGAAGCGCGCGATGGGACGCTTGATGTGCAGGTGCGCGGGAATACGATCTTCCCGGCGCATGTGGGCGGACGGTTATTTGTGCTTATGGCTATTTTGAGGCAGTTGCATTTGACGTGGGAGTTGTTGGTTGGGGAGGGTGGTACAAGTGGAGGAACTGAGGATGGTGAGGAAGAGGTGTTTATTGTGGATCAGATGCCTGCTTGTGTGCCGTTTTTGAAGGTGTTTGGGGGGAAGAAGAATAGCAGGAAGAAGCAGAGGATTTTGTTCTATTGTCATTTTCCGGATCAGTTGCTTGCGAGGAGGGATGAGGGGGGTTCTGTGTTGCAGGTGCTGAAGGGGTTGTATCGTGTGCCGTTCGATTGGTTTGAGGGGTGGGCTGTGAGTGCGTCGGATAAGGTGGTTGCGAATTCGAGGTTTACGAGGGGGGTGGTTAGTGGGGTGTTTGGGAGGGAGAAGGTTGGGGAGTTGAGTGTTGTTTATCCGTGTGTTGATACTAAGGCTGGGGATGGGGGTGAGGGGGTGGTGAAGGATGGGGAGCAGTTATGGGGTGGGAAGAAGATCTTGCTTAGTGTTAATCGGTTTGAGAGGAAGAAGGATCTGGCGCTGGCGATTCGTGCGTATCATGGTCTTGGGGCGGAGAAGAGGAAGGGGACGAGGTTGGTTGTTGCTGGTGAGTATTGCCCTTTTTTTGAGTGCTGTGGATGCACTCTTTTGCTGGTTGAGAGGAGTGCGCTAACTGGTTGTGTGCGTGGTGCAGGTGGTTACGACAATCGCGTCCAGGAGAACGTGCAGTATCATCGGGAGCTCGATGAGTTGGCGACTGGGTTGGGCTTGCAGACGGCGACATCTAAGACGGTTATTTCGGCGCTTTCGATCCCCGATTCTATCGATGTCCTGTTCCTGCTGTCCGTGCCGACGGCGTTCCGTGATACCCTTTTGCTGCAGGCGAAGTTGCTTCTGTATACGCCAATCAACGAACACTTCGGGATTGTGCCGGTCGAGGCGATGCGCGCTGGTGTGCCGGTGCTTGCTTCGAATACTGGAGGGCCGTTGGAGACCATTGTGGAGGGCGAAACGGGCTGGCTCCGTGACGCCAAGGTGGATGCCGATTGGACTGCGGTGATGGACAAGGTGCTCTATGGTATGAAGCAGGAGGAGCTGGACAGGATGTCTGTGGCTGCGAAGGAGCGAGTCGAGAAGGAGTTCTCACTGACGGCTATGGGCGAGAAACTCGAGCAGGAAATCGAGGAGATGCTCGGCCAGGAGCAGCGGCCATTCCATGGCTTCCAACAGGTTCTTGCCTTGCTTGCATTGGTGGGAGTGGTGCTTGCCCTCGCTGCTGCATTTCTCGTGAAGCTGGTTTGATTGTTTGTTAGAATAATACCCTTGACTTGCGTGTACAATATTCAATTCGTGATGCTCAGTTCATCCACTTTGATATCCAGTAGATATTGAATGACTTCACGTGACACCGCGCCACCGACGTGATCCCCGCGACACGTGCCGTTATCTCCAACTTGGCAGTTGTTCTTCATCCCCGCCATTGCCTTCACAAAGTTGGGCTTTTTGGTGTTTTGGGCAAGATGCCAGAGGTCATCGACCTCCTCTCCTCCACCCCTCCGCCCCCGATAGATAGACGCGAGCAGCTGTCCATCCGCCGGGCTCATTCGCACCCGCCTGTCGTGCCCGCCTCGGACTCCATCTTTTCCGACGAAATCGATCTCTCCGCATTTACCTACGATAACCCCATTGAGCAGCCCGCCAAACGACGACGCTTGAGCCATGAGATTACACCCGCTAAAGAAGTCCCGCTGCCGCCAGTAAAGAACTCGCTCTTCCTCTTCTCCGATGACGACATAATCTTATCCTCGGACGGTCACGCCCCTGCGAAACCTCCGGCCTGGAATGGAGAATCCGACCCGATCGTCTTTACCTCGTCGGCGCCTGAAACCAGACATAATCTACCAGTCAGACCAGCCATATCATCGCGTGATATCAACCCTATCTCGATCGACGATGAAGATGATAACATTCCCAACGGCACGCGCAATCAGAATCGACTACGGAGGGAGGAGATCCAGGTGTCCAGCGACCAACTTGATTTCCCAGACGTCGACGATTTACTTGATGTAGCTCAGCGAGTGGAAGCAAATGCATTTTCAAGCCGGACAGCGAACCTACTAGCAACTCTGGAAGACCGTTCTCACGGCAGCAATGACGATTCGGTGCGCCGATCGACGAGAGGCCGCAAGCAGTACGACCAGAGCGATGACATAGAGGTCAAAGAGATGCCGCCACCGCGGAAGCCCCAGCGCAAAACCACCAAGGTTACAAGCGAAGAGAAGGAGGCCAAAGCCAGAGAGCGGGAGGCGGCCAAGGCGCAACGAGAACGAGATAAACAACTCGAAAAGGAGCGCAAGCAGAAAGCCAAGGAGGATAAAGCCCGCGAAAAGCAACTAGCAGCAGACATTGCTGAGGTCAACAAGCTCAAGGTGGACAAGAAGGATTCTACGCATGAGATGCTCATTGACCTGGCCTCTACTTTTACCGACACAAGTCTCGGCAACCAAACATCAGAGCTCATGCGTCTTCTCAAAGTTGATCTCACGTTCTTTCCCAGTGCCATTCCAAATATCGTCAAGTGGCGTCGCAAGGTCCGAGCTACATACAATGACTCCCTGGGACACTGGGAACCGTGTGCACTTCACATCCGTGAGGAAGAGGAGCATGTGTTGTGCTTAATAGCGGCCCAGGACTTGATCGATATGATCGTGGCTCCTTCAACCACCGAGCCAAGAAACACTGTCAGCGATCACGTTCGACGCCTGAAATCTGCCTACCCAAAGTCTCGGCCGATCTATCTGATTGAAGGTCTAACGAGTCTGATGCGGAAGAATAACAATGCGCAGAACAGGGCCTACCAAGCCGCTGTACGACGACAATTTGAAGACACTTCTGCTCGTCCATCAGGTCGGAGGAAACAACAGCAACCCGAAACTATCACACCTATAGACAGCGACACGGTTGAAGACGCTCTGCTCGATCTACAGGTGACTCACTCGTGTCTAATACACCACACGAGTTCCCCCGCAGAATCCGCAGAATGGATCAAGAATTTCACCGAGTATATTTCCACTGTACCTTATCGTCGTGAGCGGATGGACCTGAATGACTCCGCATTCTGTATGGACGTGGGACAAGTCAAGCCCGGCGAGAACCGGTCCGACGCCTTCGTCAAAATGCTCCAGGAGGTGAACCGAGTCACGGCGTCAATGGCATATGGTATTGCAACACAATACCCAAGTGCGATGGATTTGGTGAACGCAATGAGGAAACACGGACCGGGACTGCTGGAAGATGTCAAAGTATGATAATTCTGTTCCCACCTTATTCGATTACCTCTCCAAGTACATACTGACGGTTATACCTTCAGAAATCAGCAAACAAAAACGGCGCTCTTACCGACTCACGCATCGGTCCGGCCGTGAGCAGACGATTGTATAAAGTATTTATGGGAATGGATCCGACCTCGACTGATATATGAGCATATCTTTTGATCGGCGAACATTGTCCGTCTCTTTCATTGGAGTTATACTTGCAGCGGTATTGGAGCATATATTCTGGGTTCGTTATTGGCACGATAGATACGACTTTTATCGGTATACTCACCACTCTTTTTTTATCACGGATTGGCATTATATTGCCCCCAACATCATTATTGGTATCGGTTTATCTTGGTATTTATGTCTATTCAGCTTTCGTATTGGGAGTCTGGAAGACACCTTGCATAGATTTTACTACCCTTACCAAATAGATATTGAAACATAACTCCCCCGGAGAATGAGCCAGACTGGTTGCATCCTACCATCATATCTAAAGTTGCTTATTCTACCATTCCGATATGACAAGAAACAACAATAAGAAATTGATCAATCTCTGGGCACGTGCCTTCTATAACCCGTGGGACCAAACCTACTTGTCGTTTATCACTTATTCAAGAAGGGAAGCATGTCTACGCAGGGTGGCGACACTATCCTAGAATCCCGGAACAACTACTCCTACCCGTTACTGAATCCCCCGTCCTGAATAATGGCGTGAAAGATTCGAAACGCACAATCCAAATTGATTGATAATAAAGGCTAATTTAACACATTATAAACAAAGAACAGGCTAACTTCCAAACATGCTGTACAGAAAAGGTAATAGTGCTTTTTGTCTGGTTCAGAGCTGCATCAGAAGATGGTTTAGGCGCCCTGATATATCCCCGCGAAGAGACTGTTGAATCCAACGGAGGGAGTTCTGGTAAACTGACTGAACGTAGAGCTGTAGTAGTTTCAGCGCATGACAAAATGGTATAAACAATGCATGAATCATAAACCCAGGCTCATTTGCGAGGTGTTGAAACAAGAACCAGCGAGAAGTACGTCAGTTAGTAGACAATCTACAAAGCCCGCAGATTGATCGCGGAACTTCGCTTGGATACTGTCTTGTGCGTTTCCAGCCCCATTAGCTGGCGAACTGCCGTCTGTGCTGACCGCACACTGTAATCCATCGTCACGGCCACCTCTCCCGGGATGTCCACGAATTGGCCAATGAGTCCGAGATTGTCAATCCCCGGGGGTATCACTTGTGGTCGATCGCCGCGCAAGCGGGGCAACAGTGTTGCCGCTGCTCGTGGAACCACGCAGGGTAGGGTAATCGAGTGGTCTAGGATCCCCTGCACAGGAAAATTCAGTTGTTTTAATATCTCTTCCATGATTTCTTGTCCCGAGCATTCGAGCATGGGTTTCTTGACGTAGTCGCCCTCCCGCTCGGGGTACATTGCGTAGCCCCAGAGCACCTGCACGTGCGCAGGTTGATCGGGGAATAGAGGCTGCTGGGGGAGATTGAGGTTCAGGAGCCAGGGAGTGTCTTTGAGGGTGACGAAAGTGCCGCATCCTACTTTATCACCGGTGAGGGCGGTAAAACGGTTGAAGAACTCGGGGGAGGAAAAGGTGACGGTGAAGGATTCCAGGCGGGACTCTCCCATGCGGGTGCAGAAGTTGTATGCATTCCCGAAGATAGGGTTCTTAGTGGATAGCTCCAGCCACAAAAGCCAGTTCTCGTCCAAGTCTTTCTCGATCTCCATTAGTTCCAGGGATGGTGGGGACGTATTGGTGCCCGTTGTGGAGCCGGACATAACCGAGCCTAGTGACACCAGCACGATGTCCCGCGGCCCCAGGTTTATCGTCTGCTCGGGCTCATCTTCATGTATGGCTTTGATGGCTGATACCCGGTGTGGATCGCTGCTTGAAGGGGTAGTGATGATATCAGTGACTGTCGTGTGAAAGCGGAAGTCTACGCCCCGGGACCGCAGGAACTGAGCGACCGGTGCGACGATAGACTCGTGCCGATTGAAACGGCCACCATCTAGCTTCCGGCGAAGGTGGATCTCGTGAATGCTGTGCATGTAGTGTTGAAGATAGCGCCGGAACTCGGCTGCACTATGGACAGGCTTTATGCCAAAGCTAGGAGGTTGTTAGGCATGGCAAATAGATGATACAGAGGTACAACTCACGTCGTGGAAAGTAGCATCCAGTAGCAGCTTTTGAAGAAGCTATTGCTGAAATGGTCGCAGATGCGCGAGCGGCCCAGGGACTTGTCCGATTTTGAAACCAGCATGAAGAGGTCCACGCGGTCGCGCAGTCCCAAACTCGCTCGTTTGGCGTCAATGCGATCAAGACTATGTTTATGACGGGTGAGGAAGCGAGTATGAGGACGATCTTTAATGGCTTCGGTAGCCCAGAACTCGTCAAGGTTTTCAAGGACGGTCTGGTTTGACTTTGTCCTAGAGGGAACCAAGGAGAGAAGTTCTTCCATACAGGCGTCGTTGAATGGAGGCATCCCTCCTGCCCGGCAATCATATCCATTGATCGGGTCGCCCGTACTGATAGTCCCGCCGCCAGCTTGACTGAGGGTTTCAAGGATGTGAACACGAGATGGAGGCACATGCGCTTCCTGGATGAGGTGTACAGCTGCAGTCAGAGAAGAAATGCCGGCCCCTAGAATCCACGCATCCATCCCCTCTGGCGACCGGCGCTCAGGCGGAGGAGTTGGCGGTGCCGAAATGGAAGACATGACGGACAATGGTTGTTACTGCTTAATCGAGACAGCCACGAGGACAGCCAACCGGTATATAAAGCGACGCCCACGGCGTTCTGGACTTCACGGGTGTGGCGGGAAGGTTTCTGATGTCAAGGCTCGCCGATATCCTGACACTCTGGGAGAACCATGGTTCGCAACGGTTAGACCCACGCTGACGACACAATGATTTGCTTGCGCAAGATAGGCAGTGTATTCGATCCAGATAATATTCGTTCTAGCAAAGTCATCTTAGGCCGTGTTCATTCTAGAACTGGCCACGAAAATATAACTCTGGCTGGTTACTTGTTACTGCCAAAGGGACACTGTCCCCTGTGTTCCTTTTCCAATACTTCTACAAACTCACCCACGGACTTTCGTCCCTTTCCTTCGAAGTACCTCGGTCCCAAATTGGCTACATCAAAGCCCCCGGGGTAGTAAGTTTCGCCATCATCGCCGGGAAGTGGAAGGCCTAGGGCCCACGTCAACCACGCCGCTGGACCCCAGCGGTTCCAGACGGTGGGTTGCACGTAGTATGGCATTCCTTTCCAAACTCGAACATAATACCGACCCTCTTCATTAGGAGTATCGCTGAAAACTTCTTCTCGGAGAAGCATCGGCCGAGGAAGCCCAAGGTATCGCAGGAAATACTTCCGTAGGGCTACTAGCCCCGCAAAAATCCTCCGATACCGCATGGGTGGCGCCTCGTACCTGATTTATCAGCACATGGTTCTCGGCATAAGCCATCTTAAAGAATGTGTTATGCAAGAAAAGCTCACATCATTGCTTCCCGCAATCTATTGTCCATCACACAAGTGGCAAAACCGACAGCGACGCCTCTCACCCACTCGGGAAATCCGTAAACAATGACATCCATCGTCTTGTTCGCTACCAGTCTGTTCCGGTGGTCGGGTCTCATGTTGTCTTCTTCATAATGGTCACTCCACTGCCGGAGCTCTTCCAAGAAATGCAGGCCATCTTTGAACCCGCTTTTTCCCGACGGTAGCGCATGATAGCTGATATCCAACGCATCTCCCAGGCTCTTCCAGTACGTTCCGATGGCACACTGTTCCAACTCCGTCATTGTCCTCCACTCGAACCGTTCCACAAAGCGGATGGGCTCTGTGGCGAATAGGCTCAGGGTATAGAGCATGTCAGGCTCGAGGATTCTACCGCTGGCACGGTATCCGGAGTGTAGGAATTTGGTTCGGGCAATGGCAGTGCGCGCACGAGAGGAAGTAGGAGGGCATGTCACGAACTGACCGATAAGGGCACCCGTATCTGCATAGCGCTTGAAGGAGGTGGCAGGGTCTGAAAGCTGGGAAGTATGCAGAAGGAGGGAAGAGATGGTCGGGATGCCGTATGTCTGGATAGGAGATCACATGTTATCAGTAGGATTCCATGACGAGGGGAGGTAAGGAGGAACAGTTACCCGAAAGAGTGCAAACTGAAGGGCTTTCACTGCAGTTGTAGGGAACTCGAGTTGCATTATGTTCTTTTGTATGGCCCATGCATCATGGACGGTCATTTGAGACATAGATGCACGGTTTGCATACTGTGGGTAGTCGCGGTAGAGATCGCGAACGCGCTGAAAGCGAAGAGTAGAGACGAGGAGAAGGTAGGCGAGGAAGGCGAGTGTGAGGGTGAGGGTGATGGGAAGCGAGACTGGTAGTTGATGGATTGAAGATGTGAGAGTGGTAAGGGAAAAGGCGGTTGTAAGGGGCATGATGATGATGATGATGATGATGGATTCAAAGTCCTGGGATGGTTGAATAGATCTATGATGAAGTTGAGATGCTCCATTAGGAAGGTCCGTCGGTCTGTGGTGCCCATTATATACTACAACCGCACGAAGACAGAAATCACATCCCTGTGTATCATCATTGTCCCATACATTCTTTCCTATGGTCAGCAGCTCAATGCCTGTGGTATACATCCTCTATAGTTGCACCCGTCGTAACGAGTTCATATGCCACTATCTTGAACGGAACGCGGACCGAGGATGGGGAGCGCGGGGTAGCCGATCCCTAGGGCCGATCACTCGAATGGGTGAGCCAGTCAGGGTGGAACAAATGGGGATTATGTGCAGCAGGTCTGATAACCCTTGCCGGAGAGATGAATCCGAAATCATACGAGCATCTTGTCTATCCGCAATACGCTGGTTGAAACCGCGGTGGCCTATGAGATGCAGCATCTTGGAAGGGTAGATATCGTATTCAGCGTATTCCTAGATGGAAAAGACATAATACGTCAGCGATCAAGGAACACAAATGACATGTGCTGAATAACCTCAGATGGTGTGGAGCTGATGTGGTGGTTGTCCACGGAAGAAAATGCACGTAACCGCGGGGTTGAATGAGGAGTGGTAGCACAACTTCTCGATCAACCGGATACCTTTCCTCAGTACTGTCAGTCATACTAGTATATACCAATCAGTCTTTCGCTTCGTGAAGCCAGTCTCATCTTGGGCAGGGTGTAGGGCGGACTCCTGCCCATTTGAATCCCTATAGAAAATATAGTAGAATGATAAAGTACTAAGTATACTAGATTACTATTGACAGAGAAGGTAATGACTGCATGGAGTCTGCCAGGGATCAGCTGACACGGTGTAAGTCATGTGCTACACCATCTCCTCTTTCGCTCTCATCTTGCTATCAATCGACACCTCAACCATTATGTCCCGGACCCCAGCTGAGCTGGGAGTTTCATCCACACTACCACGCACACGCGTACTGTATGCTGAAGCTCGCACTTGCGACCACTCATCCACTGATCCCGTTCCTGCAAAGAACAACGGCCTCGGCCATGACAATGACCTCATCATCTGCGCGCGTTTTGAAGACACGCTGGAATCGGATGTTTGGCCACGCATGGCGCAACATTTTATCTTGAATGTCTTTGTGACGCGGTGGAATATCGGGCGCATCAAGATCACCGAAGCACATATGATTCCCAAATCAAGTTCGACAATGGACCATATGGACTGGAGGTATCCGTTTGCTGGGAGGCATTAGTAATTTTCATCGTTTGACCAACAGGGTAGATGGGTTGGCATACTGGTAGCATCCGCCGTCACGTATCTCTTGAACGTGATCATACGCAGAAACCCGACGGCACAGACCCTTTTGTCATTGTCAGTATTACAGTCAACCAGTTTAACAATTTGCGTAGCAGGAAACATACAATCCACCAAATCCAAAAAGAAGACTTAATTCCACCTTCTTTCGGGGCGTCAGTTTCATTCCCCAAACCACAATCAAGGGCACCAAGATCAATACGAAGTTCTCAGCCAGCGCAATTGACCCAGCTATGATGTAAAATGTATTTCGCCCACGCATGCAGCTGCCATCAATATGTTTGATCCAGAAATAACGCACAGGCCAGCATTGGAAGATGCTGACAAGCAGGGAAGCAATGCCCCAGGCAAGCGTGAACACGATCAATGCGGTGGTAAGCTTCCGCCAATATGTGATGGCTCCGAAAAGCTTGCGGAGCAGAACGAGGTAGGAAATCTTCACGAAGACGTGGCCTAATACCCAGAACTTCGTTGAGCACCAGAAGAGCTAGCCCATTTGATTAGAAGTTGGCCCTAAAGCGGGAGGTGGGTGTACTCACCAAAGTGACTGTTCCTCTGGTAGGCCTGGAGAGGGACCAGAAATCGTGACCAACGCCGTTGAATGCCGCTAGATTACATGTAAGCTAATTTACAATGGAACTGGGGCTATGATGTAACTAACATATCACAGTACAGAGGGTTAGCCCGTATGAGAAGACAAGCCCTATGCCCATCAACATATCACCGAGGTCAAATTTCTGACGGACAAGTCGCCGAGAATACAACCGGAGAATGAAGAAGAGGGTTGTCACAACACATGCCACAATGGGGACAACAACGAGGGTGATGCCCCAATGATTGAGTGGCGTCATGGAGGCTGATAGGATGCAGAAAGCTGTGCTTGCATCGACACATTCATCTGGGTTGGTATGGGTTTTATTCAAGAAATGTAACGGGGCTTAACGTCCTGTATACAGGACTATATACTTTCTTCTTCATTCTCGCGGCGTCTCCTAACAATCATGGCCGGGTAAATCTATTTAATCGGCCCGCTGTAGGAACGCAGGAACCCTCTTCGGCCGAATTTGCAGTGATGTCAACGAGTCCGCGGCAGTGGCGACTACCCCAATCAACGATTTGCCGCACTCCGAAAGTCAAAAACGAACCCCCGGGCATCTTCCGCTGAAGTTGAAAGACCGGAGGCCAGATTGACTCGGCCATATCGGGGACTGCCGCCGATGAGAAGTATCATGATTGGTCTTTTACTTCGATCTTTGATCCGTTGTAGGTCATCCTGTTCCTCTTCCAGTATATCCCCCGGTACCCCAGGGACGACTCAAATGAGTCCGCTTCATCTCGGCTCCGCTTTTACACCTGGCGTAACCAGACGGCCGGGTCCGGAACTAGAATATCTCGGCCGTAAGTGCCTGACACTGTAGATTCACTCCATCTCTGTCTTTCGTATTGACGGCCTTCTGGGTCACGAGGCTCGTTAAACTGAGCCGCCTACATCACCACTTTGCTGATGCTCAATGCGAGATTTGCAGAGTAACAGAAAAGTCCAATTGCATTCTTGCTATTTCGCATTAACGGGTCTATTGCTCCTATGCAGTTATCGTGTGTCCTTGGACTTGCTGTTCGTGGATAATGTGCTCATCCAGTCGTTGCTCTGAGAACCATTCTTTGACATTCTTCCACCGCAGTGTTGTTCGCACATTGCTCGACCAATCCTGATCGAAATGGAGCCATCTGGCATCTGTCAGCCTCCAGCGTGGGTCTTCCAGCTCGCCGTCTCTCTCATAAAAGCCCCCGCTGTATCGAGCAATGTTCCAAAGCCACCACAGGGTCAGACGCAGGGGATCGTCTTCACCCTCGACCGAGAGCTGTTTCCGATTGATTGCGAGATCAAGGATCTTGAAAGTCTTCCCTATCTCCACTAGTAGTTTGTACTGATCACGGCGCATATAGTTCCTCCAAAATTCCCGATCGCGCTTTTTGGTCGGTTCCTTGAGCGGCCTTGAATCATACATGAGAAGATATACCCCTCTCTCATCTACTGACTGGAACGGCGACTTGGGTGGCGAGATAGCAGCAACTGCCCAATAATGCCAGGCTAGTCCTTGGACATGGTGCTCTCTCGTAACACAGAGCGTGCCCCAACTCTTATCGTCCTTTGTATGCATATACAGGTCTGCGACAGTGTGTGCATTATGCTTGTCGGAGGAGGTGTATCCCCCAATTTTCTTATCACGATCTGCCTTGTCGATGAAAGACACCGGGCGATAGTGAAAGGTAAAGTTGACGTCCAGGTCTTTCAGGTTTCGTCGCATGCTAGCAAGATAGGCCGCTATTGTGTTCAGCTCTTCTTTTTTATGGAGTGTTCGGATCTCCCAGGGTAAGTCTGCTGCCGTTGGCAATCCAAACTCGGAATCACCCCTATCCATAAAGGCCCATACGGTATCACGACACGGAATTCCAACAGTAGCCGCACAATACCGTGGTCTCCTGGGAAGCCCATCTGTCCGGATTTGTAAGCTTTTGTGTTGGGTGAAATAGTCAACCTGACTAAACCTGGGACATTCGGACTCCCCATATTGATCAACCATGCCATCATCTTCCAAAGGTTCTCCATCTTCATGATTACCATCACTCACAGCATGGCTGCCACCTGCATGATCTTCGAACGATCCCTCAAAAGCGGAATCCTCCTTAGCCCCGAAAGACACACTAACCCCAGAAGACCTTTCCGTAAGGAGACCATGTTCAGCAGTATGTGCGGCCGTCCTAACAGGAAGCGACAATGCCCAGCCAATCTTCCGTCTATTCCCAGGCACCTGACTCAATTTCACTGTCGAAGTATCCATGGCCGACGATACGGGCCTGGCATCATCTCCTTCTAATTTCCCAGCCGGTACCGCTGGCCCTTCCGCAATTATTTCTGGCGCCCTTAGCCCATTCTGATCCCCGAGCAAGTTGCCCGGCATCAAGTAGCCACTCATCGGCACATATGCTCCGCTCGCCGTGGTTATAACTGGTGATTGAATATGACCGTACTCCTGAGGAAGCTCTTTCTCGTTTCTCATCTCTTGCGGCTCGACGTTCGCGTCGGTGGCTGTACCGACATTTTGGCCGTTGCGTTCGCTTTCGCTTTCGCTGACACTTTCACGTTTTCCCTTCGACTTGAAGGTGGGCTTGGTAACGAGTGATGTCGATATGATTGGGCAGGTTGCGGTAGGGGGACATGCCATGAGCCCGGGAAATCAAGTAGGAGGGTTTGCCTTTGTAGTTTGCTGTGAAGTATGTGGTAATGATTGTGAAGCTAGGCTGACTGTGTTGGGAGGAGTGAACATAGAAGACAAATGGCTGATGTCGGCTGACTTTGACGTAGATCAAAGTGAGTAGATCAGAATGAGTAGAACTTTTTCGTTGATCAGATTGGGTTGGCCGCTGGGATGGTGATCAATATTTGATTATCTTTAACACTTTCGGTCGCTTTGAGATCCTCTTTTCATATCCTTGTCTCTCGTTAGAATTTTATTCCTAGAACACGTTAAGAAGGAGCAATAGTTTGATCACTACTGCTATCGTACATGCGAAACCTCGATCTCATTGACCTAGCTAACATACAAACCGTCATCCGGATCACCTCTCCGTCCTATGCTACTGATGACCGCTCCTAAACGGATTCGCACGCGGGAAATGAGGATTCTCGATATCCAGTCTGGACTTATTTTCCTCGTGGACCTCAATCTCGGTCGTCTTTGTAATGATTGTATGGTCCGAACATCTTCCGGGGGAGACAAAACAATCTTCGTTGGAAGCTACATTCACCAAACCGGTTTCGTCAGCGAATGTATCGAAAAGTGACTGATCGGGTTGACGACGAGCGAGAGGAATTGGCTTGTGTCTTGCTGCTGCTGCTGCTTCGGAGTGGGAGCGTTTGTAGTATGAACCTGCGTAGCGTGTTCGATGCAAGGCAAAGTTGTATGATTGCCGTAGCGTGGGGAGAGTGGCGCAGATTATGATAACGTACATCTGTTGATGGATTGCATGGGCGCCACTTAGCGCATGATAAAAGTATATAGATAGCTTGGCTGTGCCGAGAGGAAGGTTCCTGCTTACCTCAATTCTAGTGGTTCGGAAAACATGGTGTTAGCTTGGTTTGTTGTGGTTTAGTAAACATGAACCATGGAGGGGTGAGTGGCGTACGAGTACCATGTTGTAATATCGGCCCATGACCCTGGAGTTTAACGTGTTAAGCTTCGTCTTCGAGTGTCTGGGCCTGCGCGGAACATCAGTGCTTACAGGTTATGTCTGAATGGACCGGAAGACTTTTTAGAAGAATGGCCTTGACCAAGGTTGCTGCCGCCGCCCTTCTGGGATCAGTTGAGTTTATTTGGTTGGGTTGGAGGTACTTACAAGATTCCCGCGCCCATGACAGCTATAACCCCTAGCTTCATTTTCCAGGGCAGCTGGACGGACCAGAAAATGATGACTGGAAACAAGGCCAAGGTAAGGTCGGCGAAAGCGTTGAATGCTGTATGATGTTATTGTCTCGACGCATAGCTACCAGGCAGTGTTGGCACTCACAGGCTTGCGATATCCCAGCAATCAGCTGAAACTTCAAGCTAAAGCAGGAGCCGGGAACCTCTGGCCGCCAGATCTTCTCTGCAGGCCGGCAGTACCCCATGATGGCAATGATGGCCAGCACATTCCAAGCAATGGATATTACACTGAAGATATACAGGAACCATCGTTTTGCCGGGGACGCTGTCTGGCCCATTAAGCGCAGCAGGAAGACGGCCACCGATAGCTTGCCTGTTGTGGTGCTGACCATGGAGAAGTTGGGTGCGATGACGGTATATTTGAAAGCCTCGATTTTCCATTCCCCATTGGAAATGTCGGCCATGTGTTTCCCCAGCCCATAATGCACGCCAGTTTGCGCTAACCCTGAACATACAACAGCGCTCAACTGCATCCATGCGGCGCCTGGGTTAGCCGCTATTTTTTGCGGTAGGATCTTGCAGGGTTAACTTACCAGGGAAAGAACAATAAAGAAGTCGTCCCAGCCTGCTTTGCGAGTCAGTATTAGCCGGGTGTGCAGTCGAATGGCGACGACTATGATCGCCACGCTTCCAAAGCTCCAGGACACGGCAGTGATCTGTGGGCCTTTGTCGTCAGGCATGGTGGCCGGACTTTAACAATTTATCATTGTTGCTCGATCAAGGGGGAACACTTTGGAGGTCCTTGAAATATAAAGCTGTACCGAGCAGGCGTGTTCCCGATCGAGCGATATAGTCGATAATTGATTATTTACGAGACTATTAGACAAGCACAAAGAGATTCTTTGTTCAGCTGTCGAGCGATACATCGACTATCAACACATGGTGTGCGGTATGGCCATGTCTCGGGATTTGCCGTGATTTGGTCGTCGGGGCATACGAAGGGATCGACTGCCAGATGCCAAAAGACCCACTTGTAGGGGATTCCCTTCGGCCTGTGCTTTTGCTAGGTAACAGGGCCAAACCAGCCCACAGCAGGCGCCTTTCGTCCGGGCATCAGATAGACGAGCCCAGTGTGTGCGGACCATATTTTGGGAAGCATGTAACATAGCATCAATATGCGCAATGACCTCCGAGGACCCTCGAAAGCATTCAGGACTTCTGTCATGGCGTACTCTCTCTATTCAAATATCTTGAAGGATTGGAAGCATGGCTCAAGTCAAGGCTCGGAATATCCATAGCGGTTCCGCGAGGCACCGGCGCGGCGCTAATGCAGCCAAAGCGTGTGGCGCGTGGAGGACGGCACCTAGGTGACGGAACTGACAGCCGGTGGCGGCCCTTTACACGTCCTATCCAACCCTATTTTCACGATGGCGTTGCTAGCTGTTCTAGTCTGGCATTGCGGGCCTCTGCTGATGACCAAAAGTACTGCATCTTGGTTTAGCTGGGCGCTTACCCACCAACTCTGATTGATGTGACAGGTCCACCCAGTGCACGCACACCGTCCTGTGCCTCCTGCCATAACGAGTAAAAGGCTGTTGTAAAGCTGTACCTGGCTAAATCAGAACAATAAGGCTCCCAACCATTGTAAAAGGACAGGCCTTCCCTTCTCCCCTGTTCCCTGTAGTGCTGCTTCCCTTGCATAGGTATCTTAATCATGTCTAGCAATAGTTGTCACGCCAATGGCGTCTCTCAAAAGCCATTCGACGGTCTGATTCGGCAGGTCGCGCAGGCTGCAGATGCTTTTCAAGATACTCATAACGAAGCGGATCGCTTGGCTGCCCTCCAGGCGGCGCAGAGGCTGGTGGAGGTGTTTCAGAAGCCACAAGATGCAGTGTATAATCTAGCTTACTCGGTACTAATATCCTCCAAAAAAAGATGAGCACGAAGTACTGACCCGTACCAGCCCACTCAAGTGATGTGTGTGCGCATCGCCATGGACCTTGGTATTTTCTCCACGCTCAGTGAGCGGAATGGTCCAGTTACGCTGGAGGACCTGGCAGCCACGAAAGGGGCAGATCTAGTCCTGACTGGTACTGTTATTTCAATCCCGTCTATGAGTCAGCTGCTAAGGTATTCTGGAAACAGAAAGGGTGCTGCGAATCCTTGCAGGGATTGGATACGTTGCAGAACATGATGTACGGGTCTACATCCCCACAAAGATGACCAGACAGATGACAGACAGGCTTAGTGGGGCCGTAGTGAGATTCATGTAAGTCAGTCACATAGGTGGCAAGGCCGAACTGACAGAATGTTAGCTTCGATATCGGTATGCCTACCTTGGCTAAAGTACCCGAATTCCTGCGTATGATCAACTTCCGAAACCCATCGGGTGCTCTGAATGGTGCATTACAGTACGCAGAGAAGACAGAAATGTCGCTGTGGGACTGGGTGCCGACCAAACCAGGTTTCTTGGACGTTTGCAATACTTTCATGGAAGCGGACCGCGGGAGCCGGCCTAGCTGGCTCGAGTGGTTTCCTGTCAAGGAGAGGATTATTGACGGATTCAAAGAGGACGAAAGTAATGTCCTCTTGGTAGACGTAGCCGGTGGGCGCGGCCATGATTTGGTTGCTTTCCAATCCAAATTCTCTGGAGTGCAGGGACGGCTCATCTTGGAAGATCTGCCTCATGTCGTGGCTGAGGCTACTCAGCACCCCAAAATTGAGCTTGTATCGTTTGACCTGTTCCAGGCACAGCCAATACAAGGTATACTCGCTGGTTAACACTTGAAACGCTTCTTGTCCCTAGTCTGACTGTATGCCTCCGCAGGTGCCCGCACCTATTACATGAAATTCATCCTTCACGACTGGTCAGACGAGGAAAGTCGCCTGATCCTGAGCCATCTTGGAGCAGCAATGAAAAAGGGATATTCCAAACTGATAATCGAGGAATTCGTATTGGCAGACAAGGAATGTGCGATGCTGCCAGCCATGTGGGACTGGGAGATGTTGATTTTCTGTAACAGCATGGAGCGAACGGCTAGTCAATGGACGAAAGTGCTGGATTCGGCTGGCTTCAGGATTGTGAAGTTTTGGGCACCCCCCGGTGACGGACAGAGCATCATCGAGGCGGAGCTAAAAGAACCTGCTGAAGACATGACATCAGCCCGGTCAAGCCATATATAACCGAGAAGCTGATAAAGTTGTAGGATTAGAATACCCTAGATTCTCGGGCTCATGGCATTAGCTTCAATTCGATGATCTTTCCCCCTATATTTTGGCAATGTAACAGAGACTTACTTGGTAGACCTAGGTAGCCAGTGCCAGCGCAGAGATGAGCTGGGAGATGAAGTAGATAAATAGGATGCTGAACTCATAGGTCTATCTGGAGGAAAGGGAAACACGTGGTCCAGTGGAAACTACCACGCGTCGGTCAGCTGACCCAGTCCCGTCTTCTCATCATCACCAACTCAGATATTATTGACTGACCAGTTCATCGAATATAGTTATGGTGAGTGGGCGCTCGGTGCCTATATCTGAAAGACAGAGCATATGCATCAGTGAGCTGTCTTTGAATGCTTCCACAAACTAGTCCCCATCCCTGCTCCGAGACTCGCTATTACTATGGTTGCGATAAGTTGTGAAATGGTCTACTTGTTACAGCCACTATGCCTGAGATCTGCTGACTGTCAACGATACAAAGTACCCCTGTCCTCAATTGCCAGATAAATCTAAACCCCAGGTCCTGGACGACCCTACACGTATGAAATATCCCTCAGCACCGATGAGGCTTCTCCGAATCCAGGGCGTCCATGGACAACGCAGAAACGATAAGGGCACCTTCCCAGCAACAATATGGTCTTTCATTGTCCACTCAATGACACAGCCCTAGAGCGAGTTGTATTGTGTCATATCATTAGATAAGGATACAGCATCTGGAACTTGGAGAAGTGTCGGAACATAGCTAAACGTACAGTGCAGTTGGGCCTCGATGTACTCCGCAGGACAATCCTACCCGGATGTGTTGCCTGCCACGTAGCAGCCAATTGGAAGATCTAGAACACATCACCACACCACCTAAATAGCGAAGAACAGACCATGTAATCTCAGATTTGTATGTATCTTCCTCAGTCTAAATCTGAGCGCAAAGATGAGACTGATCAACGCCAGAACTTACCAGTTGGAAGAATACCTCGACAGTGATATCCCCGAATATGCAATTCTATCACATACGTGGGGAAAGAATGAGGTTTTCTTTCAAGATCTTCAGGCACTGTCAACAGGCTCCAGGTACTGGGATCGTGTGGTAGGCAAGGAAGGATTTCTCAAGATCAAGTATACCTGCCAGCAAGCGATCAGGGATGGTCTGGATTACGCTTGGGTTGATACATGCTGTATCAACAAAAGCAGTAGTGCGGAAATCTCTGAAGCTATCAACTCCATGTTCCAATGGTACATGCGATCAAGCAAGTGCTACGTTTACTTGTCTGACATCCCCAGCGACTACGGTGAGATTCCGCTCAATGAGCAAGCCGGAAGCTCTGTCGAACCCGCCAGAAGACGCAGGCCTAGTAAATACGATGCGATGATCAATGGGCCTTTTGCAAAATGCCGCTGGCTCACCCGAGGGTGGACATTGCAGGAGTTGATTGCGCCTAAGGATTTGACATTTTATGGGTCTGGTTGGAACTTCCTGGGTACAAAAGCATCAATGACAGCCCTCCTCTCTACCGTCACTGGGATAGACCAGCGCGTTCTTAGAGACTCGACAGACACAAAAGATTCACTGAGATCAGTATGTGTCGCACAGAAGATGTCATGGGCAGCTAAGAGGCGGACTTCCAAGATAGAGGATGAAGCATATTGTCTCCTCGGTCTGTTTGATGTTCATATGCCTATCCTCTATGGCGAAGGTAAAGGTGCATTTGTTAGACTTCAGGACGAAATCATCAAGAGTTCCGATGATCACACCATTTTCGCATGGAACTATTGCGATATTGAGCAAGAGAGCCAGTATACCGTCCTTGCTCCGTCCTCATCCTGCTTCCTCAAGAATGTCGTTCAGTGGTCACGTCCGCGTAACAGTGGGCCATACGCAATGACCAACCGAGGCCTCCACATCACGCTCCCCGTCATATATCAAAACCGGCCTAAGGATAGCTGCCTCGCGCTCTTAGACTGCCATTATGACGATGATGTCACGGGCACGTTGGCCCTTCCTCTTACTCCTCGATCAGACAACACCTTTGACATCGATTATGATATCTCGCGGGGACGGGTAGTGAGAGTTGATTTGGGACTAGAAACAACAGCCATAACTCGAGACCTCTATATCCGATCACAGTCCAATGTTCCTGACCGAGGGCCACAACTGACATGTCAATTCCACATCAATCGAGAGGATTCCAGAACAGCGAGCCAGCGCATAACGGAATACTATCCGTCCCGTATCTGGGATGCTGAAAATCACCGACTACGACTTACCTCCAACGACTCGACTTCCTTGGAAACATGGGCTGCTGTTAGGTTAAAAGACTCCTCCGAAAGAGCCATCGGAGTTGTGTTCCACGTGTCACCACAAAGAAGGCCAGAGAGCACTGCGACCTTCAATGTACATGGTTGGATCTACATGCAGACCATGAGGCCCGAAATGACCCTCTCTCCTGTAGTCGATCAGGTCATTCGCGGCTGCGCCTCAGCTTCAGCGTATGAATACGGGAACCATGGATCCTATACGCTTGCCTTAGGTCGAAGACATAGCATGGTTGCGACCAACACTATAGTCAGTGGGAATGGCTCAGAGACGCTCATGAATGTGACTGTCGCTGATCGGTATGCGCCTTGCACATTGCGACGTGTCTTTGGCGCGACTCCGAAACCCCCGAAAACTGCAGAAGCAGTTTCAAAGGAGAAGGATCTGCGAACAAGCGTGTCTACAGATTAGCCAGAGGAGGATCTCTGAGACCCGGTTATAGAAAGAGGATCGGTCGGGCGCTTATGTATTTAGTTAGTGTCTGCTTGAGATGACTTCCAGTAATTCGGCAGAACTTCCAATCTTTCTATTTCGTATCTCAAAGGCAGTCACAGTTTCCCTCCCCTCGCTACCAACATCGAAGCAGCCCACAGTATCAATAGCTACCAGCTCTCTCCTTGTACACCTCTCCCTCCACAAGACTAGGCTTGCGATATCCACTCTGCAACACCGCATTAGCCTGCAACCGCAATCCATCCAACTTAAATGAGCTCTCATCCATAGCCCAGATAGTCACAGCAAGATAATTGCTCCCATTATAGTCCAAGATACCCTCTGGGACGGGAAAGCTAAACTGTGGGCCGATGTGATTGACTACCAACAACATGAACCATTAGCTCACCCAAATAAAAATCACAGCAAAAAGAGAAGAAAAAATAGAAGTGGGGATGCCTAACATACCATACTTCCCAAACTGCCACCCATTCACAAACAACTCCGACCGAAACCTCGCAGGCTCCGATCCATCACCAACCGTAGTACTATTCTCAAACACAACACTAAAAGGCACATCATACCCATCAGGAACATTCAGATCGAATATTGTCGCGAAGAACCCCACCCCGGGCGCCTCATCCTCCGGAAGTCCCTCAAACGGTGACCTCTTCGTCCACTTCTCCACCGGGGCACCGGGGAGATGATACCCCTTTCGCTCAGCGAAGAAGGCACCCTCATTGAGTGGACCTCGAGTTAGATCAGCATAATGCTCGCCACCAAAGTTACCCGTTATTTTCCACGATATGGCTGATTTGTCGTCGCGGCCGTGGAGGGTGTAATCTAGGATTCCACGTGGATCTTTCATGAATTCGCCGTTCGCGGGGAAGTTCTCGTCGTTGCCGAGATGGTCGATTAGGATTGTCAATGTGTAGGTGGCTCCGGGAGTGAGAGAGGATGGGAATGTGACTGTTTGGTTGGAGAACATATACAACGGGTCTCCTAGCCAGGAGGCGAGGAATGTGTTGTTGAGCCAGATGGAGTAGCCGTAGGCGTAGCCTCCTTCGGTGAGGAGGTAGAGGGAGGTCTCATTGCCGGTGGCAGTGAAGGTGCCTCTGTAGAGAAGGGACCCGCCATTGTAGCCGTAGTCGCTGGCGTAGAGGGATGTTGGGGTGGTTAGGTTGCGTGGGTTTGCGGTTGTGATGTGCGTGCAGGGGGTCCAGAGGTCGTCGTTGTATGTGGAATTGCGGACCTCTGGGAGGGTGTTGAGGTAGTGCCAGTCGAGGGTTGTGAGGTCTGGTAGGTTGATGTTGGGCTTTTGATAGGTGAGGGTGCCGGTGAGACGGCCAGATGTGACGCTGGTTTGGACGCTTTGGTTGTTGAAGAAAATGCTGGTCACTGGCTGAGGAGCAGAAATGAGCTCGAGGGTAGTGGTGGTGTTGATGTCGCCCGTCAGATAGAGGGATGTGCCAGTTAGTTCGGCAGTTCGTAGCAGATACCCGGCCTTGACGATGACAGATCGGTTGGCGTGAGACTGAGAGACGTGTCGGCCTATGGCCCCTGGGACGGGTAGGTCGAGGACCCAGTAGTTGTATGCCTCGTTGCGCCAGAGGAGATGCACCTCGAGGGTGTTGCCGAAATGCACAACTCGGCGTGAGGGTTGGACTGCCCATTGTATCACGGTGGTCGAGTTGATCTGCTGAATCTGCAAATCATCGCCTTCAATGGAAGTTGGTTTTCCTATATTTGCAGGGACGGCAAATTCATGAAGCTCATCTTCACCTCCATAGAGAACAACCACTGATTTGGAGCCTGTCTGCTTCCAGGTAAAAAGCTCCGCCGAGGAATAAATCAGACTTAGGTTGCCGACGTTGTAGTCGACTAAATGAATTTTTGAATCTCGGCCATTCAAACTTAGTGTTCCACCCAGCTGAGGAATTGTCAAGCTACCTGCGGTAGTGTTCACGCGAAGCTTATATGAAGTCGACTCTTGCGATGTTAACTCTCCATGGCGTACCACGTAGAAGTTGGTTGGATTCCCGGCTAACCGGGTTACTGCGAGGGATGTGGTGTCCGTGTAGATTCCATAGCTCCCGTTTTCGGGGTGTGACTCGAGATATGCAGGAGATGCCTGTAGGAAGTTGGATTGTAGCTTCAATTCACTGTATTTCTCGCGGATGACTTCGCGATCTTCGGCGATAGCAGCACCCACATCGTACGAGGTGTAACCACCAGGATGGCCCAGGTTGCCCCAATTTGTTCCTCCAAAGATCTAAAAAGCACAAATCTTTAGTTAGCAAAGAAGTGAGATGGACTATACGCGTTTCTAGTAGTCCACTCACCATGTAGAGATTTTGGATAGCAGTGCGAAAGCCGTAATTTATCTTGTAGAAGATGCGTGCGAATTCAGGACCGATGTATGCGGCCGAGGTATCGACACCAACACCACCCCTAGAGCACAATATAAGCTTAGGGTGCTTCGCACGATACATATACCCCAAGGTTATCATACCAACCGTCAGGCACTCCACCTTGGAATTCTGAGATAGAAAACGGCGTGGTCAGGCTCTGTTCCTCATGAACCGTTTCATTGTAGGAGAGCAGTGGGTTCACCACAGATGACCAGTTTGACGGATTGGATGCTAGAAGTAGATAGTTAACAGAAGCTCGATCAGTATAATCTAAAACATACGTGCTGTACTCCAATGCATGGGATAATCATCGAAGCTGTAAATATCCACAGCGCCGACTCCCGTGCCAGGAGCGAAGTTGCCCATAGGTTCGGCATCATTGACGATGAACGGCACAACTACTCCAGCCTTTCGATACTGATCTTCCACGTAGGCCATGTAATCCTTCTGAAGACAGGAACTGTTATAGTCGGGCATAGAGTAGTTGTTGATTTGCGTGTAGCCTACGTCCTGCACGCAAGCCGTATACTCGTTTTCGGGTTGAAATAGAATCACCGGGCCACCGTTTGTGATCTGCGCCTTCGCGATTATGCGTCCTATCGCCTGCATATATGGAGTGATGGCACCCAAGTAGCCTTGATCTGTAGTCTTGAGACGGCCTTGCACCCTTTCTAACCAGCCAGGAAATCCGCCCCCAGAAACTTCGGCGTTGATATAAGGACCAGGACGAGCAGTTAGATACAAACCGGCTTCTGTAGCAGCTTGAAAGAAATCTTCGAGCGCGAAAACTCCATCCGCCCGTATAGACCCTCGCTCACCTTCAAGGAGGGCCCAATCGACATAGAAGGACACAGCTGAGAACCCAAGCGCGCGGACTTTCTGGAAGACATCAAGCCAGAGTCCTGGGGATGGGAGACGGAAGGGGTGGAACTCTCCCGATAAGAGAAGAATGCGCTCTCCGTGAACCCGAATGGAGTACTCATCCCACGTCACAATGTCTTGAAGAGAAGAACCTGTGGTATTCTCCTGACGAACATATTTTGGGGCGGTAACAAGGCCCAAGCAAGCCTTCGCAGCCAGACCGACAGAAAGCAAAAAGGAGGCCTTCATCGTAGTTTAAGATGCAGCCTAATGGCTCGGTACAGCTTCACATTACCCTCAAAGCCAATCCACCTTCGCACATCTTTATACCTGGCTGTCCTTGACACCTCTGATCAAAAGTAAAGCGGGCCATCGGCTATGAGGTGGCATCTGGCCACATTGTTGATCAGCAATCCCCAGGGCGGGGAATGCGGAGGACCTGCGATCAGACGTCAGTTTAACCGGTATGTCGACATCAAACTGGGCTAATGCTTAATGCGGGGAAACCTCATGATCACGTCGGTATAATAGATGACCGAGTACTGGGAACGTGGGGCGCGGATAGTACTTGACATGGAGTGTGCCAGGGATAAAGGCGGTAAATGGTGTATTCTGACCAAACCTACTGCGATGCAGATTGAATAGAGGCCAATATCGCATTTAAGGTGATCTTTGACATAATTCAAATGGTCTTTTCTATTTTTGTTTTGGCCACGTCTGATAGCTTGTAGCGGGAGAACCAAGTGTATAAATCTTGTTTGGAACGCCAATGATGTAGAACGCCACTAAAAATTTCATCTGCATATACATTCGGCAATTACATAGCGCATAGGACTTTGTAGATATCAGTCAACCACCCCTGGCGGTAGCAGCACTACATAATCCACTGGAGCAGGCTCGACCCCATTCGCCTCACCAACAATTTTCAGCTGATCACCCTGCCGGACGACGACCCCATGAAACGTTATCCGGGTGGCCGAATGACCGTCCAAGTATATCGAAGGTGTATGGCCTAGGGATTGATGCTCCATATCCCCAAGCCATTGACCCACTATCTTGTCACCCACAGATAATGTCCACTTGGATTGACCGCCATAGAGATCGTAGTAGTTCACCCCTATGTCGTACACTCCCGATGGGGCTTTGATGGTAGTTCTCGCCGTCCCAATCGTTGAATTAGATGTGGTGATAATTGCGGTAGTGTTAGAAGCGGCCTCGAACGGACTGACGGTGTAAGTCTGGTATCCTTCCAATCTCATACTCTCAGCTTCAATGCGCCACGGATGATGACCGACACGGCCAACCACATCTGGAATACCGGTCATGTTGTAGTAGAAGTTGTTGATAGCATCACGCCAGACAATGGAGTGTCCCGCCTGGTAAACCAGGCGTGATCGCATGGCCTCGTATCGCTCCCGATCAATTAGCCCTTTTAAAGACTCCCATTGTCTTATAAAGCCGTGTGCAGCTTCTGAGCCAGCATAGTGAGCGTTGTAGAAATGCTGAATAACTGTCAACCCGGAATGCAAACGATGAGTCCATGGTACATGGTGAAACCACAAGACGAGATCATCTGGCGTGGTTTCTAGTGACTCGTATAAGCGAGCAACCTCCTCCGGATATTGGCCGGTATACCCGGTGCCATTCGATATTGTTCGGTCCATTCCAACTGAATTGTGATCAGCACGTGTCCATTGACCCCAGCCATTGTTATCCTGTGTAGCTGGGTTTGGTCCATAGTGAGTATACAAGATATCTGTCAGGGTCTGTATGCCCAGGTTGCCTGTATAGTTTTCATAGGCAGGCCAGGAGGTCATGGACATATCAGCAATGGTGTCGATGACATGGTGATCTTGTCCAAATGTGAGGCGGGTCCAGTCTTTGAGGATCTGTTCAGAATCGTCTGTCGGACTCCAGGCTAAACGACCATAAGCGTACAGATTGGACATAGCAAGGTGGCTACCAAGCCATGTTCTGTTAGTGCCCACATTAACGACGGCTGCCCAGCCCCCGAGCGTTCTGTTGAAGCGCTGTCCGGATATGATATCGCGGACCATCGAAGGCTTGTGATCTACGCGTAAGTCGAAATCCAGGACCGTCTTCCAGAGTGGAGGTAGATACACCAAATGACATTGCTGCCCCAGGTACTCCTGACTAACCTCCAACTCTATGGCTGTGTTGGTTTCGTAGAGGTTGCCGAAAAGGGGTGAGGTAGGCTCGCGTACTTGAAAGTCGATTGGGCCGTACTTTATTTGTACCACGACGTTCTCGTCGAACTGACCGTCCAGGTCCTTGAAGTATTCCACTGCTGCCTTCGCACGATCAGCCTTCCAGTCCGACTCGTTCAAGTTGTCGTTGTAGACAAAGGCGCGGTACATAAGCACACCCCCATGTGGTTGCAGGGCACGGGCGAAAAGATTTGCCCCTTGTGAGAGTGTGCGATTATATGTATCCGGACCTGGCTGGCCCTCTGAGTCTGCTTTGACGAGGTACCCAGCCATGTCTGGTACATAGGTATAGAGGCTATCGGTGATATTCTGCCACCATGCAATGACACCAGGATCGAGCGGATCATAAGTTTCTAGGCCTCCCAAGTCTTCGGGTGAAGCAAAGTTCAGCGATATGCCAATTTGAACGCCGTATGGTCGACAGGCATCTGCTATGCGACCCAGGCCTTTCATATTCTCGGGTAGCAGTAGTGTTGCGTTCGCATTGACATTATTAACGACAATTGCGTTTATCCGGATAGATGCGAGCAGTCTAGCATATTGCTCAACAGGAGCCATGTCTTCCACCACCGTGCCATCTTTGAAGAATATCGACGCGCCACCGTAGCCTCGTTCAATGCTTCCGTCCATGTTGTCCCATTGATTTACCCAACGGATCGGCGCATGTGGGTTGGTGGTGTACGCGACACGAGAGAAGTTTCGTTGTGCCACCATAGCGAGGTATTCGTATGCTCCGTACAAGGCTCCTCTGGCATTGTTGCCTAAGATGCGAACTGTGTCCCCTTCGGATTGTAACCAGAAGCCATCGGGATCAAGCTCGGGCACGTTGATGTCCCGGCATTTTTGACGGTACTCATCCAGGGTAGCCACCAGAATTGATGCGGAGCTATTGCATTGAAATGGATGAGATGTCAAGTTCGTCGAAAGAATCGATTGGAATCCTGCTTTCAATTCTTGTCCTGCAGTCTCGATCGGGCTTCCTTTGGTGCTGTTCAACAGCACAATATGAGACGGCAAAGCCTGTCGACAATGCAGATCGCAGGACACGGGAGCATATCGGAGCCAACCATCGTACCCATCCTCGGCTGCGACCAAGGACAGTAAAAGAGCCAGGGTCAATTGAAAGAGATTCGAACCTCTCATTATGGCCGATTCTTTCCAGCTATGCCATTGCAAAGAACTATGGAGTACCAGCCCTCTTCTTCATCATATATACCCACGTCATGACCTGTTTGCAGGATCTCCCCGCATTGTCGGGCCACGAACGTGGGGAAGGACTTCATGCTAAACTTTGTATTCAGGCTATTGTTGCTGCTCTGGGTAAATCGTATGGTTTGGTGGCATCATGGCAAAGGCGACTTTTGCCGACAAGCACTGGCCCTTGTCTTCTCTTGGGACTCGCTGAGTTAGCAGTTTAGCCTCGGAGAATCTCCGTGACCATCGAATTCAGGTTTGTTATTGAAGCGTCAAGACCCTCCCGATTGGGAAAGGCCCCGTCATGGCAGACAAGTGGACGTCACGGGACTCGCTAAACTCAATTGGGTTCAATCTAGCCTGAACAGGAATGGCGCCTTCACAAGATGACTGGAGGTCTTACTCGCACTCTTACCTGTCATTCAACACTTTACTACTCACAGACCTTTGGCTTGAGGTGCAGCTACTGTTGTCATCACCCAGAAGAGGAGTGCTGATATATCATGCGAGCTATCGTTCATAATTAGCGGCTTTACCTACAATGGCTGCCCGAACTCCTTCCATCGCCCGCAACTCGTTCCGGGCCCGCGCGGTACGGCTTCCTCGACCGCCACCATCTAATCTATAACAAGTACTAACTCCAACCAGTGCGACAACTGTCGGCTTCGGAAGGTATCGTACCCTGTGACCAAATCAGTATTCCACCCATGTTCATGCAAATCTCTTTAGATCAAGTGTGATAAAGTAGTTCCTTGTTCCAGCTGCAGCGCTCTTGGAGTCCCCTGTGGTCCGACAGGTACGCCTGTCACGTCTTCGGAGACACGCAGAGCCGAGTCCGACGATTAGTAGGTTAAACTAGACTATAAGTGTTTGCAGTGCTAACTGAGGATAGCGAGCAAAGGTTTTCGGTAATCCAAGAACAATTGTCAACTATTCAGCAAGCACTCCATCAGATAACAAAACCACCAACTTCAGTACAGCCGGCTTCTCACCCAATAGGCACCGGCCCAACAGCTCCTCCCTTCGAGGGACAGTCATCTTTTCATCATGAGACCCTTGTAGCCAGGGACGCAGCTTATTCCGCAGCAAACACTGCCCGTGATGGACAGATTGGAGATTATGTTTCTGCTGCGCTCTCCTCTCTAAAAAGCAGCCTCGATAGGCACAATCACACCGTGAATCGAAATGGAGCACAATCACCTATGCAACTAAACCAGACATTGCTTCCTGTAGAGCTGGTCATAGCAGTGGTGAAGAAGGTCAAATGTATACATCTCCACCCCCCTTAGATGCTATCGCTTACGCAATATAGCTCAACCTCCCTTCTTCCTGGTCAGTCAATCTTGGATAGACTCAACCCGTGTGGAACATCTATGCCAGTCAATATATTTCCCATTGAACCCTGTGCCACCGGGCTCGCTCACACTCTTCTATGGTATACTGTTCTATGTGATCCGCGATTATCTTCATGCGGGAGATCCCGATCTGGCACACTTTGATCTTCAATCAAGCCTTGCGCTCTGTGAACGACACTTTGCCGCTGGCTTGAGCGGGCCTGAGGTTATATCTGAACCAACTTTGGAGAAGATACAGGCACTGTTGCTTGGGGTATGTTTGATTGTCTTCAGGAACTACAAATCCTAACGAATGCAGGTTCTGAAAGCACAAGAGGAAACTGACGTCCAGCGGTGCTGGACCTTCCTTTCGCTGGCATTCAACATGTGCCAGAGCATCGGGTTACACCGACGTTCTACTTTAGAAAAGGATGAGTATGCTATTGCCGAGGCAAAACGCCATGCGTTCTGGGCACTTTACACCATTGACAAGAATATCTCTCTCAATATTGGCGTGACATCACACTTTCAAGATCACGATATTGATGCAGACCTTTATACTCCCTCGAATGATCCCAAGCATCGTCCGTGGGACCTAATGGGGCTTGTAATCGTCGAGTTCGCGAATGTTCAAGGTAGAGTTTATGACCAGCTGTACTCTACCTCTGCTTGTCGAGCAGGTGACGAGCAACGATCAGCATCGATTGAGCGGCTGTCCTCCGACCTGATGACAGTACGGGACAAGCTCCTTGCGGTACGCCTTCCTCCTGTTGGGGTAGTCAACTTGGCTGACGGTTTTACAAGATTGATGTTAGTCGGGGTCTTTATGCCGACTCCCTACATGGGATGGCCGCCTGTGCAGACTTTATAGCTTACTCTGTGTTGACCGTCATCTATCGTGCACAGACCCATCCACGCGACGTGATGGCAGTTTCTTCCCAGTGCTATGCATCTGCGACTGCTGCTTTACACAGTCATCTGAAGTGCTTCACCTACTTCCGCGGTCGCCAGACACATAAGCAAACAGAATACGTAAACTGGTAAGACACCCTTCAATCTGCATTAACATAGTAAACTAATTGGACAGGATACTTCTCTATCCTTCATTCACACCCTTCGTCATCGTCTTTACCCACGCCATCACGACCGCCAATACAGCAGATCTTGCTCTGCTACAGGATACCGCCAGCTCCCTAGAGTTAATCAAAGGCCTTTCACGAGGGTCAATGCATTTATACACTATCTGTGACGCTTTTGTCCGGGCTGCTCAGATACTTGTGAACTCACAACAGACACTAACCGGGTTGGAGCAACATCAAGATGGATCCCTTGTTATTCCAACAACTGATGGGCCCGGGAATATTGCCCTGCCAGATGTTTCATGGCCAAAAGATACATTTGACTCCACCATGAACCAAGCAGACATATCCATGTTTCTGAATGGCTTCATTGGCACTAACCGATCGGTCATGGATATTTTGAGTTTCGACCTTAATAGCGATTCAATCCAATGAATACACCTTGCATTCCTCTCACTGCTAATTGTTGACCGTGGCTTGAGAACCCATCTCTCTCAGTCTTTTATTTACGCCTAGTAGATGGGAAATTTGTCTGGACACTCTACTCAGTGCGTGCGAAATGCATACCCTCGCTAATGTTGACGGATAAGGCAACTAAGTCGAGAGGCGTGACGACTTATAATGATTCAAAATATTAATCCCCTTTCCTTCCTATATACAGCTGGGAGACCCATGGCAAACGCAGGTCAACAGAATGGCAAGCCAATATAAGTGGGGCACGGTTTGGCCTAAACAAACTAAACTAAGATGCCTACCGAAAGGCCCATCCTTTGACTCCAATGGCCTAGAAGACATACTTTTTCGATGTTAGCTTGATCACAACAGCAACTCGATGAGTCTTACCGGAATGAACAGGTAGGGGACCCTCCGCTCATACTCGCGCCAAGCTTCTCCATATCTCTCGCGACAACGTTCAATATCCCGCAGAGCACGATGGATTATCATAACAGTGAAGAAGCACGAGTAGAACCAGGGGAATGGCGAGTTAAAGCCAGTAATGAGGCCCCAGGAGAAAGCGAAAAACCAGTCACAGCTGTAATGGACCTTACGTGCCATTCCATCTATACCTCATCAGCCCTGATTCGCGATACAGAAAAGAACAACTTACACCACCCACTGCACAGGATGGAATCTCCTGTTTTTGTCTTGATGCAGACAGGGTTCTTTACCGATTTCCACGGTAGCTGAGGAAAGGTCTTTCGATTCACAGGCTTTCCTCTCTCCTGAGCTCGGAAGAGGTTCTTCTGGCTGTTGCACGTGTCCCACACCCAGTATGCAAAAATATACATCACAAATAGCACGCCCAGTGCTATAGGGTTCCACTTATAAGTTGACGGATCGTGGCTCGCCAGGTATAGGGTGCAATGGCAGTAACTCATGGGAACACCAGCAAGGTTCCAGAAAATGAGCATAAATCCCCACTTCTCATAATACATATCCCTGCGACAAGATCAGTATTGTTGATTTGGCCACCGCATTGAGCAACATACCAGCTCGTGATAATCAGTTCTTCCCCTTTAGCACATGCATTCGCATACAAGAAGTGTGCCAAAAGCAGAAATGAAACTTCCCCAGAGACGAACCCGTAGTCTTCCCACTGCTTCAACGCAGTCCCAAGCGTCAACAAAAACAGAATATACCAGGGTATGCGAACCTCGAAGAACATCTTCATATCAAGCCACTGGAACAAGCGAGGGTTGAGCTCTGCACCCATAAAGAAATCATAAACGTGGGATCCCGTCATCCGATGCTGAGCACCTCGTAGCAAGGCAGACGCGTACGCGAGGATCGAGACCAGAAAGCCAGAGCAGATAGCCACAGACATCAACGGACCAAACTCATCGACGAGCGTACTCAGACGAAAGAGACCGGAAAAGTGGAGGACCAATGCAGCAGCGATGGTAACATACCACGACGCTGCCGCGGAGCAGTAGTAATCCAGCTGCTTTCCATTCAAATGGGGAAGGCATTTTCCCTTGCCGTATACGCCGGGGAGGTACAGGTACCCGAGTCCTTCGAGGACAAGGAAGGTCCAGTATATTATCCATGCCTTGCGGTGGGGATAGGCATGCGTATGGGCGAGGTCAACGAGGTGGAAGAGGAAATCGGTAATTGATTGGTTCGCTTCGGGTAAGGGGAGGTGGCCGTCGTACAAGGTCGCGCCTATAAACATGTAATACATAAGGAGGGGGAATCCAAGCATCAGCAAGGTAACCCCCGGCGCACCTCCGAACTCGAATGTCAGTTTCTCATCCTCGTGGGCGCTGGAAGACTTTTCCGGGCTCGGATTCGTAGACTGCTTCATGCTGGGTTGGTGGCTAGGTGAATTTAGTGTTCTGTGCATGGCGTGTCTAGGTAGGCATTTGTCTTACCTTGTAGCCGTACTATGAGCAGACATCCTTCTCCTTGTATACAGATTGATAGTTCTTCACAGATCGGGCGATCGCGGATTTTTATCAGTCCTCCATTGCTGTTCATGTTGTATACCTTCCTCGTTGCCGGGAAGCCCGCGTCCGCCGTGCTCTCCGCGGACTCCGCGGTGAACTCGGAAACCTCGGGATCGGCTCAATCAGGTCAATCGATAATCGTAGCGAGGACCCCTAGTTCAGGAGAATTTCGATTTATTTTGGTCTAACCGAAGCGCTTTAAGGGGGAAACTAGCTGAGATAAGATTAAGATTTCTGTGATGGTAAGAGACCTTTTTCCGCTTTGCTGTTAGTGTAAGGGTCAGCTAGGCCCGAGCGACCGTGCGGATGTATCTAGTAACAGCATGGAATAGCGAAGGAGTCTTGGGGAGGGAACTATACTACTATTAGATAAGGACATGACGGTAAAGGAAATCTATTAAAGCATCTCCTTAGCCACGTATGGTCGAATAAGTACGCAGTACTAGTGGTTGTGTGCTGTTGTTGTTTTCTTACTGTTCATCCAAATGATTCAGTTGTGGGGGTTCGTCATTGTATATTTCGAGGACGGTTCGCTTCTTCACCACTGCAGTAGTAGTACCACTCTCTTTAACCCTATCACTACTAGTAATAGTCTCCGATTTTAATCCCCTCATGCCAACTTAAATAAAAATAGATTCAAATCACGCAAATCCATGCAGCATTTTACACTCAACCATTCCCCCTCACCTCCAGCCCTACCAGGATTCGACAGACACCAGGCTGATGCGCGACTATCACCCGCGGCGCCAAATCCGCCAACATGATTGGCTCCATCTCCAACCCCGATCATCATCTCTCCTCCAACCATCACTCTTACGCTCATCAACCAAGCTTTAATCAAGGATGCACCAAGAGCTAACCTAACGCGTAAGGCTGCGTGTGACAGAGGTGAACCGGCCTGCATATTCATGCTGCCGTCCTGGTTCTACCCACCGAATCAGCATCCTCTATGAAGCGCTCAGCAGCAACATCCTCCCTTTGGGAGTGTAGCTCATCACCCCCCGTGCTGAGGATTGATTTTTCTAACGCGCCTGCCTGCGTGCCAACCTATGGTAGGGCTGGAGGGTCCAGGCCGTCTTTGCTAGACACGGAGAGATATATAAGCTTGTGGGGGAGGATCTTGGCTTTCTTGCTTTGTTTCTGACTCTGTCCTTTGGCTGCTTGGCTACTACCTGCCTACTACTGGTATCTATCTAGCTTTCAAGAATCTCATACATTCTACAAACTGAATACCTACTACATACCAATCTTCGACTTCTATCATTATTCCCACACAAACAATCTCCACCATCTCTTCTCCTTTCTCACCTCAACCCAGACAACACAGATCCTTCCCAAAATGAGTATCGGCAAGATCATCGGGAAAATCATAATTATCCCCATTATCATCATCATTGCCATCTGCGTCGGCATCTACCTCCTCATCAAGCACCGTCGCGAACGCAAGCGCGAACGCCGCGAAGATAACCTCCGCGCCCAGTACTACCGGCAACAGTACCAGCAGCAGTACATGTATCCACATATGCAAATGCAATCACAACACCAGCAGCACCAGCAGCCGGGCACACCGGCCCCGCCATACTATAATCAGGCTTATGCTGCGGGACAGCAGCCTGTGGCGATGAATGAAGGGGAGTATGGATATTCTGAGACGATGATGAAGAAGCCGGAGCCGGTGGTGTATCCGGTGCAGCAGCAGCATCCGGGATCGGAGGTGGTTTAGTTCGGCTTGAGATGGGCTGGATGTGAGTTTGATGTCTTTCGGAATGAGTGTCTTGGTGTATGAATGGGCGTGCTAATGTTTGTTAGGGGCTTATAGGTGTTATACTTGTTTTATGGGCTGTTTGTTGGATATGAATTTGTGACATGATACCTGTATTGTTTTTGTTGGGTATGTTTGGTTGAATGGCTTTGGATATGGATTGTTTATGAATCGTTCTATGATCATGATGTATGGATGAAATATAATCTGCTTTTTTATATCAATGATCCGATAGCATCATAGCTGTCTTATGCACCTTCCCTGACGCCCGGAAACAATGGAATTCATTGTTCTCGGACCCCTTGTCATTTAAGCGGTTTGGTAAGTCTGACGTGAAGAACAATGACCACATTCGAGGTATGCATAAGCTGACATGCTAAGAAAGTTGACTAGTGTAACTATCGCCAGCCACCTTGAGAATTAACCAGAATATTACCCAATACCAGCCATGGGAAAAGGGTGAAAGACGCTAGTTGTCATACTAGTAGCAACATGTACTAGTACTTGGTTGAATAACCGAGGCAGTCAGTCAGACAGACAATAATGCCTTGACCCCGCTCGAATCCTGACAGGGGTGGTGGCTAGTGGCCAGCAACTAGATATATGGACGTCGTCCATCACTCACCAGCCAGCTGGTGTTCTGACTTCTTCGACAACCCAGTCGGCAGAGAGTGTTAACCACTATAACTGTTCATCATGGCTTGCAAGGTATCGGGAACGGCGTTTATCACGGGAGGTGGAAATGGTAGGAACCAACCTAGCCCGATCGGGAAACCGTGCTAAGCTGCCTCAGGCATTGGCAAGACCACCGCCTTCACGCTTGCCCAGAATGGAATCGAAGCACTATCTCTCTTGGATGTGAACGAGGTACTCCTCCAACGCACTAAAAATGAGCTCGCTACCTCACATCCCAATGTTGCAGTGGAAATTACGGTTGGAGACGTCTCCAAGGAGGCATGCGTGGATGAAGCCGTGCGCCGCACTGTCGAGCGATTCGGTCGCATTGATATCTCGGTTCACTGCGCCGGGATTGTGGGGCAACCGAGCGCGACCCATGAGCTGACGGCAGCAGAATGGCAGAGGGTGATCGATATTAACCAGACCGGGGTGTTGCTCTGCCAAAAGGCTGTGATACGCCAGATGCTGACACAGGAGTATGTTTTACTGGTCCACTTGAGGGGAAGACGGCCGGCTAAGCGTCTTGCAGATCGCGCGGTTTGCGTCTCGGTCGGGGGACGATCGTGAATATGGCTTCTATGTTTGGGGTAGTGGCTCCGGGGGGTTGGTCAGGACTGTCGGCCTATACAGCTTCCAAGCATGGTAAGTGGATGCCTGGGATTGGTGGATGAGTGTACCTAGATAGCTAATGGTTGCAGCTGTGGTTGCTTTCTCAAAAATGGTCTGTTGTTCATGATAATCACCCCCAGATTGTCAGACTAAACCGGTTTAGGACGCCAAAGCGTACATTCAACAAGGGATACGCATCAACGCTATCTGTCCTGGGTAAGCGCCCCGTAGGCCAGTATAATATCCGCTAGCTAACGATCCAGATACACGGACACTGATTTGATCCGCACGTATTGGGATGCGGGATTCATGGAGCCAGACGCGCAGCGAGTCGCTATTGGCCGTAGGGCACAACCGGAGGAGATCGCCGACGCACTCCTGTTTCTGGCCTCCCCGATGAGCAGCTACATGGTAGGCTCCGCCTTGGTCGTCGATGGCGGTTACACGGCTTGAGCGCTTTGAGCACTGAGGCTTCTTGATCTACCTACGTACAGCACTGGATCAATACCATCGCCGATCGGTCTTCTCAACGGAGGGATTAAGAGCAACTAAATTAAACTAAACCAGCATCGCAGTCATGTGTATATACAAATCATCAATCATAGTCGGACCTGGACCTTTGTGGAATCCCATCCGGCTGAGCTCTGCGGAGCAGGCTCGTAGTCCACATAGTGGAATGCGTTATCCTCAAAGGGTCCATAGAACCGCGTGCGATCATAAGGTGCAAAGGAAATGCCCCTGCGCAGTCTCTCCACCAAGTCCGGATTGCTCGTGAAGTACCGTCCATAGAGGAGACCATCGTACTTCCCGGCCTCCAGGACGCCCCAAGAATTGGTCTGGTCCCAGCCGCCAGCCGAAAAGAAGGGGGTCGAGCCGAAGATCTTGCGGAAGGAGGAGAGGTCGACACTCGGAAGGCCCCAGCTGCGGAGGAAGGCATCCTTTTCTTCGTAACTGTGAATTTGCTCGTAGCGCTGAACACATTAGTAAGTGGGACTCAATCGGTTATGAGATAATGCTTACCGGCTCCACAAAGCTGACGTATGATAGACCGGGGTGCGCCTGTTTCAGCGACTCGCACAGATAAGTCCAGGTTTCCACGCGCTGTTCACCACGCGCCTGGTTGTACAGTCCAAACGGCGTGAGTCGAATCGCCAGATTCTCCTGGCCAACCGTCTGAGCCAGTTCGTTCATCAACTCCAGTACGAAGCGGCAGCGCTTCTCTGGAGATCCGCCGTAGTCGTCTGTCCGTCGGTTGATGTTTGAGCTCAAGAACTGCTCCGGGAGATAACCATTACCGGAGTGTAGTTCAACGCCATCGAAGCCAATGTCCATGGCAGTCTTGGCGGCTTTACAATAGTCCTGGATGGTTTGCTTGATGTGCGCGACCGTCAATTCAATCGGAGGGTGGTCTGCATAGCGAACCGGCTCCGACGCTCCCACGGCGGGGTGGGTGTAGCGCTCTTCGGGGTCGTCCCAAACGCTGGCGGAGGCTGAAACTGGGGGTAAGCCGGTCATCTGGGGGACGGTAGCACGGCCGGCGTGCCACAGCTGGCAATAGATGTAGCCGCCCTGGGCGTGGACAGTATCAACGACTCGCTTCCATCCAGCGGCCTGCTCTTCCGTGAAAAGACCGGGGACTCCTGGCATTCCATTGCTCTGCTTGCGTGTTAAAGAACAGACGAATGACCCATCGGAGGTGGATTTGGGGGAGTATTTACCTCCAGCGATGGAGGGATGCCTTCCGAGATGATCAGCCCGCCTGGAGTTGCCCGTTGACGATAATATTCGACGACCAGGTCCCCAGGGTACCAAATCCGATTGGGATTCTCGGGAGTACTGTTTGAGTTCAACGGTTCGCCCCGGTTGCGTGTCAGGGGGGCGTGTACCACCCGGTGGCTCAGAGTGAGCTTGCCATTGGCAATGGCGAGCGGCTGAAAGAGCTTAGAATCCGCTCCTTGGGCCTGGACAATGGTCATTGTGAGAATTCTCGTAAAGATGCAATATCTGGGAAAGCTACCTGGGAAGGTAAAGACAAACGAGGGAGCCACAAGTGGACAATTGAGGAGGAACTTTCTGGGTTGACACGGGCCGTGGTGCGACAGCAAACCAGCGTTCACCTTGAATGCTACTCCTCACTATTGTTCGCTTCATTGCCTTCTCTCCCTTCTCAGTGGACTGGAACGGAGAGCAGCAGACCCATTGCCAAATGAGGGTGACAGATGGAGCCTGACAGGTTACTGGAACCCAACCAGAGTGTCGAGGACACGAGAAAATTGGATGGAGGGACGGGCTGAACCTTGGGAAGTGGAGGCGTATCCACGAAGCCTACACAGAACCACAGATTGCACCCGACTCCAGTTTAGTCATCTGTCTGTCCTCGGGTTCTTTTTTCCCTGTTGACCCCTTATACACATGCAGCGCGTGGCAAACCGCGTGGGACTTAAGCCTTCTGCAGCCTTGCTGATCGGGCGCAGAAAGGCGTCTTCTAGAAGCCCAGGAGAGTTTCAATAGCAGCCACCTTCGTCAAAAGTAACACAACCTGGGGGGCAATTCTTCATTTTAGATCACACGGGGGAACAGTGCGAGGTAAATGTGAGCCATCATATTCACCAGGAAATAATAGGGATGGAAGCCATCCGACGCTCCACTCGACACACAGCAAGCGAAAGTTAAAATTCTTCTTCGCGGCGCTTGGCGTTTACGTTAGAGGCTTTAGAGGCTTTAGGGCACACGCTAAACTACGGGTCGGTGTCGCAAGTCGGTCTTCCGGAAGAACAACCCCCGTTAAGGCCAACAATTAACCGGGCAAGCTTGTGAAAAAGGGAGCCATTCTGCCATTGTTGACTGGCTCCATGACAGTTTGCCGGAGGCCGCCGCATCACGGGCTTTTCACAGACGCTGGTTTCAAACCCACTTTCCAGCGTTCTCCTTTATGCCGAATACTCTATTGTGGTTTGGCTCGGACACCGACGATCACTAATCCCTCAGTCGGGACTTTGGCGGGTTCTTCTGCAGCACCATGACAGATAGTGCGTCGTCGCCACAGCCTATATGCAGCCAGGATCTGGCGCATAGGTAGCGCGAGGAGCTATTGGAACGAGCGCCCGGGGAGGAAGCAATAATCGGGGATGGTTATTACTCCTGATTATCTCCATTGTTCGTTCGAGATATTTCCGACGCCCTGCAGCCATGTCTCCGCGGCTAGTTCGGAGGAGAGGAGAGATTTGAGAATCGATTATCCAATAGTAATTATGAAAAAATATTGGCATCGCAGAGGGGCGCCCTCTCGAACCCCAGTTTCGGCGTCGAAATGAGACACTCTTAGCTAAGGATCCGCCTACGGGTGTCAACTTTTCAGAACCATGGTCCATGGACGCCGCCGCCGCAACACCACTGAGTGTATTTACATAGCACGATACATATCTAGACTAGACCACGATCGCATGCGACGCCCCAGTGGCAAGCAACCACGACGATCCATGCAAGGTGCATCTTTGCTTCTCCCTGTCCATCATTCCCAAAACAGGTAGACGTTATGACCTCCGGGGCCTATCACGATCGATCCGCTCGGATACTCCATGGTCGCCTCCCAGTCCAACTGCATCGGGGAGCTGCTGTATCCCTCCTTTAAGGTTTTCCTATCTACACCTGGGCGGGACGATCGTGACCCGGTGCCATTGAAGTCATTTCTCGGATTGTCCTCCCAGTTTCCGACCCAAAGTTGAGGGCCTCCCTAGGCGGCTTCATGGGCCTATCATAGACGGCGCAGCGCCAGCTTGACCCCGGGCGACGACGCTGCGCGCATGGACAGACCAAGCGCCTGTAATTTGAACCTATTTATAAATGTTTGTGGCCTCCCCGCGGTCGTCGGGGCCAGTGTCTTGCTCCATGTTGTTTCTTCCTGTTTGAAGAAGCTGCATTGACCACTGGCACGCCATGACTGTCAGTCATCCCAAGGATGTTTTGAACACCATCAATTTCGTCACACAATGTTTGTGTATTCCGATCATTAGCGTATTTGTTATCTTGCGTTTTTCCATCCGTATCTACTACAAACAGTTCGTAGGTGTGGAAGACTGTACGTTTGCTTGACTTCTCTTCAAAAAATCATTGCTAACTTTCCCAGGGTCATGTCTCATAGCATGGGTACGTTGGGACTGCAGGTGCCTCCATAGGGCGACTCACTGACTATTGCAGGTTCTGTTCATGGGATACTGTGGCATTGCCATTGCCGGTATGCATCGTTCTTATCTCTCCAGCAGCTCCAACTAACTTGACTCCAGTGGGTCACTATGGCGGGGGTTACCACATTGACGATGTCTCTGAAGCACACCAGATTCTTTTTCGCAAGGTATGAACGCCCGGCTATCAGAAGGACTTGAAGTTCATCGGCTAATTAAGGATCAAATTAGTTCTGTTACATCGCCACCGTTCTTTACTGCCCCATGGCACTCTTCGTCAAGATCGCACTCCTTTCTATCCTCATTCGCATCTTCAGTCCTTACCGTTCCAAAATCTACTTCATCTACGGCCTCCTCGGCTGTCTCTGCATATACTACATCGTTGCCGAGGTCGTCAAGATTCGCATGTGCGACCCGGTTCCGGGATACTGGACGCTCGATCCAAAGGCACGCTGTCTCAATCAACGGGCCGCCCTGATCGCCGATTCTGTCATCAGTGTGGTGACCGACTTTATTATCCTGATTCTACCTCTGCCACTCACCTGGTCGCTTCAGATGTCACGGAGTAAGAAGTTGCGGGTCATCGGCATGCTGTCGGCGGGTGGTCTGGCCACGGCCTTCAGTTTGTACCGGCTGGTTCTGGTCTTGCGTGATGGTAGCTCCAGGGATCAGACTATTGTCTTTACAATCGTTATTCTCTCAGGGTAAGTCATTATTCTAGAATAATCGATGCTGCAGACTAACCCCAAACTAGAAACGCCGAAGGAGGCGTGGCCATGATTTGCGCTTGTCTCCCCACGATCAACATCCTCATCAACAAGCTCCGCAAGAAGGAGTACAGCTCTCAACGTTATTACGAACCAGAGTCCTCTGTCAACCTTAGCAAACTCAAAGGAAGCAACAAGCGATTCTCACTCGGTAACTCCCGCCGCGCCGATGGCACCGAGTCCGCCTCCGACCAGTCACATCTGATTACATTTGCAGGGACGGTCGACATGGCAGGTAATGAGGCGGGAGGCATTCACAAGACGGTGGATGTGTCACAGACGATAGAGATGGTGGCCGATGGTGATAGCCATGAAAGCCACCATCACAGCAGTTTTCACTAATGATTGTATACCCTGGGTGGGCGGCTTTGTGTTTTATGGCGGTATGGTGTTCGGTTAATGACTTCGTCCGAACTACGGTTTAGCGATAGACTACACTCTTTAATATTTCCTTTTCTAATGGATTCTATTTATGTATGATTTGGTCAATTGGCATGGAAATGCTTCCCACCTTCACAGCCAACGATGAAGTATCTGCCAAGATACTGATACTCTTGAACCTATGAAGCCTAACTATTCATCTTGCTAGTGCACATATAGATCTGATCAATTCACCCCTGAACCCTCCCATTCGTCCCTGCCAAGACACCAATTCAAGCCCAATCCTCATTCAACCACAGATAATTAACATCGTGTCGCTATACTCATTACCTCAACTAATTCACCCCAGTAGAAACAGACCCTATATAAATCCGACTTTCCTCCACCCCATCCTGTCCCTCTTCCCAATCCACCATCCAGGATTCCATTTTCTATATATACCTACTACTGATAAATATGCACAGTAACCCACTCAAGCATCATTACTTGACTCATCAACTATATACCTTTCGTTGCGTGCCTTGTGGAAACCGTCTTGGCCAGAGAATCTGTCCAGAATTCTCGCCATATTGTCTACGCACTCGGTACAGCTTTACTCTACTACGCTGGACATAATCCGAGCTCGGCAGAGAAAAATACATATCCTGACCATCAAATATAAGCTCCATGGGCAGAGGGATATGTGCTCCTCGTCCAGCCAGATGTGATAGCGGTATATCTGGGAAGCGCGAAGTCGCTGTTCACTACTAAATCATGCCTGCATACTGGTGAGTTTATCAAGTACATCATTTCATTCATGGTATGCTGAGAAGTCGCTAATAGAAAGTACTATATAGATAAATACCGATACTAGCGCGGATATTTCCATGATCATCAATATCGTATATAGCACCACACCGCGAACTACAGAGCACTTTACGCACATTGTGGTGTGGAAAGCCAGAAAGAGGCGCACTACCAGACTTTGGAAGCTGTCAAATGCCATGTTTGTCGCGGCTATTACCGTTCAGATATTCCTTCCAATCGAAGATAACACACAACAATGTCTTCGACACCAGCATATACCGCGCAGCTCAATATCTCCAATGGAGCTTTGTGAAAGAAAGCATGTTCCGATTTCAATCCAGTCAACAGTCGAAGAATGGTTACCGATTAAACAACGAAGATGAGGCATGCAGGAGCTTGCAGAGTTACAAGAACCATGATGAAATTCCGGCATCCTGTGTCTTTGGTTCGGGTTGCTGAGTACTGCTAGGACTCTAGTACAACTGGGAGTTCAACGCACATGGTCCCTCGCACGGAAGAAGCTTGTATCAGGTATATATTATGCTTTGGACAGAAGCTGTTGCTTTCGATCAGAATGAATCGTTAATCGTCCATCAGAACGATGTACCCACGGGACAGTGATACCCCCGAGACTCACTGACCATGAGATAACACCTTCACAGCAAAATCTGGCACGATGCAAAAGACTACACTCATGGCCAAACCTAAACGTCACAAAAGAAGTTTGGGTACCTATCAACGTATTCTGTGGAGTGTCAATGATATCCGTAACCGGGCGTCTGGTTGCGGATGTCGAGATGTACAATGAGAGAATGCTTGGACATATGGAAGGAGAAATCAACCCAGAGTCGATAACTTCCTTCATCGGGCTGGCAGTACTAGTTCATATAATTGGGCTAGGTTGGTTCGATATGAGCTCAATTTATGCTTCAGAGACTTTACTACCATGTGGGTGGAAGAGCTACGCATTTCTTGTGGTTTTCGAAAGACTACCAGATAATCCAGCGTCGTTCTCCGTGATCAATCATATACTTCGAGACAAATCGTCGTGTTATATACCAGCTCGGGCAAAAGCCATACAAGCTGCTTCAACTATTGCGGTTTACCAGATGTCCAGGGAATGTGGTCTAGTGGGTTCTGCTGTCTTATGTCATATGAAGGGTTGACCTACACTTGGTTGAGCATGTCAATGTACATCCAGAGGCAGTAACTCCCATCAGACAAGGCTACTATAATGGGTGGACTGACCGGCCATCGCGAACATACCGGTATCAAACCCACTGTGCCAGCAATCCCAAGCTCAAGTTACGAGCCTCTCTCTTACTCTCTGTCGATTGTCGAGATTGAAGTCTATCGTGCCGGCCAGACTGATGCTGTTGGTTACTCAAACACGATCATTCTCGTTGAAGCAAGCACGGCTTCTAAACCCAGACAGCCGATCCGGCCCGCCAATATCTCCTACTCTGCCTGGTTAGATTTTTTAAAGTCAGATTGTGAATACAATAGCTTGACATAAGATGAGTATATGCAGGACGATCAGCAACCAACCGCCAGACTGATTAACACGCCAAATCGCCTTCGGTACATGCTGCTCAAGACCCAGGGACCCGTCTGTCGCTTCGAGATCCAGTCAGAGAACCATCCGCATCCACCACGATCGAATCCCGACGGTCTTTTCAGCATCCGTGACACCTGGCCAGCAATGAGGCGAAGCCCCCCTGAGCCGGATTCTGGCAAAGGAAGGGGAAACCCACCGTTCACGATTCCGGTTTAATTATATCACCGGCATGCGCCAGACGCCCGGTGGGTTCACCCTCGTCCAAGGCCCCCCTGGAACGGGCAAGTCGTGGCTCGTCTGTTAAATAGCCATGACATTTATCACCAGCCGTCCTGTCATCGCTTCCCATGATTATGGGTTCCAGCAGGTCCTCATGGTGAGCCAGAGCAATGATACCTGCAATAATCTTGCCAAGATGGCCGACACTGTCACGGCGCGTGCAGTGCCAGACCGAGCCATCCTGATTATCCGCCTTCATGCCAGTAATACTGAGGTCTTTATGGCCTACCATTAAGCGGAACAAGAACAAGGTGTTCCTGCAGACGCTCGCCCGTCTATCAAATAGGGCGCCCTCGACAATGCTGTTGCCCAGATACTGGTATGCTGCTGTCTGCAAGAATAGTATTATACTATAACTAAGCAAGACTTCCCCGTGCCCGACAAGCGGGTGCTTAACCTGGAACAGAGCCTGGGCTACCAAGTCTTACAGGTTGCTGGCTGCATTAACTCCCCCTGGTCCAACCCTGTAAAGCATTAGGTATTCCACATATACCTGGAGAACTACTGTGACGGCATGAAACTTGACGCTGGTGAGATAGAGGTCTTCCACAATAAAACCAAGAAGCTGCTCAAGGATATCCTCCGGATGGCTGATATTATTATCACTATCCTGTACGGAGCCAGCCAGCCCTTCGTCACCAGCGTCTTCCGCCCAGAACTTGTTGTCATTGATGAGACAGCACGCGCGTCCGAGGCGGACCTGTGGCTGGTCTTTGCTAACTATGATCCATATGGATATCTGATAATCAGGAACTCGTTCCAGCTGCATCCAGTGGTCAAGTCAATATCCCAGAATAATCTTTTTTATACCATGTCCGCCATCTCCCCCTTCTGATATCTGTACTTAAGCAGGATACTACTCTGCATGCTGGACAAGTAGTACTACATAACCAGCATACTGGGCAATATAGTGAGCCAGCTGTTTTATCAGGAACAGCTGTGCTTTCCTCATCTTCTCCTGTCTAACCTGCAGGCCCTGTCCGGCTGGATCGCGGACCTTAATCATGTATTATTCAGCATGCAGCAGTCCTTTCTCCTCATCGAGACTACCCATGGTTATAAAGACAGAGACTACTGTTTATCCCAGTATAATGCTAAACACCAGTGCTTGGTCCTGTGCTTTCTCCGCCATCTGCAGCAGTCAGTGCAGGTCTCCTTGCCGAAGGTCACCGTCCTGACGCCCTACGTCGCGCAGGGTAATGTCTACCGCACATCACTGGCCCAGTTGCATCTTGACAACCCCTCCGCCGGATATAATCAGGTTATGATCAAGACCATCGACTCCTTCCAAGGCAGGGAGACGGACATGGTGCTGTACAACACAACTGCCACCATCAGACCCGGCTATCAGAAGTTCAGCGGCCGCCTCAACATTACCCTCAGCCGCGCCCGCGCAGCCATGTACCTCATTATCAATATGGGACAGTAGAACAAGGCCACCGAGGTCCAGCGCGGCCGCTACATCAGTCCACTGATCAATTACTTCATTGATACTGGGTGCAAGGTGCAGATTTCTAGATTAATCATTACAGACTAGAAAATGAAAACCATGGTAAGATACTTCTACGTGATAACTGCGAACTGCCAGTTTCGGGAATCAGGGCTCAGGTTCTCGGCGTAAAAATGCAAACATCTACGCCGAAATCATATTGTCATAATGACGGCCGGTGCCAGGCGCGCAGGTAAATGCAGACAGCCGTGAACAGGAAAGCTAGAATGACCCACCCTGGTCTGACACACCTGGGTTCAACTTCGTATAACGGTGGTCATCTATAACTCTTCGGATGCCACCTACTTGCTAGACGGATAAACCTACTCTCCACCATGAGTAGCTCCGGTGGCTGCATCTTACCCAGGCTGAAATGATATCGGATACAGCTGGAATCGGGAAACTTCGAGACGTGACTGGCTCCCATTGATGGCGCATACTGAAGGGGAGATATAAATCGTGCTACATGCCACGAGACATAGCATACAGCAAGCACATCTTATCGTCGCGCGGCCAGTTAAAAACCGTCTAAGACATGTGGAAATTCCCACTTTCGACTGGGCGACACAATTCCGGAAAGCTTCATACAGGGTCCGTGGAGGGTACGCTGGTACTCTTCTACTCTTATACTTTCTGCAAGAGATAGCCAGCTTGTCAAAGTTATAAGCTACATCGACACTACTCTTGAGTCGATTGCTCAGCATTAGCAATTACCAGCTTCTCAACATAGAGGAAAAACAGGATATACATCATCTACCTATTCATCTTGGTCATGGGTCCCTTATGAATGCAATTCACAAGCATAACCTTAGCCTTAGCCAAGGCTCTCTCACGGGATATTCGAAAACACTCGAACATGATATCAACACACGATGCCGCTTCCCAGTTCTACAGACACGAAGATCTGGTCCACTGATGGGCCATGTTACATTATTCTATGCGAAGATAGCGATCATGCCAAGTCTTCCTCATGAACCACCATGTGTTACCAACACAAGCATTAATTTTCTCCATAACAAACAGGACACTTCAGTTCAATGCCTTTGGTGATGGCCTCGACCTGCCGTTGAACAAGAGCATTGGCGTCGCATGATGAAGAAATAAAAGCAGACCCATCTTATTGATATGTTCTGATATTAACTGAGGTTATAGATCATCGATGCCTTGGAGGATGCCGGCTTGATCATCCCAAAGAGGGTTCTACCCCCGACAAGAGAACTTACAGAAGGTCAGAGACTACGAAAGAAAAAGTTATGGAAAGCACTGGCAAGATTGCAAGTATTAGAATATGACCACCAAGAAGCCTGTCGCATAAAGACCGAAACGTGGGATACTACTATACAGATGTTAAGAAATATATCTGAACTCCACGATACGAACAACAAAAAGATTTATATCTGATAAAAAATCAACCAAAAAGCCTGATGCAAGATTAAGTCTGTCGTCTCCGAGCTCAAAGGCCTTATATAAAAGACTGATACCGCCTTTTACATGATAACTGGTTTCATGGGACTACATTCGTGAATCAAATCATGCAATGCAGAATTAGTACTCAATGTGCCACGGGCATCTTCTCTAAGAGAAAGGTCTCAAACACAACATCTTCTTCACCCGTTTTACTGCATGTATATAGATCATCTTCGTTATCAGACACATATCCGATGGCTACTAACAAGGTGTTTATCCAGAAGGGTCAGGAGGCGCCGCGCTACGAGCGTCCCATCACCGCATATGTCATGTGGAATACCTTTTCAAACATTACCGAGTGTGTCGTTGTCCTGCACTACGACCTTGTCTATCAGCGTGAAGCGGCAGCTGCGCTGACGTTGAACAATTCGAAATGGTAAATCTACCAAAAGGAAGAGGACCTGGGAGGAAGAAATTACATCGATCTTTCCTAAGCGGTGCCTGGAAATGCTGATTGTTGTCGTCGAAGAGTCATTTGCCCCACTACGTAGAGCAGAACTCTCATGCTATGCATGTGCGGCATCTTCAACTACATCTTGTCGTGCATGCTTGTGCGTTGTTTGGCTGGGTAGTTAGTCTTCGCGGAACTTAACTTGTTCAAGTGGAACAGTCTTCTTGACCACAAATGAAACATCAAGCATGACATATCGTGCATGTTATTGGCAGATCTCCCGAAAACGAAGAAGAGGATTATGGAGAACGACCTTGAAGGTTTTTCGGCTATGACCATATGAAACCATTTGCGATGGCTAACAAAAGACTTAGGTCTAGTAACCAACCCGAAAGACCATCGAAAGCTGGAACGAACGCAAGAGAAAGAGGGAGAATACCACAGGAAATTCCGAAAGCTAGAGGCAAACCATAAAAGTGCCTGCTAAGGGGTTACGCAAAGACATCCTAGCTGAGAGCCTAATGCGGCGACAAAGAAAAAATAATCTCCCTGTGCGACCCCGGAGAAAGAGTAGCGGACTCACTCTATCCATGGATATTGAGAACATCACAATACGCGAATGAGATCTGCACGACACGTCACATGTCTATCACATCGTCGGCATAGATTAACCTGGAATACGCTGTCTGTACCAGCAGAATATCGTTATATGAGGGCATGGGTGGCGTTCTTTTCTCCCCTCGAAGGCTATAATTACCATTCAGAAGGCAAATACCTAGCATTCCAGTGATACCGGCTTAAGTGCGGGGGCATTTTATTTACCCTATAGCTCTTATTCACGGATCAGACCATGCTCAGCATGTGGTTGGATTGCCTGTTGCTGGTATATACCCTTAGGCTTTGAGCAAGGTACTCGTAGCTGATGGAAATGTCACGTTCTACAATGCACAGGCATCACGAACGAGTATCACTTCTCTGGAAAAATGAGGAACTGGTTTATGCTCTCGGGTTCAACTTTGAACCAGATGCGACTAGAAAGACCCAGAGCTAGGCAAGTACCTACTTCCATCGATGAAGCTGCTCAACAGGGTAGTTATTATCACAAAGATCTGGGCAAAACAAAAGAACTTGGAGTACTCGGCCTTGCAGAGCTTTCTCTTTACCAGGGGAAATGGAGTATATCTTGGACGGTGCATGGCAACCATAGTTCTTAAAAGGAAGAACGGGGCCTTTCAGGAAGTGTAAACTGCCTGTTTACCTGCAGTGGCTGGTTATAAGAAAGTCTGACAAGAAAGTGTGAGATTAATACACGCTATGAATGAATAGATATGTCTTACATGGCAGTATTGGACAACCCAGGTGAAAAAAAGTTCAAGAACCTCTGGTGAAAGCATTGAAACACATTATTGTGTGGTATTAGTACTCACTGATGTGGATATTTTCGGAGCAACAAGAGACTTCCTTACAGATGTTCAGATGGAGCAATGAGATCAAGAGTAATATTATGGAATGCACGTTGCGGAAGGAATAACAAGTCCTTTTACTGGGAAGTCTGATACTGAAAAGACTAGTACTGCTGTCTTCAATGACCTGTGGAACATTATAAAGCACGAAAATCAGTAGCAAGACAAGGAACTCAAGAAATCAGTATATATAATTTCTCACTTAATTCAGAAAGAAATATACTAATCTAAACAACTTGTGTTATATCCTACTCAGACGATGATCATGTACCCAGATAATGATTAGCAGGTTTATAAGTAATATTTACACTACAGACATTGGGCATTGGTATTGCAGAGTTATATTGCCTTCACCGGTCCCGGTATGAGGGGCGATATGAGCATCTATAATGATCCAGATGCCATAGTGAAGATTTTAACTTAAGTTAGAAAGATTATACTAAATCATTGGAATGGGGAGTTGGTTCACGAGGCGGATAGTTTGTCAGACAGTATGATGAGTTAGTAAGAAGAAGATATGGACATACTAATGAATTGTATTGATTTCTCCTGATAGAGTCTTCAATATCCTTGAGGTCTTTCGGCCAAATGGATCAAATATCCTTCCCTCCATCACAATGAGTTACTCATCTATCGAGAGAGGAATACCCGTTTTCCCTTCCCCAGCTGTAACCTGTAGCCCTGCCGCCCTATACTCCACCTGCAAATGTGAATAACCAAGTGGCGAAAGACAGACAACCACTCACAAAGAATAGTACGTCGCACGATAACAAAAAGAGAGATACCCACAGACATCACCACACCCCTAGCTAGACACGGCACGTATCAGGTTCCTGTCCACCACCCCTCTTCCCTCCCTGTCAATCACATCCGCATTGGAGCAAAGGATTATAGAAGCTTTCTGGGCAGACATGCAGCGGATATCGGAGGATAAGGACTCGTCATAGAGGCAACCATCGGCGACTGTTGTGATCGATCTCCACAGCGAACGGGTGGATGGGATCGATTTACCACACCAGGCAGATGCAGCCTTCGTATCGTATATCCCGCCCTGCGGCTAGCAGGGAGTTAATAATTGACCAGTAATAACGATGTTCAACACTTTCTACTTCAGGTAAGTAATCGCAGGTGCAGGTGCAGATATACTGGTACCTACTATGACTATCAATATAGCCTCACCTGTACCACAAATTAGAGTCCGCAATGGAGACCATCCTTAAGCCGTTAAGCTAGATGCAACGTGATTAGGTAACCACCTCTACTGAAAAACATCTTGATCAGCAATTAGAAACTGGAGAGGCTAATACTTGACCCTCCAAGGCATCCACACGGTAGCCTAAACGCGGAATATCCCCGGACTGTCTAGTAATCCAGTAGTAAACAGATTATGTGAAGCAGACCATATTCTTCCGATTCCGACTCCGGTGCCGCTCCGGAGTCTTAGTCTAGTGGCGATATTTGTTTGCTATATTGATGAAAACGTCAAAAGTGTAAATAATTGGGTGTAATATAGTAGGGGGATTGCGTACTTCGTGTTTGAGTCACTGGCTCACTGCATGACTGGGTCGACTTGACTTGCCCTCGGGAGAAGTTGGAGCCGACAGGATTCATATCCTGGGCTCGTTAGGGGAATATCGGATCCTCTCTGTGCTTTTGCTGGTTTGGACTGGGGGTGGGGGCAGTTGTGATGATGGTTGGGGGTATAAGCAGGAGTTATGCAGGACCTTTGTCGTTGCTGAAGGATGAGGGGGGCTGTTATCTCTGATCCTGGGTGATTAGATCGTTTGAATGATGGCGTGGTTGGGGAGGAAGGACTATACGGATGTTGTTGTCTGTGTGTTAGGGTAATGTCTGTAGGCAAGCCACCAGACAGGAGTCAAGGATGTAATTACAAGCAGCAGCAGCAGCAGCAAAAGGAATGAAGCAGGGTCCAACCACATGAAGATCAACAATCGCAATTCCCTTTAACGTAGTCCGCCGCGATTAATCTACCTCATGAGAGACATTCAAACCTTATTCATCTTACTCCTCCGTCCTCTTGCTCATGATAAACAATGGAATTATCTAACAATAATCAGCAGGACAGATGAGGACCCTTACGCTACTTCGTACTTTGTTTTTCTTTGTTCTTCTTACCTTCCGTGTGGGCCAGGCTCCAGCAGAATGTGCAAAGTAAAGGGATCATGCTATACACAAAATAAATCCTAAATTCCTCCGATGATTCTCCCCTCTCGCTATTTTTCACTTCTTCAAAGAATGTCTCACTCCTCCCGGCCCGCTCCTTGCCGGTCACCTTACCGGCTTGGCTTAGCACGCGGCTTATTCTATCCTCGTTGACTTGCCAGCCTCGTCTGCACATAACAGGCCGAGGCATCTATTCCGTAAATAGTCAGTTAATGAAGCGGATTATACCCTAGGAAAGACAATGGCATGTCAATAGCAGAGCTATTAATCCCCAGGAGGACCTAGTAAAAATCTCCATTGACCTCCCTACCTAGTATTAATTAGTAACAAGTTTGTAACCAGGATGATGAATGCCTAGCTCCGCGGTCCTTGTCAGTGTGCTATTTATTTTTCTCGGCATATAAGCAGTAACTGATAGATAAAACCCCGAATGCGGTATTATTTTATTAGACACATGCAGACCGATGATGGGTAATTAATTTGATAAGATGGGTGCAGAAATTTAGGCGAGATAGCGATAAAATGAGATTGCAATGCAATGGCACACTGTGAATGCTGCAGCAAAGAAAGTTCACCAAGACGGAGAAATTATATCCATCCTCCTAGTAGTAGTACTACTACCCACGGTGCAAGTTGGTAGGTAGGACTAATTACTAGTTGTATGTAACTGGCACTGCATAATCCTCCGTCCGCGTGGATCTCCCTTTTCCACTGCAGAAGAGCTTGGCATCAGCGATCATTGTTTCATCGGCAATGATCGTTCCCGGTTCAGGGAGGGTTCATTGCATTTCAGTTCGGTTTGATCGGTTGGGCTGGGAATCATCCAACCGTCTTTTCTGACGCGGATATGATCATCATCAATATCGTCAGCATCATCTGGTTAACCACCGGAGGCCCGAGGATTCCGAACCCGAACCAGATAGGTAGGAGTGATGCTGGGCAGAGAGTTGATTAGCTAGTTAGGTAGCTGCCTGCAAGCACGCACACACATTGAGAGAGAGAGAGAGAGAGAGAGAGAGAGAGAGAGAGAGAGTGCGCCGTGACGAGAACTGGATCCTACTACCTGTTAGTGCTAGTATCACCCCCACCCCACTTCGCCGAGACCCAGCTGCATAAACAGGAAGTAGTATCTCACCAAGTAGACTACTGAAGTAGTGAAGACAATATAGATTAAGCCAAGTGTAGTCAGTGCCTAAGGGGCAAAACAGGCCCTCCCCCCCCCCCCCCCCCCCCTCCCTCTCTGTGTCTCCTCTCCTGCCAACCTCTTGGCATCAGCATTCAAAAGAGGGATACATACGTATACACCTGCTCCACTCTTAACTTAGCGATCTTATAGTAATCCGCTACTTACCTAGTAGCCGGACTATGCCCAGACCATCTCCTCTTCACCAAGACCTCTCCCAAGACTTTCCTCTCTGTAACCCAAGAACAGCACCCAGCACGCCAGCACACCATCAAACAATGGTCATTCAGCGTATAGCCAAGTACTCGGCACAGGAGGCGAGTGGCGGGGGAAAAGGTCAGGGTGTTCATCGGCAAACTCGCAGCCAAGCGCAGCATATTCCCATCTTGGGAGAGAATAACGCGGAGGGGGCCGGATTCGCCTTCGCTTTGTTTCGTTTCCTTTCTTGGTCGGGATAAAACACAGAAGGAGGAGGGCAAGTTAGATTGACCTGCAGGGCTTGGCGGCGCTTATCGAGATTAGGTTTCATCCTTTTTACCCCTCTTCTGACTTGGGTTGTTGTCTTCTGTTATCCTCTTTTTTTTTGCGCGGCGGATGCTTTGCTTTAGTGGATATGGAATGGGTGTATGCGTATCAGTGGGGGTGGTGGAAATAACAACCCCAAAGACAAGACCATCACAAGACTCGTTGCGATGGTGTACACCATCAAGGTGGCACCTTGGGATGAAAAAGAAAATAATAAATAGAACATAGTGGGATAGCATCCCCTCCCCCCCCCCCACTCCTATCCTCATCACCAACAACTAATTAGCTAGTTAGTATGAGAACAACGACTAGTACTAGATAGATAGCATAGCACTACTAGATACTTACTACTACTACTTCGGCGAGACCAATCCACCACCCAGGAGATGTTAACCAACTCGTCCTAGTCCGTCGACACTACTGCATCGCCTGCAGACAAACGATTGGCCCTGAACCTCGGAGGAGATAGCTGTGATCGACACGAGAGGTACAAAAAGACCCCCAAGTAAATCCCACGGGTGGATGCCGGACCCCCGCCGGAGGTTACCATCCGCGGGAAAGCTAGTTAGCTGGTCAGAACTAAGCAGCACTAACTATCTAGGTACTAGGTACCGTATCCGCTCTCGCTGAACCTGTCCTTCCTAACCTGCCTGGACCCTGTTCGCCGTCCGGTCGCGATTCCTCCTGCTCCCGCTGGTCGGCCTTGCCTGCCTGACGGCCTGCATGTTCGTCGTGAGTCGAGGCCTCGGCATCGCCGTGTGTCCGGGTTTTGGCATATCAGCCAGCCAAGCCCAGCCCCAAGGTCCAGTCCTCCCTCGTACATGCGCCCGGCAGCAGCCCCTGGTCTTTTCTGTTTTCTTTTTTTCTGTTTGCTCTTTGATACGTGCAGGTTGGCACGGGCTTTGTTGTTGCCGTTAGCTAGCTATCTTCAAAACCCGGTGGCGGCTAAAGACGTGATGGGATCTATCAATGTCGAGATCCCCCACGGAATTGGGTTCCGATTTCGGGGTCAATTCCACGACAAAACGGAAAGAAACAATGAGCATCATAATAATAATAATAATAATAAAGCCTCGCACAATCCAAATCTAGTCTACCTCTCTAGCGGGCACACAGAACTATACATCCCACGATGATCGTAGTCTTCGTGAGAAGAACAGGGTATTTAGAAACAAGAAATCATGCCAAAAAATTTCAACCGTGACGATCATAATCGCCCTATCGCCGGGCCCACCGGTCCACCTCAGCCATATGAAGCTCCATTGAGCTTGGCGCACGCCAGAATCATGCGTGTGATGGGAAGCAATAACGTAACACTTACACTGCCAACCTCTTCCAATACCAACAATTGTTGAAGGGTCCGCAGGGCTGGCAGCATGCTACCATCCACCCCCCGCGCCCACGACCGCTGCGTCTGTGCGCGGGCTATCATCCACTCCCCCTCGCTGCGTGCTCGCCACATTTCCTCCGGCGCCGGCAACGGCAGCTGAAGAAGGATCGCGCTATCTAGCGGGTCAATGTTGATCCCGTTGTAACGGCGGGCCCGTCCTGCTAATGTGCGGATTATATTGGCAAAGAAAATGTTACGTCGCAGGGATTCGGCGAATTTCCATCGCCGCCAATCCGTTTCATCTTCATGGGGGGTACGAAGAATGTCCTCGTGAAGTTTGTAGACCCGTTGCGTCATCTAAAGCCCACCCAGGTCAGCTCAGAGCATAGGGTGGGGCGTAGGGCAATCGGAGTGGGGGGTTACATACCCTCAAGAGAATGTCAACAGGGGTCTCGGGGTGCCCTTGATCGCCTGTAAGGCTTGGAAGCTTGCTGAGGCCGTTGGTGGCGAAATTGTCTCCGAAAAGGCTCAAGATCTGTTGAACACACACCGCATGAAGCGCTACTACGCAGCCTTCTGCCGCTGCAAGGCGCTCCCCATTGTGCATTGACAGGTCAAATGTATCGCAGGTCTCCAGATAATTAGCATAGGATGATATCGAACTCAGAGTGGTGCTAAGTGGCTGGCCCATTGATTGCATCGCATACCCCTGTAGCTCATGATGTAGAAAGGGCGAGTAGAACTGTCTCTGCAGAGCCAACCCAGGGTACTCGCGTAGCAGACTGAACAGCTCTTGGTAGAGGTCACCAACGTCACCTGGGCTATGATGGCTTGTCTTGGGCAGGAAGCTTTGGCCGAACCCCGATCCTGTGCGGCTATGTGTGTACGTGCTGAACCGCCAAGTTTCGTTTTCTTCGTCGTTGGAAGCCATATCCGGCCAGATATTATCGAAATATCCAGGAGATACCGACGACATATTCAGTCCGCCTCCAGCGGCATAAGAGTCACCCGAGAGAGTAGCCGGAGTAGGAGGGACCATGGTCACTGGAGAGGACCTCATCGTCGGTGGCATATACATAGCGTGCGAACAACTGTCAAGCGACCCGGGAAAGAACTCCTCCAGCCCAAATGTTTCGGACTGTTCATGAAGATCGTCTTGCCAGGGCGGAGAATTCATCAACGAGGCATCTTGCATTGGAAGCATAGTACTCTCATTAACGGCATGGAACGCAAGTTCGGCATTCGTTGGAGTTTCGGGGCTCCACGAGGAGCCCGAGATATCGTGTAGTTCATCCGCGGTAGATGGTGTGTCGAACGGATATGTTGGAAGGGCCCATGTCGTGCCACCAGGTATTATACCAGCACAGATCGGAACAGGGTGTATGGAACCAGCAGACGAAGCAATATTATCCTGGGGATCATCAAGACTGGGAGTTTGAACAGGAACAGAAGACTGCGGATACACGCAAGGCCTTCGGCTTTGCAGACACCGACTACAGGAGGGCCGGGTCATGGAACACCGCAGCTTCTTTTGCGCACAGGCGTCGCAGGATTTGCGCTTGGACTGGCGTTCCTGGCCAATGTTCTTAATACAACGGCGACGGTGCCGGTCCCGCAGATCACCTATTATCTGGTTAACCACAAGTCTGTGCATAAGTGGCCGTGTCTCTGAGCATGATCAAGGGACTCAGGAGAGAAATGTGTCAACATTGGGCGATCATAAGAAAGGGCAGCCTACGTCGACTATATGTCTTGTTGCAGATTCCGCATCGGTATTCCCCTTCCGCAGTGGGTTGCGATGGGGGAGGCGGCAGGTGATGGCAGTTGCTCTGGGAATGGCCATGCCGAGCGCCTGGCTTCTTGACTTCTGTCCCGGCGATGCCATCCTTCTTCGGTGAGGCCTCAGACATGGTATGTGTCTGGTCACTCAGCGTAATGGTCATAGCGGGCATAGCTTAGTGGCCGCACTCAGTTAAAACAGACAGCTAAGTTGTTTGGAGAAGATCCAGAGAAGAAGTAAAAATAAATTAATGAGCCGCGTCCGGGAGGAAGGTGGATGAGATATGAATGTGTCAACGCAGTATGGATATTAGGACCAGAGAAGAGGGAAAGGCACCGAGGGGACGCCGTCGATAAGTACAACCTCCGGGCTACCCATCTCGGATCCGGGGCGATTGTTGAGGGGAAATAACAGGCCAGATTAGTCAAGGCTCGCTCAAGCTACCCTAAGGACCGATCGGGAAGCAAATGGAAGGATTCTGATCCTTTTTTTTTCGTACATCTGACCCGACTCGAGGGGGATGAATATCCCCCGTTCGGCCTGCAGACTGCGGAACCCCCCCGAAACCGTAGCTTGTAGCTTAGTCTGCGTAATATTAGCATGGGGTGTATTTAATAAGATTCACCCGACCTAACGAAGGTCACCCTAGTTCCTGCTGAGATAATTGCTCGACGAATGGGGGATGTATGGGCGCCTGCATGGCTTAATCTGAAGTTGCCCTGCATCCCTGGTATTTTTCAGCCCGTGGAGGCTGCTCCACCAACCACGGAGCGCGTGCCTCCCCCTCGGCTCCATAGTCCTTCGATAGGATGAATGTCTTGGATTCGATCTCCCGTTTGAAAATCCAGAACGCAACGCCACGCCAGGCGGCGATCGCCCAAGTCCAAGCCATCCGCGTTAGGCAAGATAAATAAAATATAATCCGGCCATACATGAGACCGCAATGGTCGCCAGCTAGTCCGGATTGATCATCACATTGCAGCGGATGTTTTTTTTTTCTTTACTATTCGGATGTAACCGCAGAAAGCCACACGTCCTTTTTTGCAGTGGGCATAATTCCACGGCCACCAACCCTGATTGCCATTCCGCTTATTAACGGGCTTAGCGCTCCCACCCGGATCCCATCTGCTGTCTGTCTGACGGTTGGCATGTCCGCCATCCCGTATACCTCGCCACACTCTAATTTTCTAGGCATCTGTTAGGCCGACCATCGTTTCACACATGTCCTTGGTCAGCTCAGCGTATCAGGAGGCCCCCTCTATGCACAATATTGGCACAGCAGGAGGGTGAGGAGTGTCTAGCACGTTGGCAGCGGAATGGCCCGCATGTTAGCGCTGTCGCAGGATGCCAACGCTAGCCGTAAGAAACGCTTCTCCCCCACCCGCCCACTCAGACATTCTGCAATAATGAATCCAGACTCCACGGTCCATCAATTCCTGAAGGAAACGTGGTTCCTGGGGCCGGTTAATTCACGCGAGTGTCGCTTGTGGACCGGGGCCTGCTGGAAATAGATTCTGAGTCGACGGTGCGGATATTGCGCGATGCTTCCGTCTAGGTCAGACCCGATTCCAGCGTCATCCACAGATACGAGGTAGATCCTGAACCATTAAATACGAATTAGCCAATTTCCTGATTTGATCACGTATTCTTCCGGGGTCTCTCATGTTATCCGTGGAGTGGCTAGTCAACTGCTATCTTCCCCCCCATCGCAATAGCAGGAACAGCTGCATCGGACTTGGTGCGAATATGTACTAGTTTTCTGGTTGGCGGGCGCTTCTGCAGATATATTGTAGGACCGGGGTCTCGTGGAAGATAAAGGAAAAGGGAGAATTGCCCGCCGATAAGGGAATAGGGATGGGGATGGGGAAATGCAACGCACTCCGCTGAGCCCCGAGACGCATGGGCCAGCATAGGCCACAGGAGGCCGCCAGCCTAACCCGCCAACACCCATCCGTTCTGGGACCCCGGCGGAGTCTCCACGCGTTAAACTACTGTACAACCTCCGTATCTTGGGTTAGCGGCGGCCAACTCCCGATTTTCGTACCGGGAGCCTCAGGAGAATATTATCACGAGTCATGTACACCGTCAGCTAGGAGGTTCGGAAACCCGGCAGCGAAAAAATAGGATATGACGCTCATACACGCGACGTCGATCTTCAGACTCGATCTGGTTAGTGGATTGCCAGCTGATTCTGATTCTGGGGGCCAAAGCTAGACTCAAGAGTCGGAGGGTAATACGAGCTTCTGTAGGATAAGCTGACACGCCATGTGGTAGCGGGTCGGGAAAGGAGAGGGAGAACAAGGAATGTTCATGAGTGGAGTGAGATACTGTGTATAGTAGAGCTGGAAATGCTACCACATTAGGAAATTGAAGGTAGCGCTAGAAGAACTGAATGTGGAAGAAGTGGAAGTGCAGGGGATGGGATTGGCTCCGATGGAACGTAAGAGGATGTAGTGATTGTAGTAGTGCGAAGTTGGAAGTTGGAAAGCCCCTCGGAAGTCACTAGGAGGAGGGGTAGTACTTAGTAGTAAGAAGTACACTCAAGTAGTGACTACTCCCTTCAACTCCCTACAAAGAGATCATCTGATCACGCTCATTGGCTGCTGCAAACCAGCCAAACGCCTCAACCTCCTGCAACTTGCTGAAGATGCTGCCACACCTGCAAGCCTTCATTTCGACTTGCATGTGAGGCACCCAGGATGGAAGGAATCGAAGCTCATCGAAACCATTGACTATAATTTCAGTGGCCGTTGGACTATATTACTCAATCCTCTATTCTAGGTTTAGATCCCTTTGTGATGCCTTCCAGTCCCTATACGTACCACCTCTGTCGATCGTTCCGATTCCGACTTCTCGAACTTTGGCTGATCTTTCACTTGTGTGTTATAGGGCGTCCATGCCACCGACCTCTCAGCCTTATGACTTAATTCCCCATAAGTCAAATCCGAACAACCGCGCAACAAGCTGGGAGCGTTGTCTGTTCACTGAGGGTTTACGAAAAATGGAAAAAATAATAATAGGATTACCTGAACTGTTTGCGAAACCAAAACTATGCGTGTCGTGCAGTAGCACAGTCGTAGTGCCGCATGCACTTATCCGCCAGCAGATTGTTATCTATCAGTTAAGATGGCGACTTCTGATCTATCGGAGACAATAGTTCCTCCAATCTGCTTCGAATTTGATCCACTAGGCCATCAAGATCAATGACCTATGGTGAATTATCATGAGCCTGTGCTATTACAGCCTTCAGTAGTACAGAATTATATACGCGTCTCGCGTGGCTGCAGGAAGGAGATCTAGAGTCTCTAAGATTACTTTCGACATGAAGAAGAACTGAAAGCAGATGCGGTTGTCTCTTTACCATGAGACGCCACAGAGGTTGATCTCTGCAGGTGTTTGATGCTCGGCTTACCCGAGCGTTGTGAAGGGGAGTGGAGCAGCCATGCCCAGAAGAAGGTTCATGCGACCACAAAGCACTCATCTGCTATCTTTCTGCAACACGGATACTCTGACAGGACAGATAAAACATAGGTGGTTATCAGCTGGATCCTATTAACACATGCACAAGCCATTTCCTGGTTATCACGCCGCTGTAAGTGGCCCCCCAGGGGCATGCCTCAGGAAGACAGCAACACAAAGTCTCTGTAACCGGGACTCGGAGCAATCCTACCGCTTGGTTTACTTGTTCCGGACAAGTGAGGGATAGTGTTGACTGGTTTCTTTTAGTGACGTTTCTGCTAAACTTTTCCTTTGGTCCCTCACCGGCCCGGGAGCCACCCAACAGGCTAACCATACTATATGCTGTCTCTTAAGAATCTGACTTTGAGCGTGACAAAGGGGAGTGGTGTCAGAGGTACATTCCAGCTCTGTTGATCATCGAAGTAAAATGCCCGTCTCCAAGTTAAGGCGCTGCTACTGATACCTTCTGTATACTTCCACAACAGGAGTCTGGGCGCCCGAGTCGTATCTTACCTAAGGAAGATCATATAGTCATACGAATGCACCCTTCCTTTTGCCAGGTTTATAGTGTTTGGTTTTCCTAGGGACCTGACAGGACTGGAACAGCAAAAGTATCCAGGCACTGCTCAGCCATCTGCAAGGATTACCCGCTGGGTGGCTACGAAATGAAAAGAACGGAGCGAGACTAACATCCGGCTTACAGATGATCCTTTCATCAAGACAGCCATCCAAATCGAGTTGGCATTGCCTTCTCTGTCGAACTCGTCAACCTTGTTGCAAATTACGGCACCGTGTTTCCCCCTAATCGAGACCCACCGGCTAAAATATGACCACAGCAGCGTTAGCCAGTCATCCCGAGCCAAAAGAGTTGGTGGCGTTTTGGCAAACGTCCCAGGCATGCGCTAAATATATGACCGATTAGGAATGTGTTATTCAGCGCTCGGCGTGTTGCTTGTGAAATCATTATAGGTCTGGGTTCCATCGCGAGGCGGCTTTTGACGGCGGTAATATCGATATTGCCGCTAGATTCTCTCCTCAGGTCACTACGAATCAGAATACTCCTGTGCTCAAGATATGGGTCTTATCGCCTTGAATGCAAGTCTAGCCGTGTTGCTGGATCGCGACCGTCAGGAAAGGCATGGCTTCCTGTTTGACGGCCTGGAGATCGCCATTCGGAAGAACCCCGGTGAATTTCGCAACGTCAAGCATGTACAACGCTAACCCGCGCAGAAGACTCTTGGCATTCTGCTGGCCTGTGCTACCTCGCTGCATATGTCTTCTTTCCCAAGCTGGTATACTGCTCACCTGGCTCAAACGTATTGTCCTGCCACACGAGCAGAGGTTGAGAACAAATACCACTCTGACACTTAAGGTTGAACGTGTGGAAGACCCTGCATCGAGCAGGGTTCAGCCAGAGGACCTTGGGACTCGGAACCTCAGACTTGGGCAATTCATTTCCTCTCATCTGCGGGGATCCCTGCAAAACACTACGTACCACCTTGGGTATTGCTTATCGGGACTGCCGCGGAAATTCGTTCATGACCCCGCTGCAAGGCCCTCTACTCTGCACGTTTACGAATGGGCCGGAGTAGACCGTAAGGGAATACGTCAATATTTTTGTGACCTTGATGTTCGGAGCAAGGGAAGTAAACCTGTAGAGAAAATGCTTCGATCGGAACAATGGAGAATGGAATAGTCGAACAACAGAAACTCCGGATCCGAACATGGTCTAGATTGAAGCCATCATTGTCACCAGGCTATGTGCCAACCCAGACGAGCCAAGCCGGTTAATGAGATGCAGATGCGCCTGCCAAGGGGACGCCTCTTTCGCGTGATTTTGAGACGAAGCATAATTTCCTCTATGAATTGGATAAAAGTTTCGTGTAACTACAACCCCAGCCTTGCATTGACGACCAGGAAGAGCAACCATCACCCGAGACAAGATCTCAGATACATAGCCACTCATCTCTTGCAAAAGCCGATGTAGTACTCGGCTATGTTTGCCTGTTCTATTAGACAGGAACATCTCAGGTCACAGAGGCTTCCATCCCCAGATTTTGCCCTTGGCTCCAAGCCTTGGGAGGGTAGCCTTGATCTTGGCGTCATAGCCTGTGATGATTTTGCATCCGAATACAACACACCAAGATGTATGGAAAGAAGAGGCAGGTACAGAGCGATGCGAGCCTACAGGCCGCCTTATCAAAAGAGCGTTCGATGATTTTGCTGTAGGTTTGTGCGGCGTTGTCATATCGAAGAGGAACCTCGCACTGCTCCCCTCCTGCGAGAAAAACATGGGTACCGTCGAATATACTAGTTAGGTGAGTCACAAACACCTGTCAAATGCTATATGGGTCAGCTAACCCAGCATGGTTCTGGCACTGTCAAGTTTATGAGCGAGACCCAGGGACACCATGGTCGATATCTACATCATGGGTGCCACGCCACACCCCATTCTACTCCTCAGCGCTGCCTCCTGTGTACCGCTTGCATGTACACACGGTCTGGTCATAAGTCTTAAGGTCTGTATTAATTTATATTCTTCCCTTTATAAGCCGGAGCCACTGCGCAGGCCCTGTCCGCGTCTTAATGATTGCTGCAGCTCTTCGTACGCTCATGAGCGCATCAGCGCTGTCACAAATAGGTTACTTTCAAACAAATTGGATTTTCTTTGTGGCTGCTTGGATGCGCGAGGTATCCAAGGTCCTGTAGCCAGCTCTGTCCGGAGAATTCTTTTTTTCCTGATACAAGTGGTTTGATTCAAACGCTCAATGTGTATCACGTTGCTTTTGTTCGCTCCTGTATTGCCCAGCTAAAATATTAACATCATTACAGCTTGTGTCCTCTGTGGGGCTTGAGATCGGAGCTGAACGTAGCCCGTCGGATGGGGGTCGTTGTACATTCTCATTCAGGCACATCACACGCCTCAATATGTCTCGGATGGCCCCTAGAATCGCTGAATGGCGACAGTGCCAAAGCTTTCCGGCCAAATGTCACAGCTGCACGTCAGATTGGCAAGGCAGACGTGAAAGCCAGATGCTTTCACCGAATGCGCGTGGGTTGTCAGAAAGGGTAGGCTTAATCTCCTTCAGCAAAGACGACGAGAACTCAAGCCGCAGGCATGCCTAAACAGATTAATCTAGTGCCTCCAATTTCTGATGTTTCTTCTATTATCCTCATAATGTCGCTATTCACGGTCAGCAACTGACGGGCGGATCCTGCAGGGTGGCTGTTTGTCATAATCTGGGCTTGATGCTCGACGGCGACAACGGCTAGCTCAGTGCATACCGCGCTGACTACTATCCTAACAAAGGCACGGTCTGCGGCAGCCTAGCATGATGGGATTTGTCACGGTCAGGCCTGTCCATTGCGGTCAACGCAGATTGGATATGTGCGGGCTTGTAGGTTCGACTTCGGTGATAACAATCAGCACGATGCTGCGGTCGCTATCAGGTCTTGTGCTGTCACCGAACCCGTCGGCAAATTATGAGACTCTCACTCTGCGCTTGGACAAATTGGGGTGGGATTCATCGCATTGACAATGTTCTTGTGCTCGGCACCACTGTAGCGGTGCGGAGAATGAAAAGGTATCCGAGGGTGCAGGTTCGGCTGTGATCGGTGATAAGCATGGGCCGAGGATCCAAGCTGCCATGCCACGGCCGTTGGCGAGCTTCTCGGGCGCAGGAGAGCTTAATTATTGGCTTGAAGGCAGCTGCCAAATGCAGCGCTGCGGGTCGGTGGGTTGCCTGCTGGGGGCTGTTTATCAGCTAGCCTCGCAGCCATTGGTCTCTCTGGCCATTTCCCAACGACACGCAACACTAAAACCCGAGTACCCCCGGCCAGGCCAGTGCACGCTGATTCCTCAATATTCTCCGATCTGCAGGTCTGGCGTTCCATGAATGGTCTCCCGAAGGGCCGTTGAATAACAATGCCTTTGTCGCAGGCGGGGGTCCCAGTCACACCATGCTGGCCATGTGTCCAGTACTCGAGTCAGTGCCAATTGCCGGCTCCGGGTGATGTGCCGTCCTGGCCTTCCAGACAAAACGATAAACCCTATTTCAGCATCGCGGCTGGGTTCACCTCAGCTGAGGTTATAAATCGGTCAGCATGCGTCTTCCTGGTCCCTGCATCCTTGCATCCTCGCATCCCCCCTGGTCCTTTCTTTTTTTCCATCTAGCATGATTTTTGAACCCGCAGCCAGGGCCCCGGTGCCCTGCGCCGATGTGATCTCCTATGTCTTTTCTGACCCGCCCTACGATCATAACGAACCGGTAATATTCCGATGGGGGATACATTTTCCTCTTCTCGAATTTCTTTTCTTCTCGCCTACAGAACACCTCTAACAGGTACAGATCTACGTTGATGTCCACAATCCCTCTCGCTCCATTTCCTACAACCAAGCCCGGACTATTGTTCGCCAACTGATCTCGGGGCTGCGCGCCTGGGGCGTGCAAGAGGGCGACTGTGTCGCCATTCACTCTTTCAATGATGTACGCTTATTTCAAAATCTCCAATTCCACTGCCAGTTGGTTACTCACAAATGATAGATCTATTATACCATGCTAGTCCTGGCGATCGTTGGCGCAGGTGGGATCTTTACGGGCTCAAATCCAGCCTACACAACCTTCGAATTAGGCCATCATTTTCGCTCCTCAGCGACGAGCTTCATCATCACAGAGCCGGAGCATCTGGATGCGATAACTACGGCAGCGAAAGCAACATCAATCCCAACACATCGGATCCGGGTATTCGATATTTTGGGACAGTCAGTACCAGATGGAGCGGTGTCCTGGAAGGAGCTGCTCGAACATGGTGAACAAGACTGGGTAAGGTTTGACAACGAGGAGATGTCCAGGAACACTACGGCAGCCAGGCTGTTCAGTAGCGGGACTACAGGGCTTCCCAAGGCAGCAGATATCACGCATATGAATCTTGTCGCCCAACACGAGTTTGTGTTTGAGTTTAATCCGCGACCATGGCGAGTATGTACCCCACTTTAGAATTGTTTCTGTTGACTCTATCGATGATTGAATGACTGTCTGGCTGACAAGTGACCTATAAAGGTAAGCAGAGTCATCGCTGTTCCCCTTTTTCACGCCGCTGCTGCTCCCAGCAGCCATTTCGGCAGCCTAAAAGCTGGCCATATCAACTACGTCATGCGGCGTTTCGATCTACCCCTCTTCTTGCAGACGGTTGAAAAATACCAAGTCACCGAGATGGCTGTTGTTCCGCCCATTGCCATTGCCATCATCATGCATCCGATGTCTTACGAACGGGGCTATCTGCGCTCAATCCGGGCGAGCAATCTGGGCGCGGCACCCATGGACAAAGACGCCCAGAAACGGTTCCAAAGGTTGCTTGGGCCAGGAGCCAATTGTACGCAGGTTTGGGGTATGACAGAGACATGCTGTATTGCGACAATGTTCCGGTGGGATGAAGGGGATGAGACAGGGTCAGTCGGGAGGTTAGTGCCAAACATGGAGGCTAAGTATGATCTTCTCCCTTCGTTCCATCAGCTCGAGGCTAACTTAATGATATAGATTAGTAGACGACAACGGAGCTGATATCTCCGACTATGGCGTGCGAGGCGAGCTGTGTGTCCGCGGCCCTGCCGTCACCCCTGGGTACTTCAACAACCCGGCCGCCAACGCGGAATCCTTCGATGAGCAGGGCTGGTTCCACACGGGGGACATCGCGTATTGCGATGGTGCTACCCAGAAATGGTATATAGTAGATCGCAAAAAGGAGCTGATCAAGGTCCGAGGATTTCAAGTTGCTCCACCGGAACTGGAAGCCGTGCTCTTGGCGCATCCGCTCATTGTGGATGCTGCCGTGATTGGGTTGCGGGATGTGGTCCCGGGGACGGAATTGCCGCGAGCGTATGTAGTCCGCCGACCCGAGACCGATGAGAGCAGGTTGACGGAGGATATGGTAAAGAGCTGGTTATTGGAGAGGCTGGCAGGATATAAAGCGCTCACAGGGGGTGTCAAATTTGTACCGAGCATACCCAAGACAGCAAGTGGGAAGATTCTCAAGCGAGTGTTGCGGGAAGAGAGTCGCAGGGAAATCAAGGAGAGTGGATGGAGACCGAGGTTGTAGTTATATTTGCTGAATGTTTGATCTTCTTGTATCTAGTACCGGCAGTCAGTACATACTCAATCTCCCTATTCTGCCATTCTCAATAGTCCCTGGACCTCGTTCGCCTCTTTTAGCGATCGTCGGTCTTCTCCGAAGCTTCGCGCGTGATATGCAATCTCAGTTGTCTTAATCCGCAAGTCATGTCTGGGATAGCCAGATGCCCGCATTCCACCTGACTTCAAGTTTGATCACTGCTTGTCGAAGGTAATAAGTGTTATTAGTTGGTTGGCTCGGAGCGAGTTTCCCCTGTTACCCCGACTGTTAACGTGACCCTCGCTCAGCCCGCTACCCTCTGAGCCTCATGACATCGAAAGTGCCAATCAGCAGCATCAAGATTAGTGAGGCTTGAGGCTCCCAAATCTTTGCTTCCGTTGCGATTTTTGAAGTAACCTCTGTCAGATCTCTAACATGTTGGGGAGATTCGAATCATCCGTGAGCCAACTCACTCCAGCCTCCCAGTTCCATCAGCCTCAACACTTCAAAGATCGGCGCCATCTGAATAGAACCCTTTGAGGGAAACCCTGATTAGCACCCGGCTCATTTATCCTTCTGGCTGAAGGAGGTGCGGTCATGGTAGGTTAGCCACGTCTGCCATCGGCAAATCCGTGTGATGTATCAATTACTTGCCGTAATACTGTCGGACATAACCGATGGCGGTTCATATGAAGGACATGCGAATTCAAAAACCCCGTGTCATGGCAGTATTTATTGAGAGTGTTTCGGCGGATGTGATATATCAGAAAATCCTTTTCGAATACCGAGATCCGTCTTCACGCGTGTCTGACGATCAAAGGGTCTCGACAATAGATTCTATGAGGAAAATCTCGGCTTTATTCATGTTATGCAGTCAGCGCAAAGGTAATTTCTTCTCGGCTGGGCCCAATCAGTCATCGATCGTCATATACACAGGGACTCGAGTCAAACAAATAAGAGCCACTGCAGCCACTAAACATAGCGATGTGATACCTCATAATCACGCTATTGTCGCTCATGTCATCATGCTTGTCCTAGTACCCTTTTTATGATGTGCAGTTAATATTCAATCACATTGAAAGTCTTCGGGTACGTCGCTTGGACAGGGAAGTCTCATGGGGTAAGACAATTTTTAGAAAGACCTCTGCCAAGCACAACAGTTAGTGCTATAATTCCCAATCCATTCGATGGACACACACGAGCGTAGCATACCCTGCGATCAATCCAGTTCAATATCGGGTGGCTAGATTCTCGCCCAGGAGTGACTTGGTCGTCGGCTTCGCAAGGTGGAAATACTTCCTAGCAGGTTTTGATACGGACAACTCGCTTGCTGCCATTAACAAAGGTAGTGTCTCTTCCATAAATTTCTCTTAGCATATATGGTAGTATAATGAGTGAGACATGGGTATACCATATACTGGTGTCTATTGATGGATCGGAGGTATTCCTGAGATCCTGAATCCAATCACCGACGTTTGCTCGGTTTGTCTAGTGTGTCCTTGCTTGTTTTGGGCCCACTTCTGCCCACCTCCAGCAGACTCTAATCACACTAAGTCGCTCCTAGGCTGTGTCAAGCTATTAATTTTCTTCTGGGACATTGTTTCTTGGGCAAATCACAAGACCCTTTGTTGTCTCGATGCTGGGTTTCAAGTCTCTCCACTTGTTGCAGGCAGCAGAGTAGCATCATAGGTCTTCTTGGCCATCCGATGCTCCCTTGACTTTAAGATATCAACACCATCGACGTTTGAATTCGTTTGTTCATACAAGAGCATCTAATCTCGGAAGCCATCCCAGGTTAAGGCTGCATCTAGCACCACTCAACATTGCCAGATAACTCTCGCAAGATCTTTAGAGTATGACATCCTATTCTCCCTGTTAACAACTGAAGCTAGCAATCTGTTAGAGACCCATACTGTGACTACGGAACTCTTATCGACGACAGATCTATGCTCTTCATTACAGGCATCACATCACTCACCCCTTCAGAACGATGAACGTACACCAGCAGATAGCATCCGATGAAGCTGGAGAAAGTGCCTAACAACCTCAACCATCAGAGGGCCGGTCCAATGTCTTTGGTATCGGAAGTAACGCCTATACTCTCTACTCTACACGGTTTATTACTCCTGTCGACGAACTGGTACGGGGCATGCGATATTAAAGGATCCGGTGTAGGAATCTTTTGTCGTGCAGCTTTACTTACAATACATCGTCAAAAGACCTTGAGAACTCTCTCCGGATCTTTCTACGCAGTTAATCAGTCGGCCGTCGTTCTATTCCATAACACAATGAAGCTATCAGGAGTACAATCGGCAAATGCGGGCTACTCCGTGTTTTCGGATCTATCCGAGGATCAGCTGGATTCATCCGATGCCGGCACTTTTCTCGGGTTGCTCCACATCTATAAAACAGACTTCGTCATTTCCAGCCCCTAGTCAACTATTCACCTAAACAATACAATGAGTCTACCCATGACACAGATAACCCGATCCTTGCATAACGCGACTGCCTCACCGGTAGTCGCAGTTCTCTACCAGGCCATCGAGCCGCCCATCATCAACGGCGCTCGCAAGCCCCGCAAGCCTGGCGGTATCACACCCCACTCCTGCTATCCCAAGGACTCATACTAACACAGATGCCAGGTTACCAAGACTCGGGATCAGACATTGCCTACACTCTCAAAAACCGTGGCGTACGAGTCGTGACTCCCATCTCTTCCCCGAATCCCAAAGAGCAAGAAGGCTGGTGCTTCCCGGACACAGAGAATGGGATCCTCTCTGCTGTGCGCCAAGGGGCAACGCACCTTTGGGCCAACACGATCCTCTTCTCCTCACATCCACTGCAAGCCTCGCAGTCTCTTGCTTCAGCCCCTATCTCTGTTGTCGGACAGCCACCAACCCTGGTTGAATCCTTCGATGACAAAGCCTATCTCAACGACCAACTCCGTATCCATGGCTCATTTACCCTCCCCCGCTCATGGTTGATCCGCAATTCGGATAATGTCTCCCCTATACTAGACTCCATTCCAAACTATCCCGTGGTTGGTAAACCCGTCCGTGGTCGCGGCAGCCACGGTGTCAAGGTATGCCATAATCGAGCCGAGCTCGAGGAACATCTCAACGCTCTGCTGCTCGAGTCTCCCATCGTCATGGTGGAAGAGTACCTCACGGGCGAAGAGGCAACGATCACAGTTATGCCGCCATCAACAGAGAGTCCAGAATACTGGAGCCTGCCTCCTATCACCCGCTTCAACCATGTCGATGGCATTGCGCCATATAATGGTACAGTGGCCGTGACTGCGAACTCGCGCGCTATCACAGAAACCGAAATGCAGGATGAGTCGTACAGAAATGCAATGCGGCAGTGTGAGCAAGTTGCCAAATTAATTGGGGCGACGGCACCCATTCGCATTGACATTAGACGGTTTAGCGAGGGGTCACAGTTTGCCATCTTCGATATCAACATGAAACCTGTATGTCATGTCCCTTTAATCACTGAGCCGTAGCTAACGATGAATAGAATATGACCGGGCCTGGACGACCTGGACGCGAGGACCAGGCCAGTCTAACTGCTCTTGCGGCTGCAGCTATCGGATGGGACTACGGGGCATTGTTGCACAAGATCCTCAACAGTGCGCAGCCACTTGATCGCTTCCGAGCTTACAGCAACCCGTTTGCTTCGCACTGAGTGTTTCCCTTCTCCCATCCCTCCAATACGGTTGTATCTATATAAGTATGAAGCTGCAACACAGTTATAAACTATTCAATAGTTGCCACCATCTTCCCCTCCTCATCCTTCCACCGATACACCACTCCATCTCCCACATTATATCGATAATAATTCTCCGTGCCGCCAGGCACCACCGCCCTCCGAAACGTGATATTAATCCGTCCCAAAGCACCAGCACTTCCCTGCAACCCCTTACGCTTAGGCACACTGTGCAACCAATTTGCCTGAGTCTCGCCCCTCATAATTAGCATATCGCCGGACTTGAGGGGAAACTTGAGCGGTTTCGCAGCTGCATTTGCAATCGCACGATCAGCATCAGTAGTACTACCACCACCTGGTTTATGCTTCAACAGGAAATCTCTCCCCGCGCCAAGCGATAAGGACGCAATGGTAGGATTCTGGCCTAGAAACCGCTCATCATCCGAGTGGTACGAGATACTATCGTCCCCTGTGGCGTAGTAATTCACCAGGACGAAATTATATCTTGTCCCATCGTCCGTGGCCTTCTCCACTGCTTGGCGCAAAATGTCCAGACACGGCGGGATGGGTCGAGGCCTGCATTGATATCTGGATTTGGTTTCGATGCGTGTTTTACTGTCGACCAATATTGGTGAGTTGGCTGGTGGTAGTTGGTGAGGGGAATCTAGTAGAGTGTGGTTTGCTGTGTCTGTGTCTTCTTGGACTTTCGTGTCAGGATTGGAATTAGTAGAAACAGAATCCGAGTTTGCAGTAGTGAATGTCGATGTATCGTCTACACCGAAGACAGTCGTGTATCTTGGCGTGTTGATGGATGTTTCAGTTCCGCCGCGCCGGATCTTATATTGGACGCGGTAAAAAGGGAGTTCATTCCGCAGGAACTCGAATAAGTCTCGGGCCAGTGGGCCGGGGAGAAAGGGTTGGAAGTAGAGGAGATCCAGGTGCGGGTGGTTGGTTATGGATTTGGGGGGTCGAGGTGCTGGATTAGAGAGGAGAGGTGTGGTGATGGTGCTGGGCGGGTCGCGGATCGGGATGGGATAGCTTGGGTGATGGGTATATGTGGATGGTTTTGGTGGGACTGTTGTTGTTATTGATGATGATGATGATGATGATGATGATGATGATTCTGCTGTCGTAGTTGCATCCGGTTTGAGTTTCTTCTTCGACGGAAGAGGTTGGAAGAAGGTGCTGATGCGTTTGGACATGATGCGGGTTGCTGTCAGGATGGTGGTGGAAATTGCGGGTGGTTGGGTGGCGGATGTTGAAGGGGAAGGTAGACCGCGGGTGGATGGTCTAGGGGAGGTCTGGAATGAGGCCAAAGTTAAGCTTATATTGGGTTTGGGGTGGATGATGTCACGGTTCCAAGGGATGGGGTGAGATTGTGGGTCGGAGATTGACTTCTTCTTAATGTTCTAGATTGTGCCATGCGCGTTGAGATTTGTTTGTTCGCGGGTGAGTCTAGATTTGGCTGTGTCCTTGGATTGAATTTATGCTTTCGGGTAGTAGAGCACACGGCTGTAGCCATGTTGTATCCAGTTATCTTACGTGCTCGACTTCGTTGCTCTGCTACCGATCGTTGGTCTTGCGGTTTCATCAGTGCTGCTGGATCTAGATTGTCGTTTGACCCGCTGGATAACCTCACAGTAGAATCTTTTGCAAAGTATGGACCGGGGTACGCCCGACCCATCTCCTTAGGTCAAAAACATAATTCCAATAAAGCATATTCGAATGACTTTTGTATATTGTATTCCGAAGCAGAAATGACATGGCCGGTACAGCCATTCGTTGGAAGCAACGCGTATCAGTCATTTTCATTCGCTTTTCGTTTCACGCCTGCAGCCTTTCCAAACATGCTTTCGAGGCTTTGTTGACCCTTTTCGCGTTTCTCAACCTTAACCTTTTCTGATGCCAGCACGGGCGGCAGTCCCTGGACGCGCTGTTTAGCATCCTCCAGCAATTCCACTTCCCGGTCCCGTTGCTTCTTGACGGTCGGCACCGACCAAGAGTTCGATGACGCGGACTTGTACGCCAGTTTATACTTTGAGCCCGTGAGGTGCGTCTCGTACGTGTTGGCATCGATTTTCTTGACATGCTGTGGGGGTGAGCTAGCCGTCGTTTCATGAGATGGCATAGCCTACCTGATGGCCTACAATCAGCCAGTGATACTCGGTTCCCACAGGCGCACCACTCCCTGTAGGCGCTTTCCTCGCCCGTCTTTTGTTCGTCTGGTAGTCGATTCTCCAAAGATCGGGTTCTTCCTTGGTTTCCTTCCACGTTCCTTGGTCGTATGTCCAGGTGTGTGATCCTCCAACAGCCATCCCGGAGTACATCTGTCCTTTGTACGACTTGAGTGCGTTGTACCCTCCCCCTCCTAGTGCGAATTCGGCCGTTCTTTTGGCTGCTTTTCCAGTGTCGGGATCGATGGTATTCTCCGTTTCCTCGGGCATCTCTTCATCTTCATCGAAGAGTTCAGGTGTGTACGACTCATCTCGAGGAGCTGATTCTCGCTTTGCTTCCTCTTCCTCTGGGATATCTTGTGTGATGACGGCATTCTTCTCGGACAGAGGAGGGGATGGCGGCTTCTGTGCCACCGATGGGTTTTTCCTGGTACGTTTAGCAGGCATTGCGATGATGAAGTGGCATTGTGCCAGCAACAGACAGCCAACAGTAAGCCAGTAATTATTGCGGCTGGTGAAGAATGGAGGCGAAGCACAGATGAAGAAACGATGCCATGACGTCACGGCGAGCACATGCTTCTGGGGAGGTATCCCGTGACCCTGGAGTGACTTTCTCGTGGAGTTTTTCGTGGCTCAACCTCAATTCCTCCACTAGACTTGTCCAATACACGCTCCATTCTTCTCCATTATCATTCTATTTATAACCTCGCTGATCGATGGGCTCGTTGCGTTGCACATGGATCGTCTGAGGGCCGTATCCATTTGATAAGCCGATCTGCCGTCATCCCCGCGATTTGTATGGACAGCCTCTGGAACGATGGAGCTGGACACATCAGCTCCCTTTGCGATGACTCCAAACCCCACCACAACAATGGTTAGAGTGGTTGAGCACAACCAGTATCTCTTTCTTACATCTAGAGCCACCGGATAGCTCTGCAGAACACGACCCATGGATCGCATTCATTCGGTGCGACGTCATGCTCTCACTCTCAGTCTCACTGTCCGGGACGGGCGGGAGGGTCCGCAGGTCAGTGGAGTCGAGTCGAGTCGATATCGCGTCTTACTGGATCAGGAATTAAGGGAACAGGAGCTCCATTCGAACGCGCTTGCAGACATGATCGCAATGACTATTGACGATTGACGACTGATCGGGCGAAGCTACGACCAGCAACCCAACCCAACGCCACGCATCCACCGCATCATCCGCTTCATCAGCACCGGCAATCACACTCACACCCTTCGGTATGACGGACGAACCATCGTCGGAACTCCTCCCTCCTTCCTGAGGATTGACCCCCGCCAGCCCCGTCAATCAGAGGGTCCGGTAGCCCATCACAACATGCTCTACCCGGGCACACGGCGTATATGGCCGCTGATGCCCTTGCTCACTCGTACCCTGGCGGATGCGCCACCGTCCCAGTCCCTCAGTTGATCCCTTCCCACATCCCCCCCCCCCAACCCCCGCGTGTTCTGGCAAATAATTTGGCTTTTTTACTTTTGCTTTGTGATGCGGAACTCGCGGCACTATGACTGGCGGGTCAATGGGTACACCCTCATCATAGAGGAACTCAAAAGTCAAATCTTCGTTCAGTAATAAATACTACCCATCTTCCCCGGACGTCAACGGCGCCTAGATCCCTCTCCAACAACGAGAATATTTCTTTCAGGGCCATTCTCTGTCAGCTCATCCGCTCTGACGCAGAAGACCGCTCGAACATCCCTGCCTGGCGCATACTTGAAACCGTGCTCAGCGAATCGGCATCACCCGCTACTGCACTGTCTGTGCCTTTTTCATCTTCGTTCTCGTCCTTCTCCTCCTTTGTCCTTCATGTTCCAGTCGTTTACCCCTCTGCTCATCTCCAACTCCCTGTCCACTCTCTGTCCGCACGGAAGATATATCCGCCAGCGGTTAATCGGATCTTCTTCGCTTCACGGTGGACTGTGCTCCTAGTTATTCCCTTAACTTCCATCACGAACCTACTTCTCCGACCCGGTTGGGTTTACTTTTTCCACCGCCGACTATTTCACCAACAAAGTTCCCCAATCACCCTCGTGATCGTCGCCGCCGCGAAGGAGACAAAAAAGGAAAACGTTAAAGCCGCATTCCGCCCAACAAAAAAAGAATCAACGCACACCACCAAATTCACTCTACCAAGTCATTCTCCAATCGAAAGATGCGCGATATGTCGTCCAAATTTATCGAGATTCTCGACCCCAATGATACTCGGCCGCGCATGTCTGATTGCGATGTCCGGCTCGAAGATGTCCTAGCCGACCATGAAGCGCTTGTCACTAGGCCCCGATCCTCCACTCAATCCTCTTCTAAGCCGAGTCTAGACAACCGTCTAGATCGCGATTCACCCACTTCACCCACACAGCGCTGGAAGCGTCTTAGCACCATCCTCGTCCCAGCCAGAAGAGGCTCAGCATGATACTCTTTAGCTTTTCCACCTCTCCTCTCATTCCTCCACTCTATGCCACAAAATTTCACGGTCCTGGCGACCGTCAATTACGCAGATGATACGCTACGCTACGTTACGATATATACACAAAGAAACGATAAAAGCCAAGACGAAACGATACGAAGATACGGACATGACTCGGGAGTTCGATAGATCCGGATACAAAGTTACAAACATATGATTGAGTTGGGCTGGCCTGGACTGAATTGGTTGGGTTTATTTTATTCGTCCTTTAGCGACGGAGTAGGCAGAATCAATTTGAAAGGATCTGGATTTGAGATTATTTTCTATCCTTACTTCCTCTTTTACACTCCCCAGGTCCCATACCCGAAAGCTCTTCTAGAACTGTCGCTCCTAGATCCCTATGACATCTACTGTCACAACTTCTTTATTGATACCCAATGACCACCACCGTCGTCGTCATCGTCCTCATATCGATGATCGCACGGAATTGCTATCATTCGTGATGACTACCAAATTTTGCACTAGAACCTCGATGCCTGAAGCCCTACCTACCTAGCTAACCAGCTAGCTCAGTGCATTGACATCATCGCTCCATCGACTGGAACTACTAATGATTAGTGGCCTCCACACTCCCGTCATTTATCTGACAACCATCACCCACTGAGAAGTGCAATGCACTGTCTACGTGGTGGTAATCATCTTGATTGGTTATCTTGCTCTGTATTGAGTGCTTACGCAAGTGATGGCGTAAACTCACTAGCTAGTAGCTAGTTAGCTGGCTAGCTGGTAGCTGGATGGATGTGTTAACTGGATTGTCATAGCATGATGGGTGGGGGTAGGTTACTATGCTATAGGGAAGAGGCTGCTATTCTGCGTTTGTGTTCTAGAAATCTGGTTAGCTATCTTGTTGGGGTAAAATGACTAGTCAGGCAGAGAGGTTAGTTTTATGATGCTATCTATGATTGTGGGTCTGAACTTGTTTTCTCTCCACGGGTACGCAACTGGGTCGGGTGTGATGATGGTATCCACTCATGTACCGGTAGTAGCTTGATTTATTTGAGCTCTTAATATAGTAAAAATGTATATTTGGTTCTGCTATATGCTGAATTTGTTAGCCCGTTTTCTATCTTATGTGTGTGGCGTGTGATCAGTCCCTCGTCATCGCGTCTTGTCATTGACTCATCTACTTACCTGTCAACCCTTATAACATCACACACATTCGCGCGTACAGCAACTTGAATTGTTCATCCAACACTATGTAGGAATACACTACGGAAGACTCATCGGAGTGTCTATGACTCGGATCCTTTGCCACGCCACCATAATAATAGAAAGTCCTCCCTTCTGTAAACTCATAACGCTAATTCAAATGGCACCGTGCCTTCCACTCCAAATCAAGCCCCCTCACATATCCATTAACCCACCACCACTATCTCCGGCGAAATACACGTGTCCATGTAGATCTCCCCTACTCGCTATGTACATACCGGACCCTTTCATTGGGACTCGGAGGGTATGGGGTGATTGATAGATGGTGGCGTGATAAGAGAATCCTGGGTATTGGCTAGCAAGCACAACTACTATGCCTTGCTGGATCTTGTATGGCTGGAAACTGTTAACTACACCGGATTAGTGTTTGTATCTGGTCGACTTGCACCAGAACACGTCTGATGAGACGTAATAGGTGTCTGTGTCTGTGCCACTGCGGGTTTTCCTTGCGTTGGATAGCACTGGTCGCTTGATTTGTCGCTGGACGCGTGGAGTGTAGTTTGGGTTGGGTATGTTTCTGGTGGCTATATTTGTGTAGATGGTGTAGGTGTACTGTTTAAGTGGCGAGAGACGCAAGTCTTGGACGCGTTGAGGGGAAGGGGTGGAGGTTTTTTCCAAGATAATGGTCGTCTGAACTGATGGGTGTTTTGAAGTTGGTAGGTTAGTGTATGTTATGACTTTTGTATGCATCTTGTCAGGGGATTTAACTTGCATGTTGTGGTCTTTGATCGTATGCAGCTGATTGGGGATCTCATGGTATTATTTGTGGTACCACGAGGGCCGTAAACACCTGGTTGTTGCATCCGTACATACCGGATGTTGGCTCTGGATGTTTCGGGGTACTTTAAGGTCTCTCTTGGTTCATCTCTAGGTAGATGGGGAACATGGTGGTCGTGGGGGATAGTGGATGAAGCAAGATCTCGGCTCTTCGCACATAGGCACCATTGGCGGTGATATGGAGAGATAAAGAGAACAATGATGACCACATATTCTGTTTGTATTGCGGTATTTCATATCTTTGGGTATTTGACTGCTAGGTGAAGCTACATCACATCACTATGCAAAGATCTCTCCAGGTCCACGCTCATCTACGCCTAACCCGACTTTGCCTATACTCCCACCAGACTGCAATAGCTCATGTCCTTTCTTCACACCGTCAAGCGTCAATCTCAGTCGCTTCGTGAGATGGCACTTGATCTTGTTCGCATCAATCAAGTCTGTAAGCTCTTCCAGAATGCGATGGTGCGATTCGACATCCACCTTATGATACGGCTTGGTTCCAAGCAGACACCAGACAAACATCAACGACTTCGACATGAACTCCGTTCCATACATCTTAGCTTGACCTTGGACGATCGAGCAGACCTTGCCAAACGGCGCGCAGACCCGAGCACACGTATCCATGTACTGGTCTGTCGAGTGTGTAATGAAGATATACCTGGGCTGTTGTTAGCAATTATTTCAGACTGTCAAAGACATGTCTTACTTCACAGGTACATCGAGGTTGAATTTCTCGACCTGACTAGTAACATCCTCCCTATGGTTGACAACGTGAGTCGCACCCATGTCTTTCGTAAACTGGATTGTCTCCGGGCGTGACGCTGTCGTGATGACCACAGGAAGATCCAACACAACACGTGCAATCTGGGTAGCCATGGCACCCACGCCGCCGGCCCCGTTGATGATGAGGAGGGCTGCTTTTTCACCCTTTTGTATCTCCAGTCTTTCGACAAGAGCTTCATACGCTGTGATATACGTCAACGGCATGGCAGCCGACTCCACGAAATCGAGTCTTTTCGGCTTGTGACCAACACTCCTCTCATCTACTAGTTGATACTCGGCATTCGATCCCTGTCTGATGGGGCTTCCCGAGTAGTATACCTCATCGCCAACACTGAAAAGCGAGCATTGTGATCCAACGGCTTCGACAATGCCTGATGCATCGTACCCGGTGATTTGGAATGGTCGAGGAACGCGATCGTAGTAGTCTGTCGAGACGTTAAATCAACTAGTACTCCACATTGACCATGTCAGATGTAGTCTAGGCCTTACCAGGATAATCATCATATGTACCATTCCGTACTTTCGTATCCACCGGGTTCACAGCAACACCTTTGATTCTTTCATAGCTTTTAGCGACTATACATTTGATCAAAAAAGTATTAAACCATCCTACCGAACCAGAAGATCCCGAGGCTGAAGGTCTGTCGGCTTCGGGACTTCCCGAGCTTCGAGACGGTCAATAGGACCGTAGTTCTCCACGCCAATTGCCTTCATCTTGAAATAGTTGATTGTATTTGTCTTCGATATAGCATTCTGATGGTCTTGCCATGTTAAATAGACCTTCGGCAACGCGTTACGTCACAGGAACGTCAAATCGATGAAGTTCGGGAGTCAACTGTGGAACATTCAAATTGTCCTATAGTATAATTTATCAGTATCAAGTTAGTAGAATATATATTATGATGAGAGTAGTAGTAAATAACAGAAGAGTAGACACCCACGTCTGGCCGTTACTACTAGGATGCTCGAGCAAGATGGCATCACATGCTGCTGTAGTGGTAATTCTATTCCATGTCGCAGATTAGGTCCGATGAGTATCCTAATACAATGATGGCATCCCAAAGTCAAAATTCCACACTTGTTAATCTTACCTGACTAGATATCTAGAACTGCTCAAATTCCCCACTGTCGCCCAAAGCAATACCAATGCACTCCTCAACTATAGATCAATCCCTTATCGATAAGCTCCAAGGCGGCCACCAAAGCGGTGAGCTCCACCACGGGCAAAATAAACACCACCAAACCGAATCAGGCAATCCGAGGACAGGAACCGCCCCGCCTCGAGCCAACAACAACCGACAAGCACAATCGAAAGCAATCAACACGCGTGCTATCGAGCAATATCATACAGGACGGGAGATTGTTATCGCCAGCAGACGCTTAGTCTCTCAGCAACCATCCAACAGATCGCCTTCCTCTTTTCATTGAGTCCTTCCACCCAGCCCAAAAATTCCAAACCACACACCAACCACCACAATGTCAACAACACCAATCCCCAAAAACCGATCCTCCAGCCCAACAGTCTTCGAACAGCAGCGGGCAGAATTAGTTAGAGAGATTGCAGTGGTGAGTTATCACCTAGTACACTCTCTTCTATGCATTCCATTACATGCAAATTACCCCCTCCATACCCAAACCAAACCCCCAATCCCAATCCCATGTGATAATCTAACGAAATAACCACCAGGGCATGGAACAAGTCCTCCAAAACATCAACCGGCTGAACCGGAACCTGGAGAGCATTATTTCCGTAAGTTAATACCTACTCAGACAAAAAATAATATGCACACACCCAAACCAGACGGATAATTAATTACTCGCCCACACCCCCCCCCCCCCCTCCCCACTTATTCTTCCTCCGATCCATTCCGCGCATGCCGATCACATAAGATCAGATCGGATCAGATCCCGTCAATTCTATTATATTCTCTTCTGGTGTTACTTCACTCTAAGCTAATGGATTTGTGATCTTGCAGGTGGGAAATGAATTCGGCTCTGTGGAAGCCCTTTGGTCCCAGTTCGAGAACTTTATGGGCAGCAGGCCTGGGGAGGAGCAGAAGGGTGGTGCTGGTGCTGGCGGTGCTGGTGGTGGTGGGGTTGGGAGTGGGCAGCATCAGGATGATGATGAGGAGGGGAGTCAGCTTCAGGAGGATGATCATCGGTGATCGGTGAGGATAATTGGGTCTATGGTTTGGTTTGAGGTTCTCGTTGTTTATGTGGGTATGGATTAGATTGGTTGATTGGTGGCGTATGGTAGAGGAGTTGTTTTGTTTTTCTATTGATAACTTCTGACTGCTGTATTGTTTATTGTTGTTACTTTTTCCTATTTTTGCTTTACTCTGGTTGCTATTGGAAATATTGGGATACGGATACCATATGGGGGTAATAACAGAGTTTATGAGTTTGGCAACAAAACAAGTTCAACAATTCAAGTACACGGGATTTTCGCTTGCGCCAGTAAACACCCATCCCATGCATGGCAAAAGAGTGGCCAACAGACCAAATTCGTGACAACATCAAGCATTCAGACACAGTGAGAAAAAAGTCAATCGCCAAATCGAAGGGGTGGAAAGGATATGATGATAAGAGTAATGGTGATTGAGGGAAACAGTCATCAGGGTCGAAACAGGTATAGCAACATGGAGGAAGCAAAAGTCAAGAAGCCGCCGGCATGTATAGGTGGAAAGGGTAGGTAGAGGGCAAAGTAGCAGACACAGTTGCATCAGGCAGTGTCTTTCATCTTCATGGCCTCTTGGTCATGTCATGTCATGTCACATACAAAAAGCGTGGGGAAACCGTCGAAGCAACCAGGCTTCTCACTCGGCATAACAGGAATGGCAGAAAAACAGACATCGCAAGAGGAAGAATAGGCGAAACCAAAAGGGCAGATGATCATGACCAGACAAACATCAAAAGAAGACCAAAGTCTACAGAATCTTGCAGGAACGCTTTTTGACCTTCTTTCCTCCGCCTCCACCACCGACTTTAGGTTTGCTTCCGGGAGTAGAAGACGTCTGGCGGTCATTCCAGTCTTGTTCCTCGGCAGAGACAACGGTATCGACCGCCAGGGAGAAGACGCCGTCGACGCCGCGCATTTCTTTGCTACTACACTCAATGTAAGAGGCATTCATCCTGCGCGCCACCGCCTCACCTTGTTCCGGCGTCACAGGCGTTAGACCCTGGGTCTTTAGAAGTTCGATACACGTTCTCTTCGAGCGCAAATCTGACTTCAACCCAACCAGAATGAGCGGGGTAGTGGGACAAAAGTGCAGGACTTCAGGATACCACTGCAGCCGGTATTAGCTCCCATAACTCGTCGCGGGATAGCTGGGAATTACCTTGTCCATAACGTTTTCCAAAGATGCAGGGCAATCTATTGCAAAGCAAACAAATAACAGGTCCGTCTCCGGATATGACAGTGGACGCAGGCGGTCATATTCTTCCTGTCCAGCTGTATCCCAGAGGGCTAATTCAACCGTCTTGCCCGAGGCTCGGTGGGTGGTTTGTGTGATGTAGTTCTCGAACACAGTAGGAACATATTTCTGGACGCACGGTAATTAGTTTGGCGATGATGCGGAAAGTCCTCACCGGGGCGTTGCCAGAACCTACCTCTGGGAAATAACCTTGGGAATAACTGATCAAAAGGCACGTCTTTCCACATCCACCATCGCCAACCACAACAAACTTCTTGGAATACGCAGGCGGATGTGTAATATTTGTAGCTTCCGACATCCTCCCACTCGAAACGCTTGTATTTGTGCTCACGGTGCCGTTGCTAACTCTGACACTTTGACTGCGGGTCCGACTATGTCGTGGAGTCATGGATGGCGGAGGAGTAGCAACTGAATGGCGCCGTGAGGGTGCATAAACGTGCTCGTCGTACATTGTACCTGACATGATGGCGGAGTAGGAGAATTTCGAGGAATGTGAGTTATACAGCCGTTCCGGAAGGGGTGGGAATTGTCGGTCTGGAAATGCGGCTCGGTAATAATTGCTGCTCAACGATCCACTGTCTTGTCAAAAGCACAGCGGAAAGTTTTCTGGGTCGGTGTGTACTGAGCAATTCCCCTGCGTTGTTAGGAATGTCGAAGTAAAGTGGCTTGCTGTACAAAAGGTAAATGGGGGGGGGTGGTGGTTATTTGGGATGTGAGGAGGAGGAGGGGGGGTAGAGGAGGTTGGTGGAATTAGAAAAACAAGACGCGAAACCAGCACGAAGAGGTTCTGAAGGAAGAAAGGGATGTCAGGCTTCAGATGCACCTACTAGTTTCTCCACGATGAGCCCAGCCAGCCAGCCAGCCAGCCTCCTTCTCCCACGGCTGCTCCAACAACGAGGCCGTCGTGGCTGACATGAAACCGTAAGAGACCGATGTTTACCGGCCGATGGGCTGCCATGGCAACGCCGCGGGACAAATGACGCACGAGCTCCGCTTGTCACTCCACGCAACTTCAGCTGGACGCATATCCATCGATTCCATTCGTCTTCTGCCTCATCCGCGCCTGTTATTTTTAGTAGGTTCAGCCGGATGTTCACTCGGTTCCTTGGTTGTTTACCTACCTGAGTTGCTCACCAGGAATTCCTCGACGATGGCCGGGCCCCCCGAGTCGGGTTACCACCACTCTATCGCCGTCCTCCTTGGAATCATTCCCGATCCTCGAATAAAAATGGGGCTTTAGTGGCAGGGTTGGCCCCCGGTGATCGATAACATTGATCAAGGTTTTCTTCTGGTGTGATCCCTTGCAGGTCCGTGCTACACAAGTCTTCGTCCACGGTCCAGGTCCCTGAAGCCACTTTTTACCCAACAATCCGGAGTAGTAACTAACTAGAAACTACTAAGAAACAAGAGACACCCCGGTTGACGTAATCTTTCCCGATGTCACGTTCAGCCTTGGATTTGGCCCGAAAGAACTAATCAATTCTTGTTCCTGCCGAGGTTAATCACTACAAGGCTAGTACTAGTCATGAGCGATTATTTGGTGGTCGATTCTTACTACCCATTACTACTAGTAGTTCAGTACTCCGTAGATACGCCTCCGCTTACTCAAGTATGTTGGCGAGGTTGTTCGTGTCTCCGGGTGTATAGAGCGAATTCCTCGCAGCTACTGCTGATTGTTTGCCTATCAGCTAGAAATTCCACTTGTCATGATGCCAAAATGTAGGCATTTGTACACTATGAAGGCGGATCTGACAGCCTTCTAGCCTCCGCCACCGATGCCTGCAACTTCCTACCCTGGCTGGGCTCATTCCACGCCGTCGCTATCCTTGTCAGTTCCATTTTTGGCAGCTTGACAAACAGATATTCAGCCACATGGAAAGATGTTTAGACGTATAAACGGTCTAGCTCTAGACCATGCGAAGCTGCGCTTGTCAACTTTGCTTCATTCCTTTATCATCAATAGGAGAATTGACGGCTAGGGCTTCAGTGCAGTGTCCCTCATGACTATGGACATCGGCTACTTAGGCTACAACATAACTCTAGATGTTAGTTGCAGATATTGTACACTGCGAAAGGAAACGTATCAGTCCGTATAGTATGTGCCGGGACACGGCTTTGGTAGTCAATGCTCTCTAACAATCCCCAGCTACTAGTATCTTATGTACTTGAAAGCACAAATCGGCTTCAACATCGCATCGATCATGAGCAATTAAAACCGTGTTAGGTCTGAAAGTTCACCGCAGCGCAGCTTAGTAGGAGTAATACTTCACTACTCCATACTATATATAAATTACTGCATTGATCTGCGGTCGAATGACTGCATAAGCGCCGATGAGAAACACCGTCCCGGCAGAAACGCGTATCCGTATCATGCACTGCATTACTATTTTCGTTCAAGGAGTATTCAGTGCCTAAGCCTCTCGCAGAGTGCTCCTCAAAAGTACCATCATATGTGTATGCTTTAAGACACGGTAACAGTGTTCTAACTTAATGATTATATATATTCAAACCACATCCACTGAGAAAACCAGAGGACTGGACCAAATACACTGAATTTTATACAGAGTATTTCTCATTCAGTAACCAGACTATTCTAATTAACCTCGCAGCTTTAATAAAGATGACAGCCCCGTGGGTAGCTGTAAGTAGTTCCGATTCTAGATAGATCACTTTGTCGAGGGCGATCATATTCCTTTCGCTGCCGTGTTTTGGGTGACTAAACCCTTAGCTCAGCCGGGGGAGGCTTGAGGGTCGAGAGTTGAGTGGTTGGACAAACCACGGCCGCATCGGCCGCCAAGAACACGACCTTTTCTGCGATAACGCCGGATGAGCATGACTTAGCCTACCGCGATCTACTGCTCTCCTTTTTTTCCCGCTGATAGAAAGTGGCCTCCCCGAAAAGCTCGGGTCTCCTCTCCAACCACGCCAGTCATCAATGATCTTACCAGCCCGTTGTGGGTGTTGAGATTGCTATCTGTCGGGAACCTTATGGGGGGTTGTCGCAAACACACCATCACGCTATATTGAAACGGCTGCCTTATCTGAACAACAACAACAACAACAACAACGACAGCATGGTCAATGGGAAGAATGGCCAGCCGGATGCTGGGCTGAGAAGCCTCGATCATTGTACGTGGTGTTGATTGTCGAATCGCAATTGATTTTAGTGGACTAACCGCGGCTTGTCTTCAATCGCTATCAGATCGAAACCAGCTCCCTTATTGGCGTTATTGGCCACGACAGAAGCTCCTCCCCCTAATTCGATATGAGACCCCGTATCTGGCTTGGGTCCAGGAGAGGGTCCGCACTCCGGCCTTAGACTCCTACTTTGCCTTCACAGCCAATCTGGGCACACATACCTTTTTCATGGTTTTCCTGCCGATCTTGTTCTGGTGCGGGTATACGAGCTTGGGGCGCGGGTAAGTGGCCATGACGAGCCCTTAGACATAGACAGAGGGAAAACAATTATCTGGCCTGCAATTGAGCTGACGACTCTCAATCTCTCAGGATGGTGCATCTTTTGGCCTCCGGCGTATTTTTCAGTGGTTTCATCAAGGACTTGCTTTGCCTCCCGCGGCCTCTATCCCCTCCTCTCCAACGGATAACGATGTCCGGCTCTGCGGCGTTGGAATACGGATTCCCATCGACTCACTCCACCAATGCGGTCTCGGTTGCGGCATACGCTCTCGCGCTATTGAACTCCCCCGAATCCACCCTGAGCCCCCAGGTCAATATCGTCCTCCAAGCTATAACATACCTCTACGTCTGTTCCATTGTCCTGGGTCGTCTGTACTGTGGTATGCATGGGTTTTTTGATGTTGTCATTGGATGTTTACTTGGGTTCCTCCTCGCCTTCCTACAGTATACATTTGGTCCGACCATCGATGATTATGTCGTTGCTGCTACCGGAAGGGGGGTTACACTAGTGATTCTGTTGATTTTGGGTTTGGTCCGTATACACCCAGAGCCTGCCGATGACTGCCCGTGCTTTGACGACAGTGTGGCTTTTGCAGGAGTCACGCTTGGAGCACAAGTGGCCTATTGGCACATAGCTAGGTCAAGCCTGATGTGGGATGAACCTGTGCCGGCCAATGTCCCATTCGAATTTCAGCGTGTAGGACTGGTCAAGACGGCTCTCCGCCTCATCATTGGTGTTCTTATGCTCTTCACGTGGCGAGCTGTCACTAAGCCCTTTCTGCTTCGGGCTTTGCCTCCTGTTTTCCGGGGCCTGGAAAAGTTGGGCCTCATACTTCCCCGGAGATTTTTCCGGAACGCTTCGTAAGTTTACTATGCGGCCTTGAACATAAGAGAAGACGAAGAGTTCTCCGCAAAGAGAGACGCAGCTAACGTAACGTGCCAAACAGACAATACACGACAGTTCCATCCCAGCTCCGGGACCACGAAGTGCTACCGGGCTTTTCGGAGATACCTTCGATTATAACCACTATCCGGCATCCTCGACGACGCGCTATTTCGATCGGCCCGCAATCAGAAGCTGACGCGTACGAGACCCTGGCATATCGTGAGAAGCGGAGACGGGAAAGTCTTTCAACGGCCAACCAGCCATCCCCAGTACCGGAAGCAGGTGGACCGGTCTCGGAGTCCGAGCCACGGAAACTGTCGCGGAAGCCATCTAAATTGCACGAGTATGAGAATATGATGGGCACAGGTGCCCCTGGTGTGGCGACTTCTGTCGATGTTAGCTCACAAGAAGCTTCTTCGACCGTGCCCTTCCCTCCATTTGAGTCGGAAATTGAAGCCGACGAGAAGGAAGTGTTTTCGCAGATCAAACGACCTAGAGTGCGCTATGATGTGGAGGTTGTCACGAAACTCGTTGTATATTCCGGTGGGTGTATCCCGATGCGCCGAATTGGAGAGTTGTAGATGCTGACTGTGCTTTTTAGGAATTGCCTGGATTGTGATGGAGGGAGCGCCTTTGTTCTTCGATCGGATAGGGCTGGCGCCATAGTAGCTTAGTAGTAGTCGCGGGGTGGGTCCGACAGCCATCACCCATTTTCAGATCTGTAAACCTTTTGCTATTTTCTCTACGGTTCAGCGGGCTGGACTAACCAAAGTCCTTGGTGTATAACAAAGCTGCCGTTCTTGTACATAGACTGTTGATGATCTCTTTTTTTTTTTATGTGTTCTTTAAAAAGGTGGGATGTTCAGCAATTAGTGGAGGCGAATGGAAGTGATACTAGTACTAGTATAATTCCTGGGGACCGACCGAACCGGAGATCTAGACAAAAGTCTAAAAATTTAAGGTGGTGGTTTAGTGCTTGGTATTGACCCTTGATAAGGAATGACAAGCCGACGAGTGATCTACTGGGAGGTAGTAGTAGTGGAGGTAGAGCCAGGTTGCGAGTGTATGTAGATAGGGAAGACAGTAAAGTAGGGGAAAGGCTACAAAATGCACTGATGTTGTATAGTCCAAGAGAATGAGATGATCCAAGCCGGAGGAGGAACCATGGGTCGCATGTTCGTTTTTTTGATGGGAATACCCGTAGGAAATGGAACAACAGCAGATGAACAGCAAATGCATATAGTAGTCTACTCCATCCGCCAGCCGGCACACACCACGTGACATACTGGAAGAGGAAAAGTGGCAGCCAAGCTTCCCTCGGAAGATGAACTGATCTGCTGCTTAACTCCATTGCTTGCCTCGTCTCTTCCTCAACTTCTCGCGGCTTCATTGCCTCCCCTCCGTCTTTGCGCCTTCCTCGCCCCTCGCCCACCCCGCGCTTTCCCCCGCGCGTTCCTATGGAGCTCCAATTCACTGCGGCGACGCGCGCGACTTCCACCATCACTATGGCAGTCGTCCATGGCTGCCTTCAGTGAATACTTTTGTTTTGATTCTTCCTTCCCTTTCGCTGCCCACGGCGCCGCTCTTGTTTTCTTCTTCACCCTGCTTTTCCTTTTCTTCCTCTTCTCTTTCTTCTCTCCTATCACCCATCTTCCCATTACCTCTGAACGCGTCCACGATTTCAGCGAATACAGCAACTTTTCGTACTGCGCGATCAACATCCTACAACTTCTTTCACAACTTCTTTCACCTGAAGAACTTGTGTCTACTTTACTTGTCGCCATGTCTGGAGTCTTCTCGACTCTCAGACCCGACATGGAGGACCAGCCAATGCAAGACGTATGCTATGTGCCCGCAGACTCGGCGCCCCACGAGGAGGCTGTCGATGCCACCGCCCATGACCCTATGGATTGCGCTCCTGATTTCCCCTCATCTAACAATCCTCAGGAAACCGTCAATGCCCCTTCCGCAGAGAGTCCTTTGTATCAGCTCCGATCCGTGCATATTCCCGGAAATCCAAAGGCTGTGAGACTCAATGGAAAGCATGAAGTCAAGCCCTCCTTCCCCCTCCGCACCCCGCTCATCAGACCCGATCATCGCTTTTCTCCGAATAATCGCTCCACCTCTCTCCTCAGCTTTGATGCTATCCAGAAGAGCCGCCTTAATGCGCAGCCATCCTATGCCTCGGTTGGTACCAGCAAGTACCTAAATCCCGGCTTGAGCCGCGCCTCTTGGTCAAACAACAAGCCCCTTAGCCTGCCTTTTGGTCCTGAGAGGTCAAGTGGAACCAATTATCTTCTTGGAGGCAAGTCTATCGGTATAGACAAGAAAGCGTTTCATATGAATTCGTTCCCCACCAATAAATCTTCTGGCTTTACTACGCCTTCTCGCAAGAGATCAATGGATGATGGTAGCAATGAGCAAGCTCAGCCCATCAGTTCACCTTCTGCTAAATTTCGTCGTGTGAGAGCTGGTAGCTTTGCACGTAGTGCTGCTACTGACAATGATGCCACTACCAACGAGAATGATTGGTATCCAGGCTCGCCTATGGACATCGACACCCCCGAACATAACAACGAACCAAATATGGTTACAGCCCTCGCAACAGTCGAGGCTCACCTTGATCTTCCCAATATTTCTCCTATCTCGCGTCAAGTGGACGCTTTTGCAGTCAGGCCAGTTACCGCTCTTGCGATCCCGACCAGCCCCAGCACTTCAGATAGCCGTATGATGCCTGGAGCGTGGCCCGAGTCAGTGCCGTCTCAGTGGTCCACCAATGCTGCCACCGATGATGAAGATAGCCCAATGACTTCCGATGAAGTAATCCCATCCAACGATACGGATATGGCCGAGGCCGAGGAGCCGACTGTTCCTGTGCTTCAGGTTGCCGAACCACAGCCTTCTTCACCTTGGTATGCTTACTGGGGGACGTGGCAAGACTACATGCAGACCGTTGTCTCCATTCCTGTTGGGATCACCCAAAACTTTTCCTATGCGGCAAGGTCCGCTGCGAATGCGGTTGGTGCTGCTAAGCGTCGCGTGTGCGCACTTTGGAATCGCCGCGGTGGACGTCGTCTTTCTTCGCCTCCTGGATCGCCCACGCGCCTCAACCTTCGCAACCTGTCTCCGGAACAGCAGGAGCGCATGGATCGTGATAGAAGAATCCGAAGTGGAGAATCTAGCCCTCGTACCGACAGATCTTTCCCCGACTTCTCCAACGTTCCCGATTTCTCTTCTAACAACAGAACGGCTCCTACAGTCGAGTCTTCCCGAATTTTGCAGGACCTTGTGTCTCAGGAACAGAGGCCTCAGGAGCAGGTGCCTGAAGAGCAAGTGCCTGAAGAGCAAGTGCCTGAAGAGCAAGTGACCCAGACACCCAGAGACACTGTTTCCGTTGAAAGACGTGCTCGTGGTTCAAAGAATATGAGAACTCGCCCCGCTCGGAAATCCCCTACACGCTCGGCTCACCGTTCAGCTCAACGTTCAGCGCAAGAAACAACCCAAAAATTTCTCCGTCAGCAAGGAAGCCCGGGTATTCGCAAGCACCGGTGGATAACGCGTGCCGAGCGCGCCGAGAACCGTCAGCGATCTGCGCCTTTCAGAGCCCTCTTCGTTGGGGACATCGCCGGCATGAAGAAAGCTATGGAAGCTCAGGCCGCGCGTGACCGTCAGGCCTCCGCCGCAGGTAGCCGTGCTGTTGAACCCATCTTGATGAGAAGCAACGATGAACTAGACAGAGTACAAGACATGAACATGCTGGCGAACTTCCAGTCTCGCTCAGCCACTATTGGCATCATTTCTGATGACACCGTCAAATTGGGTGCAACAGAAAAGATTCTCTCAGCGTCGACTACTGTTGCACCTAAGACAATCCTCAAGGTCAGAGGAACTCCCGGCAGTTCTGGGAATAGAACCAGACCTCGCCGCGCCACTCCGCGCAGGGTTCGCTTCCGTGAGCCCGTGGTGGCCGAGTTCATTGACGACACGCGAGAATGGGGTGAGGTGGAGGACAACCTGGCACCCCATCTCGGAGATACATTTGATGTGAATGAGAAGACAGCACCTGAAACCAATGTTGGTACGAAGGCCGAGCAGGTCACCGAAAAGGAAAACGTGCCGCCAGTCCCCGAGAACGAGGACGAGGATGAGCCCATCGTTGACCCCTGGTCCCAACCAACCTTTGAATACCCGCTGGGTCGAGCAGTATCGGCCGTCAGCCTATTTTACCCCGAGCCAAGACCCATTCCAGAGGGCCGAACTGAGTCTGTGTACGCCAACCGCTGGAGGCAGATCCAAGAAGAAGAGAGACAGAAAGAGCTCCCATCACGGATCAAACCGGATGGCCCAGCTGTACGGCCCCTGTCTCCCGAATGGGAAGCCCGCATCAAAGAACTTCAAGATGGGCGCGTATCCGGAGGAAAAACCGTCGCAACCACCCTCTCCGGTGACCCTTTAACGAAGAGGTCCCTCGCCACCTGTTACACGCGCGGCGAATGGCTTAACGATGAGATCATCAACGGATACCTTGCCCTTATCGTTGATTACCTTCGCCGCAAGAATCACAACGCCGGCCGCAACGACAAGCCCCGATTCCACGCCTTCAATTCGTTCTTTTTTTCGAACTTGAGAGACAAAGGCTACGACTCCGTGGCCCGCTGGGCCAAGCGGGCCAAGATCGGAGGGCCACTCCTCCTCGACGTAGACACTGTCTACATCCCGGTCCACAACAGCCAGCACTGGACGCTGGTTGTTGTGCGACCGGGAGAACGCTCAATCGAGCATTTCGATTCTCTTGGGGCCCGGTCTCGCCGCCACATCGCGGTAGTCCAAACTTGGCTCCGCGGCGAGCTGGGCCCCAAGTACGTCGAGGAGGAGTGGCGCGTGCTGCCGTCCCTGTCCCCCCAGCAGGACAATGGTTCCGATTGCGGGGTCTTCCTCCTCACCACCGCCAAGGCTGTGGCCATCGGCCTCGAGCCACTGTCTTACGGCGCGCAAGACACCCCACTCCTGCGCCGTAAGATAGTGGCCGAGCTGATGGCCGGCGGCCTAGAGGGGGAATTCGACCCCGCCCAGCAAGACCATGTCTTGCTATGATCGGGGACGGGGACGGCGGCCCTCCCCCCCTCTGGGGGGGAGGGCCAAAAAACAAAAAAAAAAAAGAAAAAGAAAAACAAGAGAAGGGAATTTCACGGCGAAGGTATGAAGCTTCAATTCCTTTTCATTCTTCTTTGAACTTGTATCAACATGTATGGGTGCTCATCTTTACGTTGCACTTCTTTTGTTTTCTGGATTTTGGTGTTCGGTTATCTTTGCTTCTTGGTTTGAGCGTCCTAACCACAAACAGGTTCAGAAGTAGATGGAGGAAGGGGGAGAGGACGACAACGACAACGGCAACAACAACAACGACGACGACAAGGGAGAGGAAGCAGAGGAGGAGGAAAGGACATCGTTTGCATTTTCTGGGGTTGTTTCTAAGCGTTTCACATTGTCTTGTATGGATACCCCGTCAGTCGAGCTACAGCTCCTGACATGTATGTTTTCGGATTTGTTTTTGGACTTGTTTTGGGATTTGTCTTGGGGATTGGACATTCGGCATTAGCATTGGGCATCACGCATGGCGCATGAGATTTGAAAGACTTTGAGGAACAGCGGATGGTTATGTATTTAGTCGTGCCTTCAGGTTACTGTACAGCCCCTTCGGTTCGACGATTTGTACTTACGAAGGCAAAACTTACGAAGGCAAATACCCAAGAAACACTTTTACTCCTGCATATACAGCTACGATAGACCTGTAAGAGACGCAAATGCGAAGACTTGCACGATTCTGGGTGTAGAATTAGGATGGGTTCTATTACACTGAATCAAAGAATAGGAATGAAACACAACTAAACACCACAGCCCTCACACAGGATGCCACGGATCAATCCAGCACGGTCTCTGACACCCACCACCCTTCTCCTTAGCCTTTCCCATCTTCCGTTCGACATCATCCTCATCCCCATCCACAGAAGAAGCAAAAGAACCAGAAGCAGAAGCACTCCCCCCAACCCGATGATACCGATCCCTATGTCCAGGATGATCCTTAATCGGAAGATCCTGATCAGCCTTGGTGACATTATAAACCAACTCAATCCACTCTATCCCCATGAACACACTCTCCCCGACCTTCATATCCCCTGACCAATTACCCCCATTACTCCACAGATTCATCGCCACGATACTCGGCCGATCCGGTACCGAATAGTTACTCTTACTCTGTACCTGCCCATCCGCATACCACGCCGACATATCAGCCACCCAGTCCAGCCGATGCGTCGTCCATGACGTCCACGGCTTACTCAGATTTACGATCGAACTTGCCCCCGGGATGATGGTGTCCGAGATGGGATCGTAGTCCGGTTGATTGGCGTAGTGGATCGTGTGGGTGTCTTCGGTGGTGAGGATCTCGATGTCGGATTCGCAGATCGAGGATCGGTAGGTGAAGATGCCGGCGCAGCTGCCGCGGGGGATTTTAGTCTGTGATACTGGTTGGGTATTGGGGAGTGTGGATGCCGCTGCCGCCGTTAGGATGTCGTCTCGCGACATCATTCTCATTCGTAGGCGTAGTGAACAGTGGTATATGTATCCGAAGAGACCTTCCATTTCGGCTGTTGATGCGTGGTCTTGAAAGCGGGTGGTGCGGAGGACGAGGAATGATGAGCGTGGGTCCTTGGGTGTGCTGGTTGAGTGCTTGAGGAGGAAGACGTTCCCGTCGGTGTTTTTCATTGGTACGGGGCTGATGTCTGTTGCTTCGCGGTCCCAGGTTTGGACGCGCCAGTCGTGCGAGAAGAGGGTGTTTGTTAAAGGGTAGATCTCTAGTGTGGATGTGTCGTGCGGGTTGGAGGGGTTGGTTTGTGTTGTTTCGGGCTTGGTTTGCGGGAGAGGAGCGTTGCGGAAGTCCCAGAATCTGTAGTGAGTGAAGTAGGTTGGGGTTGTCAGGTTCGAGGGGCTGTTGGAGGTGATGCTGGAGGTGAGGTAGCAGTCGCAGTTGGCGTGGGGGTGGTCGTCTTGGAGGTTGGTGGTGGGTATGGATATTGCGGTTGCGAGGAGGGATGAGAGGATGAGGGTGGTGAGGAGGGGTTTCATCTTGAGGAGTGTGGTAGTATGAATAGTAGGGATAGGGTCGAGGATAGATGTAGGAGGGGGGTGTTTAAGGATAGTAGTGGTTGTTGTATGATGAAGACGGTTGAGAGAATGATGATGATGTTGGTGAGCTGATGATGGGATATGTTGACATGGAAGGTGCGTCATGGCGGTTACTTCCATCAACTTGACAGTTGTTGGGTCTGCATGATGAAATGAATGTAGTTTGGTAGTTTACCACAACGTTGGGCGTGAGTTGATCCTTGACGGAGTTATTTGCGGAGGGAACTATGCTGCTGGGGACGAGAAGTATACAAAGGGGCCCACTTTGTATGGAGATGTGTGCCCCCCGGAATCACTTTCTGCCACACCATCGTTTGCACGCACAACCCTAGTCCTGGGAAGGTCGGTAGAAACATAGGGATCATGACTAGCGAGCTTGACGAAAATTCGGCGCAAGTGATATTCTGCTGGCTTACTGAGGGCTTATTCATGTGGTAGAGGGTGCTTGCGACGTGGGTAGTCACGCAGCTATAACCAAGCGACCAGTGGAAATTTGGTCCGATTAGCATAAATCCATTCCTTGCTCATTAGATAGAACTATGCTAACCATATACTATGTGTGCAGTCAGGAACCATCCCCGAATTATCGCCCTTGAACGAGCAACCACTGCCCACTCAGCTTATAATATTCCGACCGACGATATATTTCAGACCAACACACAAGGTCCCAGCTTCAAGAAGCCTTCCAGGATACTAGGATGGTTTTAATCACAACGGTCCGTTCTCATTGACTTCGTAACGGAGATCCTATTATCCGTGTCGATGAGCGGATAATCACATTGGCGTCGCGGAGAACACGGGTTTGAGGTTTGATACTCTAGACACAATCGCTTACCTGGTATAGGTGATAGTTTATTCAGCATGCCAGCCCCTAACTCAAGCGCTGATTATTGGAGATATTTAGAACGAGCCATCAATCGATTCATCGCGTCAAAGGCCTCGATTAACATCTCGTCGCTTGCATTGGCCAGAGCGATTGTTTCATCTTCGTCTGCGTCCGAATCGTCCGCTTCGTCTCTTGATTCTTCTAATTTTTCGTCAAAGTAAAGCCACAAGAGCATCAGAAAGGCCATCTTAAGGACCCTCTGTTTTATGTCCGACGGTGGCATTGTGACCTCAGTGATTAAGGTTGCCAAGAGAGATTAAATAGTATGCGACACGGTATAGATTATGTTTTATGATTAAAGGTCCAGTCCTGGATTGAAGATGGATGATTGTGGAAGATGGGAACGGAAAGACCTTTCATTGCAATCTCGTTTATAGCGACCGCTAACCAGTTCGGCTATTTGTATAATTATAATATAATTTGTAAGTATTTTGTATGAGAGGTTCTGCAATAATATAATTATAAGCGAATTATACGCGAATTATAAGCGATTACGAAACAGGTTTAGCGCACTCTGGAAACCAAAGTATACAGGAGTTTGTTCCAACTATAGCCTTAGTACTGAGATCAGGGATAATGCGCCTGTTTGACAAGGACTTCGGCTGATGAAAGTACTACCTTTGTCCTTGGTCCAGGTTGGCTTATCTCGTCTTCATGGGTTCTTGCTGCAGAAGTCAAGTCTATGCGAGCTGTTTGCACGTCATTTCATAGCAGTGTCATGTGCCCCGCTGGCGGCGTCTCTCACGCTGCACTGGCTTTCGGTCTTATTCCGCCGTCAACCGCGGCTATTGCTCTCATGTCTGGTTTTGTTATTCATTCGCTGTTCAAGATTCGAGTTCCGAGTAAACCTACTGCTTACCTTGTGGCGCGCAGGCATAGAGTGGACTGAGCGAGATGCACTAAACCGCTTACGGGCATAAAGTACGATATTGTGGAGCCGTAGACTATGGTCTCGGACTAGTTGTGAAGGAGAAACGGATTGAAGTATAGGGAAGCATCAACTTGAGGGTTATAAAGGTTCAGGTAATACCCAAGTGAACCATTTTGTCTGCAGATTTTTAGAATCTGAATTGTCCTTGCAAGTCATTCTTCTTTCTCCATATCCCTTCTCACCAAAACGAGTGATTGGAGGACTGAACAGCTCCCAATATGGCTTCTGCAAATGAGACCCCTGGCTATATCCCAGTCTCCGAATGGCCGAGCCTCGATGCCCTCGCGGTAGGCTTCAATGAGCACTTGATGGCTGAGTCCCACAAGCTCATCGGGAAGAGCCTAACGCTATTCCTCAACGACGCTAATCTCACACGGATCGCGCACCGTTTTATCAACGATGACACTCTAGAATGGGAGGTTCAGAGCGATAGACAGACCGGGACTGCGAAGTACAAAGCCTTCGAAGTCCGACCAGACACCTTCTTTGTTGATTTTTACAAGCCCGATTATCAAGAGCAAGTCAGTCTCGTGATGAACCTGCGCACCGGTCAGGCCATTGTTGGACTTTCTGGCTTCCACATCAAAGACGGACAGAAACGGACCTGGACTCGGTTCTTGGACGCCTCAATTGACGGACGCAACGACGTTGTCCCATTTGCACCGACAGCGGATCTTATCGGTAAACACATCCTATACCGCTACACGCCCCGGGACGCCTACGAGCATATCTACCTAAACCAAGGCACATTGACATGGCATTGTCTGAGTGGGACCGAAAAAGGGCTTGCAGACACTGAACCATGCAAAATGCTGAAGCTGGATGAGAAATTGTATCTGCTGTTCTGGACTGAGAAGATCATGCCTGTTGAATCGATTGTCGTGGTGGATCTTCAACAGATGCGCTCGACAGGCCGGTTCTTCTGCTGGGATCCGAAGCCGGCAAGACTGGTGCAGATGTTATTTGGTTCGTACGCGACGATATTGGCTGAAACGGATGCTGCTGGAACGCTTGCCTTGAGGGGATCGCATATCTGATCATGATACCCAAGGAAAGACATGCTGGATAGATAAGGTAGCGAGATGAGCATGTAGCATTTAGTGATGAGCAGTCGCAACTGTATGCCCGATTAGAGATTCAAATGCATATCATCCTTGGCTTTCTGCTTATCGTTCGCTTGTCAGATCCCTGGCTTCACGATTGGATAAGGTGGGGAAGACGGAGTATTTCCGTAGCGTAGCTGTGCCCCATAACTCTCTTTGATAACAAGGCCCGCTCGAGACCCCGGAATGGCTTTCTCCATGTAAACATTGAGACATGCCTAAATACAAGACTTCAAACCCACGAAAGAGAATCAAATCGCGTGGTAAGAGACCCAGCCTAGGATGGATTTAGCAGTTACACTAACCACAATGTCTTGACCCATAGCCGGCTGCCAGACATGCAAGAAACGGGTGAGTGACATACGACTAACCCATCGTGGGCACCGTGCTTCCACTGCATATAATCTAACTTTGGTGAAACAGCGCATCAAGTGTGACGAGAAAGCCCATGGTTGCTCACCGTGTGAGAAGAAAGGACTGCAGTGCCCTGGCTACAGGAAAGATGTGAAATGGTCCGATAAATATGAGTTGCTCAGAGGGTCTGCGACAAGCCAAGAACAATCGTTGCACAGGGATGATTCGACCTGGTTTGTAGAGGGTGCTCTCCAACTGAGGGCTGCCATCGTTCCCAGTCATACAGCGAGCGTCAAGACCGCGGACGCGCCATTGGAGAGCACAGACACGGCAACGAGTACCGCAGACTGCTGGAATACTACACATGCTTGGGATACGTTGTGCAGTTCTTCTGCAGAGCTATACCATGAAGACCAGCTCTATCAGAATCAACTGCCATACAGCTGCCCGGAACCATTTACTGACAAATTACTGAGATACTACTTCTCGCAAGTGTGCGGCATCCTTTCTGCCTTTGACTCGTCGCAGAATCCGCTCCGGTCGCTGCTCAAAGAACTTATACCATCATGTCCAGCACTTTTGCATTCCGTTCTCTCAATGTCGTCCGCTCATCTGTATCGACGAGAAAAAGACCGGATGAGGTACTCGCTTGAACATCGAACCCAGGCTATATCACAGCTGGCCTCCAACATCACAGAGGTTACTAGTGCTGAGCTATCTGCACCAGCCAAACTAGATACGACTGCCTTATTGCTGAGTTCTATCTTACTCGGGATGACCTCGGTAAGCTGTACTTGAATTCTGTTTGGCAACTGATCTTCCTTGTCCTTACTAATTCTTCACCGAAAACCAGACGTGGCACGAAGTATCCTTGCTAGATTTAGTGCATCTTAAAGGCGCCCGTACTCTATTCCAAAAGTGGATGTTTAACGCCCACCGACAAAGCGTGGGACCGTCTCCTTATGATTCGGAATCTAGCTTCTTACTTGGTGTGATGGCGTATTGGGAGGCTCTTGCCTCCTTTCACGTTGACCAGGACCTGGAGGCAGTAGACTATCTTTGGGATATGTGCAACAGGGCAACAGACTCGGAGGCTTGCTGTCCGAATCCACTAACCGGGGTCAGCACATCACTGTTTATCTCCATGGCTCAGGTCGGTACATTGTCAAGACAGCTTCTCCTTGTTGATCGGCTGTGCTCCCTAACAGGCCCGGATAAATACAAGGGAGAGATGTATCTTTCACTTCTCGACAAGGCAAAGGAAATTGAGAAGTGTGCGCGCGCTTATGCTGTATTGCCGGTTGATGAGATTAGCGCTACAGGAGATGACCTCACCCCATCGAGTCATCTTCATACTATGGGACTTGTGTATCAGCTATCGATACTGCTCGAGCTTTACCGGCTTTTCCCAGAGTTACTTCGGTCGAGCGATGACCAGATCAATTACAGCCCCAGTCCATCAGAGACAAAACACTTCCTTAACACGCTTGCCACGAATATCTTGACCTTGCTGATTTCTATCACTCCATCATCCAGAACAAAGGCTATCCAGGTTCTTCCATTGATCATTGCAGGCAGCGCGCTGCAAGGGCAGACGCAGCCCTCATCCAGTACATCGTTGTTGCCATCATGTATTCGCGATCCGATTCAAGGGATCATGTCACTACCTAGCAACAGCATCATCACAAATTATTGGAGACGTGTTGTCATGGACAAAATTACTAGTCTACGAGACTATGTTGGTCTGGACTCGGTGGACCACGCGAGAATAATAGTGGAAGGAGTGTGGATGCGAGCGGATAGCATGAGTTCAAGAAGCGCAGGGGCTTGCTCCATGGTTAGCTGGTTGGACGTGATGAGAGAGGACAAGCTACAGACGTTCTTTGGTTAACGACGTGTATGTCTCCTTCCTGCGACGAAGCAATCCATACATACCATCAGCACACTCCCTTATCAGCGCTTCCAAAACAATGGCCCTAAGCAGTACCTATGCGTCGTATGCCTGAGTGCTTGAGCAAGATGCCGTTAAGTATGAGGGACATTTCCCGGCCTTATTTTGGGATACCTGAGATCGCTGGTTGATTGTTCTGTAGTAATGCCAATCTCAAGTCAGCGAGGCGTCCAATCTATGGTAAGCGAACCCCGCCCGTCTGTCTGGAGAATGAGGCCTGATGGACACCGTTTTCATCCTGTATACAATCTGACCAGTACGGTTATCGATACGAAGGTGAGGACCATGACGCCGAAGGATGCTACTAGTTATTTGCGTTGTCCAATCAACGGGTGATACTACTCTCCATTTCGGGTGGCGAGATGAGCAGGAGTAAGGATGATTGGCTGTTTTGGGTCAGCTGAATGCAGTGTGTCTGCCAAGCCGCCGATATGTTGTGATGCGTTTTGTCACGGATTGTACCGTGTATTGTCATAGCTGGCTCGCGAAAACATCCTCTGCGATCAAGTATACTAGCTAGGAGATACAACGAGATAGAAAGGTTACCATGATTAGGCTTGTATAAAATGACAAGTCTAAAAAAGCAGCGCCGCTATTATGGCAATTCCCTTGGATGCGACTGTATGCATTGAGGTCAGGCGCTGGAATGAATTCGGTTGGGTGAAGCGGGTGCCACGAAGGAAGGCAGCCAGCGAGGGGCGGGATCTGCCTGGATCCCCTTCTCGACGGTCGCTCGTCTCTTTTCCCTCTTGCAACGCCCCAGCCATCGCTTTTCAACCATCAACAACCGTCATCGAACTCCACCACAACCATCTCGCTGTCATCTCAAATCTCAGGCAAAATGCTGCTGATACCTGTCTAAAGCGTTCCATGTGCTTCTATGTACACCAACCCGCGCAATTCTACCGTTTCTCCCTGTCCCCCTTTCGCCCATCATGACCACAACCCTCGAACGCAGCCTCTCTCGCACGTCGAGCATGTCCATCCCCGTTTCTAGCCCTCGATTATCTCTCATCCATGAAAACACGCCTCCAGCCTTAGCAGACCCGTCCCTATCACACATCCATGACCGCCTGACCTTTCTGGATTCCCGCCTACTTGAGCTACGCTCCAGCGTTCTAACCAAAGATGGCTACGTTGACCGACGAAACCGCGAAGACGAACACATTCGCCGCGAATTCGAAGCCCATCGGTCAATTTCTAGTCGAATCGATCTGAATGTTGTTGCGTTGAAGACAGACGTCGACCAGTTGAAGTCAGGGATCTCACAACTCAAGTCCAGTATCGGCCAAAGCGGCAACGAGACCGTCTTCCTTCGCAGTGATGTCGACCGCTTGTCGAAAAATGTGGAACAGATCCAGTCAGATGTTGAGCACCTGCAGACTGACGTATGTGGGTGTCGCGTGGAGATCAGCAAACTACATGCGACCATCAGCCAACTTCGAACGGATCTGATTACTCTACAACATGAGACATCGCGACATTTGACTTCTGTGTTCAATCGGTTCTCTCTTATTGAAGCTCGGATGAAGCATTCTGAACGAGTTCGTTTCAACTCTCTGGCCCACACGACGCATGCACCGATCACGCCTGTACCTGTCGTTGAAGAGGATGGATCGTTGCAGTGGCCTGAATATTTCCCTCGCACTGTGTGGAGATTTTGGTGTCTGAAGAAGCGAAGCAGGAGTAAGTGCAGGAATCATGTGCGTCACTACGGCAAGCATCTAACGTTAACTCAGTCAACCGATTGGCACAACTGGCCGACTTCTATCAGCTTGGAGGATACGAGTATTGGGGCCGCATGCACCAGGAGCAAAGCCTGTTTGCGAGTGATAGCGACTCCAGTGATTCCAGCGATTACCCATCCAACTTGAGTCGCGCGGAAGCCGTACGCCTGTACCCCGAGGCTGCACACCAGGCCCTGGCTGCGACCTTGGGGTTGGTATATTATAAGATACGCAACGAAGTGGGCGAAGGCCCGAACACTGCTATAACCCGCCCGCCTAAGCGTCAGCAGGAAGAGGTGATTTCGGCTACTTCGAGCAAGGAGAAGCCGGTCAAGATGGCACGCCGCCCAACTGTGTCACCTACGACTCTGAAAAGGCTCATCACTGGACCCTCTTTGGAGTCCAAGTCTTTGACCTCTGAAGAGTCTGACAAGCTTGGTTGGAATGCCCACTCTGAGATCTCTGACGACACAATGAGCAAGCTTCGTGGGATCGTTTCGGACGAGGTTGGTACATTGCTTCGAGCCTTGGAGAAAGGCCGGATCCGACTTCGATCCAACCGATCGGAGCGGACGAACATGTCGCCCACTGAGTCTAGAGCCGCTGAGTCTAAAGCTGGCTCTCGCAACAGCAAGGTTGCACCAGAGGACGAGCCAACTTTGCCGAATACGATTCCTACCGAAGTCTTATCTATTTCCTCTGATCATGCCGAGAAAATCGGCGATCACGAGCTTCCAGACACTGCGTCTGATGCTTCGAGTCCACTGACTTGAGCCATAGGATACACACTGCAGTTGTGATATCTCTACACAGTACGTCGATACGTCGGTCACGTCTTACCGCCTAGCCGCTGCACAGCAGACGCTCGGGTATTCGTGGATTGCCGTTCCACGCAAGGCTATGTCGCGCCATCGATTGATCGAGGCTGCGGAGCCTGCTGGAACCTCCGATGAATACCTGAAAGGCAGAGACGAACTTGCTCGCCAAAGGTGAGCGTTTGACTTATACCGACGATCTATCATGTCTTGGCTATATAAGCCGCTACGGGCGTTGATACCCGACAAGCATCAAAGGCGTCCTGTTTGAATCATTCTGGTTTATATGATACCCCATATTTGGATATTGGATTTAGCGTACATACTCTCGATTTGATTGCACAATTAACCAGTGATTGTTGACCAAGCATAGCTCGATCCGAGACAACGGGTCGGGAGTTCGAGTAATTACCTATACGGTCGAGATCGCTGTCTTCGCTCAGACTGCCTCGAAGTGCATCGGCCGATGATAGATGATTTCTCCATTTCTTCCTAGTACAGATGCAAGTAAAGCACGGTTCCACCCGGCTCTCCAGTTGTCGCTATGGTATGAATAAATATTAGGTACAAGTAGATGTCCCCTCCCCTCCCTTCTATGTCATGATGCTCCAGCCAGATCTAGATAGTTCCTACGCTGCTGCCGAAGGCTCGAACAGATCCTTCTGGAGGACTTCCAGAACCTTGGATTCGTCGACGCCTTGAAGGTCAATGGTACCCGGAGGCAATGTGTCGTCTGCATCCCCCGTATCCTCGCTGCTCTCCTCCGGCGACTGATGTGTGCGGAGGTACTCTTCCTCTAGAATGTACTTGGAACCTTCCTGGGCCCGTATAGTATCAGGTGAGTCCGGCAGCACGTAGATGGTCGGGAACTCCAAGACTGTGTGACCACGCAGAGCGGCAGCAATGGTGGTCTTCGGGGACAGGGGGGCCAAAACAGGCTGTTTCGTAGCTGTCCGCGGCCGGTGGAGGTAGAAGTAGAGATCGCGGTGGGGGGTAAGTGGCAGCTCTGAAGCTTCCGGTTGAGCGGCTGGTGCGTCTGTTGGTTGTGTAGGTTCTGTAGTCGAGGCTGGCTCGGGGGCTGTATTCGTGGCATCCTGCGGTTGTTGCTCCGTCTTCGACTCTGGCGTCCCCTCTGGCTTCTCACCCCCAGTCTGCTTCTGATCCTCCTCATCACCCCCTTCCTCCTTAGGAACAGGAACCACACGATCAAAAGAATCCGCAACAGGAGCCATCTCGGAACAATTCCTCATCCTCTTCTCCCCATCACTCAGAATCCACTCGACCGTCCAAACCAAACACTGATTCCTACATACCACATAGTTAGCACGATCCCAATCCCACCAACACTCCCATCCCAAAGCACCAAAGAAAAGAAAAGAAAAGAAAGAACATACCTCCCCAACCACCGACTCCCATTCCCCTTATTCCTACTCATCCCCTTCGGCGCCCTGACAACCCTAACCCCTCTCTCCTCCGCACGTCTCAAAAACTCCATCTCAGCCCTGGTCCCACCAGTACCACCAGCATTATCCCCTCCCCTCTTCCTCTTCCCCCCAGCACCAGCACCAGCACCAGCACCAGCACCAGCACCACCCTTCTTCCTATCATCCACACCCCCATCAATATCCCCCGCATCCAACCCAACCGCCTCCAAATCCCTCACACCCGAAGAAGCAACATCAATCCCCCTATTCTCCGCATCCCGTCCCGCGCGCTCAATCGAGCGCTCAATCCCCGTAATGAAATTAAAGTCCCGATCGAAGGCGGATTCTGTTGCTAGTTCGGACCGGCGCAGGTAGGCGGCTGGGTCGCGGATCCCTGAACATTGGGACCAGAGTTTGTGTCGCCGTGTGCAGGGTAGTGAGCAGGTGCGCGTTGAGCATCGCGGACAGCGGTATTTGGGGGGTTGGAGGTGGCTGTAGTTTCCCCAGAGGGAGGGGATGGTGGTTAGTTAGGGGTTTTGGGAGGAGGGTTGGATGGGATGGGGGCATGGACGGACCAGATTGAGCAGAGGTCGGAGAGGGGGGAGTCTGGGGTTGAGGTGGACATTTCTTTTGTTAGTAGATTAAAAAAGAGTGGAATGTTAGGTTAGGATGTGGTGATGGAGGAGAGTGTGTCTGTCGCATGCGGAGAAAAAATGATAGCATGATGGGTTTTCGTATCGGAGATAAGCTGGAGTTGTTGGATGGTGGCTTATCGATAAGGCAGGGAGCTTGGGGTGTTGGTGCCTGGGGCAGGAAGACGGTTCCGTTTGTTGATTTGTATAGTTGAGTTTCGTGAAGATCAACTCAGTCTTTAAACCAACGGGAGTGGCTAGTGTCTTAGCGATGTATTGGTTGAATACAAAGGAGGATATATACCTCCTACTCGATCAACTAATTCGACGAAATAAAACCAGCACCCCGTCCTGTCCCCTCCACTAACTGCTCACCTAGACTCTCCATCTCAGCACGCATAACCGCAATCGCACCCTTATCTAGCCAACTACTCTCAAAGTCAATCAACCTCACCGTATTATCACCTCGAACAACAAAGTTATACCTATTAACATCGCCATGGACAATACCAATACCATGCAGACGCTTTAACACAGCTTGACATCCCACAAGATCCTCAATCCCCGCTTCTCGCCCCTCAATCTTTTCAAGTATAAACCCAATAACACGCCCATGCTCATGCACATGACCCAGAAAGCGCGGAGCAAGATCAGAGATCCTCTGTAACTGCTTATATATAGAAGTCTCCCGCGATAGACGGGGTATTTCCCACTCGAATCGGGCAATTTTGACGATGATTGTTGTGTTCTTTTCCAATGTAGTACTGCTTGGTAGCTCGCTGCCGCAGTAAGTCGCTTCAAATGCAGTAGCTGTAAGCTGTCTTGTCCTTCTTAGCTGAAGACAGTCAATCTGCAACGGATGCCAGATGTCTGTTATGCCAACAAGGCTCCGGTTCTGTAGTTCGATGGTGAGTTGATGGTTGGATGGGTCTCGGTTGATGAGTGCGCAGTTCCAGGTATCGTCTCCTGGGAGGTTGGGTAGTGAGCTGAGAGGTGTTGATAGGGTTGAGCGGTTGAATGTCCCGGGTCGGATTGTGAGGTAGCGGATTTTGTTTTGTAGGACGATTCGGTAGTCGCTGTCATCTTTGCTTGATACGTCCATGGAGAGGATCGTGGGGGAGGGTTGGGTTGGGGTCATTGAGGGAGTGTGGGGGAGGGTTTTTGGGTGGTGGTGGTGGTGGTGGTGGTGGGTAAGGTCTGAGCTGGGGTTTAGTTTTTATGGGAGGAGGTGAACTCATGAGATACTATCTCTGAAAATTTCTGGTTATTATCTTAAGCATAAGTATTTACTGGGGATACTTTGCCAGTGAGAGAGTAAAAGGTCTTACTGGAAAGTGTGAAAAAATGGCAGACTGCTAGGATCATTCGCATATGCGCCTATCATGCATGTTTCACACGCATCGCACTGAACTAAACTATGTCAATTTCATTACTATCCTGAGTTCCATTACCATCCTGAATATTATATCAGGCTACATAAGTTCCAGTTTGTTGACCAAAGCCTCCTGTACCAAGCCTTCTGACAAGCTATCTTCTGCGAAAAGGATCAGGAATATACCTCTTCCTAGCGCAGCCTCCATTCTTAACAAACGCCGGGACGTCAGGCTTGATGGTGCCCCCCTTGCTCAATTCCCATAGCTTGCGAGCCTCTGAACATTTTCCAAAATGCACCATGAATTGATCATGCGAATAAAATCTATCTCGGTCATCCCAGTCATCATAGTCTGCCCCCGACGACGCCAGGGCCTTCTCTAGAGAAATCTGGCAGCCACTGCAGGAAACGCCCCTCTCAATGACACCCTTTTTCTCGTCGAAATAAGGTAGAGCCGTACTGGCCATGTAACGCTGTAGCTCTGTGTAAACCGTCGAATGAAGCCTAGGGATAATTGGAACCCGGTCCGGCGGGAAGAGCGATTTAGCGGATTTTTCCAAAACAAATTCGAATCGTCCCGTTCGCTTTGTTTCATCCAATGAGTATACCCCAGGCAACGTCGTTATCATAGGGATCCGGCTGGAAATGGGAACCGGACGCCAGCCCAGGAATGGTCTGACGTGACGAGTAGGCAAAAGGTAAGGAAGGTGGTCGTCCTGAATGCAGAAGAAACAACATCTCATGAACGATGGAAGGAAGATAAAACCACCAAAGGCACCGCATTCCTTACAATTCTTTGTGCAGAGGACGTCATATAAGTCCGAAATTGTGTACCAAGGTGCCAGGCCGGTTCTGAAGATGACAAACAGGACCTCGACGGCGTATTTGACTACCGCTTTGTAGTATCCACTGGCGCTGGCGATTTGTCGAGCTCGACGGTTGACTCGATGGAAGCGGAACAAGGATTGGATGTCGAGCTTGAGGCATATCTTGTGGATGAACTCTAGTGGAAAGACATCCAGGACCCCAAGACTTGAATCCAGGTCGATGGTATGGGTTTTGGGGGTCAGCAAATGGCGTATCAGGTTGTGGTGTATAGGGGATGTTCTGATGACAGCTAGGTCGTAGTCGAGTCGGTGATATGAGGCAACGCGAATGACATCCTTGACAGGTGGAGCTTGAGCTTTCTTGTTAAGACGCGTTGTTTTTGCTTCTTCGTGCGAATCCATGTTGAACGATCGTCAGTATAGATACTGTTGATTCTGCACGATCCAGCACAGTTAAGGTCACAAAGCCTCAACCACTAGCATGGCGTGATAACTTGGAATAACTCTTGGCTCTGTTATCAAATGACTGAACAGGAATACATGATGAGCGAGTATGAGATTGCTCAAATAAATAGAACTTGTTGTATACATCGCAGTCACTGTCTATACATGCACGTGATGTCCTGCATTACGCATTAGGGTTAGCGTTCCTCTATCATTCACAATAATCAAGTGCATCGTAATCTCGTGAATATTGAACATAAGTTGAACATGGATAGTGATGATAAACATGTTGTGATGGAGATTCGTGAATTGCTTGCCATGGCTAGTTTGGGGAAAGAAGATAGTAGCGGCTATCCCGGAGTATACTAGAGTTTTTACCCTATTTGCTGCTTCCTACCTGTCAGCCTTCATTATTTCCCACATTATCTTCCACAAAACTATAATGACACTCTATCATAGCCAATTTGACAATGAACTCCGTCTTTGCCTTCTATTTAGAGTATACACTCCCTAAAGTAAAATTCTAGACCATATACACACTCCCCGGCCACACCCCATCCCTTGATTACTGATCGCATCGCGGATTTCTAATCTCGGCATGACAAGAACCCCGACTGGAATGACGCCATGAGAATCTCCTCATTTACTATATAGTTCCATATCAACCCCTCTTTCTCCATAAACATCCCAAAACTATATCCTTTTATTCCCCAACGAAAACTTTGCAATCATCAAAATGGCCACCAAACCCTTCGCTATCATCGCTGGCGTCGGCCCAGGCACTGTACGTATCTCTCCCACCGACTAACATACTATACATCCATCCCTTGAAACAAAAGCCCAAACAAACAACTAACAATCGCACAGGGCGCCTCCATCGCCCGCCGCTTCGCCAAATCCTACCCCATCGTAGTCTTAGCCCGCAACCCAGCAAACTACCAGCCGGTCGTGGATGAGATCAACTCCGCTGGCGGCCAAGCCACCGGCATCAGCGCCGACCTCTCCGACACCACGGGTGTTCGCTCCGCCTTTGAGCAGATCAAATCCCAGTTCCAGGGTTCATCGCTAGCAGCTGCCGTATTCAACTCGGGCGGTGGTTTCGTGAGGAAGCCTTTCCTCGAGTTGACCGAGACGGACTTTGCGTCCGGCTTTGAGAGTCAGGGGTATGCATTTCCCCCCTTCCTCCCCTATATTCCCTTCAAATAGAAGATTATACTAATGTGAGAAATACAGAAAAGGAGCATTCAACTTCGCCCAGAATGTTCTCCCACTCTTTCCTGCTGAGTCACAAGGAGGGTTGAAATACCCCCCTACTCTCATTTTCACCGGCGCGACAGCCAGTCTTAAGGGCTCGGCACAGTTTGCTTCCTTTGCGGCGGGAAAGTTCGCGCTGAGAGCGTTGGCGCAGTCGCTGGCGAGAGAGTTTGGGCCGAAGGGTATTCATGTCTCGCATGTGATTATTGATGGGGTTATTGATATCCCGAGGACGAAGGGGTGGGTGTTTGAGAAGGAGGATGCTAAGTTGGATCCCGAGGCTGTAAGTTTTCCTCTTTCATTGCATTGAGCGGTTTTTGGTTGTTTGCTTGTTTGATGGGGTGAGATGCTAATGATGTGGGTAGATTGCCGACTCGTATTGGCATTTGCATACGCAGCCGAGGACGACGTTTGGGTTTGAGTTGGATTTGAGGCCGTATGTGGAGAGGTGGTAATTGAAGAAGTAGTGAGAGTGCAGTCGTTGGAGATGATAGTATTCCAAGTTGATAATGTATAAGGATGAAATTGCAGAGGGTGGTATCTAAATGAACTACAATATCAATTCCAGTGTCTGAAAGACAGGATTCGCGTCCGAAATTACTGATTGCTACCTATATCATAAATCTTTTTCAATTGTATTTGTTATAAATAGCTAGATGAGTCCAAGCTTAAAGCAGTTCTACTTCAAACAGATGTAAACAGTCCAGCAGACCCAGGCACAACTCCGCACAACCCCTATGCAGCTGACTAACCAGCACAACACAAACCACCTCCGCATCATCAATTCCATCATCATCATCATCCAAGCTCCCCATCCATCACCACAACCACAACACCACAACAACCCACCACAGCTTCGCACCAGCTTCGCACCCACCACAATGTCATACACCACTGACCCCCCACCTTCCGGGGACCCCCCCGCCGTGTTCAAAGACCCGAACGACCCGTTTTCGCGCTTCCACCCACTAAAAGTAAACCCGAAGCTCTTCAAACGCCCGGACCCAATAACCCTCTACCTAGGCTTCGGAGGCCAAGGCGTATGGAGCAGCCTGGTAACCATGAACGTGATCCGCACACTGGAACAACACCAACGGATCGCGCACCGGCCACTCACCCAGGCCGAAGCGGACGCCACAATCGAGCACTCCACGGCACGCCTCTACCACAGCCGAATCGGGCAGCCGGTAGGCGTGCTCGTTGGCATGATCGCGTGCTACAAGGCCTCGCAGAGGACCGAGATATGGAAGAAGAATTTCGCGCCGGAGGCGGGCATCCGACGGTACGATTTGCTGATCGCGGGGATACAGAAATGGGTGAGGGAGAACCCGAATACGTGGAGACAGGATGCTGCACGGGCGGGGTTTCAGTCGGTTTTTGTTGCGATTGCGTGTCTGATGATTGGTGATGGGATTGCGGGTGCTAAGGATATTAATGATATGATGAATGATTCTAGGTTGAAGGGGCTTTGGGCTGAGGCGAGGAAGAGGAGGGGGGAGATGAGGGGGTCTGGTGATAGGACAGGGAGGATGCCGCCGACGACGCCGATGCCGGGGTCGAAGGGTGAGGAGCAGAGTCAGTTGCCACAGCAGCAGCAGGGTGATGGGCTTGGGGTGCAGACTGGGTCGGATGAGGAGGCGGCGAGGTTCGGGTCGAGTACGACGTCGTGGGGCACGGAGACGAAGAAGGTGGCTACGCCGTCTTATGAGACGCCGAGGTCGTCGAGGGATAAGGCTGATGACTTCTGGGATGATGCTAGTCCTGTGGCTGCTGAGTATAGGGACAAGGACCAGTCGGTGCCTGGGGAGAGTGCCTGGGAGCGCATTCGGAAGCAGAATAATGTCTCGGCTCAGCGCGAGGTGCGGACGGTGTATAAGCCTGCGTCGAGTTCCACTGCCTCTGCTCCTGCTCCTGCTCCGGCTAACGATAAGCCGAGTGAGCGTGAGTTGGCGCAGGCAGAATTTGACAGAATGATTGAGGCGGAGCGGAAGATGTCGACGGACAGTCTGAACACTCCACAGCAGCACACTTCTGGGTGGTGGGGGAAATGGGACTGATTGTTTGTATAGTGGCTTGTACATCATAGCGCTGACTTTATTGTCCATGGCATGGACAGGTGAACTCTAATTACGACATTCCCCTCTGCCAGTTGATTACTTGTCCTTGACCGATAGTTGCCCGGTGCCAGTTGGATACAGCTACATG